AACAGAACAGGACAATAGATGTGTATTGGTACTTCTCTCAAGGTACTCTGGTAGGCTGACTGATTGTAGTATCCTGACTACTAAACTAGGATTCTCCTACAAGGCTACCCTATTCTACTCGACTACCCTGAGCCAAGTATTATATCTTTAATAATCTCTTATACTTTTTTCTGTTGACCTCTGCCAGCTGTCCTCTGTCTCAGGGTTAAAAGGAAAACAAACACCCCCCCCACACACAACTTGCCTATGCATTTTGAAGAGGAACCTTCTTTACCGTGGGAAAGCTCTTTGTGCTTGCTTTTTAGTCACCTTGGATTAGCAAAGCAGTGTATTGTTCCTCCTTAACCTTGTTCAGGATTTCATTTTATGTTCCATTATGCTGTATTTTTGGAATGATGGTTCTGTGTTTTTGTTTGAAAACTTAGCCTTAAAGGAGAGCAAAGCCTGAGTGTGTTTCAGTTCTTTAAATCTTTAAGAAGCATAGAGGTCAATCCGCTGTGTATATTTAAGGTATCTTGAAGTGTGTAGTGAACTGTGTGAATATTCAGTCCGTTTGACTGAAGCAACTGTATTTGACATAATTTCAGTAGCTGGGCTTTTATTCTGTAGTCTAATGGTGATCAAAACTAAACAGCTTGCCCCCATCCCAAGCTGGTTAGAGCTTCCTCAAAAATAAACTGAACAAGGGAACAAAAATTATCCCTGCTTATCTTTTAGCTAAACATTACCTGTTTGACAACAAATAATAACAAGCTACATTTGTTAAAACGCTCTAGACACGTTTGCACCTGGAAATTGCATTTCCAGGAATTAGTACAGAAATGCTAAAAAACTTTTTCACATGTGTGCTTCTGTAGATTGTTGTCTGGAAGGGAGACGAATGAGGAGGATCACAGTCAAAATATCTGAGGATTGTGGTCAAAATACCCGAATACAAGAGTAGACAGTATTAATGTAAAATACTGCTGTGGATCTGCATTTCAGAAGTAAATTGGTATAATCCATAAAATTGCACTGTTCTTGGTATAATAATGAAGTTGAAACCAGTTAACTTATTTTTAAAAAAACTAAATTATCTTTCATACCAAAACATTTAATTAGATTAATGGCACTAGAAGTATAGTAATGTAGCTCAAGGACAACAGTTTAAAATAACTTATATATGTACCTGCTTTTAGATGGTCAGACAGTACATCGGTCTTACTGTTTTATCTGCAGAATGATTCCATAATATTTTGTAGAACAAATCCATGTTCACAGGAGTCAATCATATATCACTTCCTGTCTGTTTGTAGGTCTGAGATTTTTTGATTCTCAGTCTTGGAATGTGTAAGGAAGAGCAGAACACTGTAAAGGACTTCAAACTTATTTTCCTTAATAAGATAATTCTGCGATTTCATATGTGGAAAAAGGTAGTGCAAAGCAAAACCAGTTCATGAGAAGATTTAGAATGTGCAGGAGCCATGTTCCCTGTAACTGAGAGTCCTGAAGGCACTTTGAAATGAAACTTAATCTAGCTGTTACCAATACCTTATAGAAACATACTTACTTTCTGTTCAGTTAGGATAGTAGAAAATACTAAGCTTAGCTCAAAGGAGAGGGTACTAGCTACATTGTGGTCTGCAGGCCCCTATTTATAAAATTAAACACTGAGTTATAAGTTATACCCTGTTCAGTAGGCTAAGATTTTGGTAAAGAAAAGGGTTAAAAGGGTTAAAAAAAATTTCTGAAGGTCTGACTAAATTCATAGTCTTCAGCAGAAGCTGTTGAAACCTCAACTGCTTAGTTACACATCCACATCTTACTGATCTTATTTGCCTGTTGACTGTTATGGAATACATTCAGTCTGTATATTGAATGAATTTTGCCTTTCTCTTTGCCTTGTTCCTGTCAATTTGTGCTACACAGCATGTTGATCCTTCAAATAATTTGCTGTGATTCATAGCCTTCCTCACTTGTGGACTGTCTTCAGTCCTTATTTGTGTGTTACCCAGGCCTTCTTTACTGCTCTGCATCTAAGTTTTTAGTGTGTTTTCCTTTGCTTGTTCTTCACTTCATATGATTATGGTCCCAGCTTTGACTGTGCACTTTCTCCTTCAAACTTGGCAACTGCTGTATTCTTCTGTTTTGATCCTGTACTGCCACAGCCTTGCCAATTCAGTTCACACCCTGTCAGCTCAAATGGAGAAAGCGCCCGCTCTGTCTGTTAAGCACTGTGGATAATAATCTATTTTCTCTTCTTTCATTTTCCTTGCATCTAATGATGGTAGTTCTGAGAACTGTGGAAAAAACATTAAATTTCTCTGAAATTCTTACCCAGCCTCCACTCTCAAGTTTACTTTGTGTGATCCTCATGGTCTCTCAAGGTGAATGACAAGTCCACAACTAAGTCACTTTGCTTTCATTTTGTCCATTTAATAGATTCTCCTGCTTTTTTGTGCTAGCTTTTCATATCATCTTAGGGTATTTCATAAATCCTGTCACCACTTTTCCTTTCCCGTTTTGTCTTTCTGTACTGCTTGTTGAGCCCTCCATTCTGAGCAGATAAAAAGTGTCTACCTATTTGCTCATTAAATCCCTACGTAGGTCTCCAGTTCAGGCTCCTTCACCAGCTTCCTTATTGAAGTATACACTTACTATTCTACTCTTCTGGATAACTTTCCTTCTTGTTTAAATGTTTTTGGTAGCCCAGACATTTCAGTTCTCAGACCATTTTATCTTCATTATATTTTGCATGGCATGGAGAGGGAAATGAAAGAAGCTGGTAGCTGACACTCCACTTTGCACTCTGTGTGTGTCCATTTTGTGTAGGTGATCTCAAGTCTTCAGATCGTGTTGTGGCAGCTAAATTTGTCTATTTATTTATTCGGGCTGTTGAATTTCATCTTGAGACTTGCAATAGAAGGCCTGCTGCTTCAAACTTCAAAATAAGTCACACTGTTTCCTTTGCAAGTATCTCAATTTTTAATCATTTGGCTGCGCTACCAAACATTTACTGCTTACAGTTGTTACTCAGAATTGACATTTTCCTCTGCCAGAGTGCATACCTCTAAGGTGTGTCAAAATCCCATCCTTTGTTTTAGAACAAGGGCAGAAATCGATTCTTAGTCCTGTAAATGCTTCCTCCTTAATCTTCGTTGGCAGGTATGTGTCTCAAGCATTCTGTTTATGCTTCCACGGAGTACAGTTTCTAGGATTATATTTGTTGCATATTAAGAATATTGTCTTACAATTTTCAATATTTAAAAGCTAAGACCCGGGTAGTTCAGGACATCATCCTACTGTGTGGTGATAATGGCATTGTCAAGGCAATCCTTCCTCAGTTCTCTTGCAAACACTTCCATGGCTTGCCTTGTTGACACTTTTATGCATAGAGCTAGAATGAATATGTTCATCCTCCCAACCTTTTTGAGAATTTGCTGTTAACAAGATATTTCCTAGAGATTAACAGTTTTCTGTTAAAACTTGGAGAATGTCATTCTGATGAGGTTGAGGGTCATAAAATAATAAAATTAATAGTCATTCACTATACTTGTTATTGACCACTTCTTTTTTTGTCGTTGGCTTTCAATATTTTTGAGATACAGCTTTGTAATTCTAACCTGGAAATTTCTTCATAAATATGAAGTACGTTTCAAAATAAAGTATTCATAAGAGTTTGAAACATTTTGTGGTGTTAAAACTGTCTGAACAGAGTGAGAATATGTTTGACTTCAAATGAAACAAGTCCTGGCATTGTGGTATTTGTATAAGAGGCAATGTTGTATTAAACACCTAAAATTGGGAATAAGTTAACAGATACCATGGCCAAGTTTGTCATGTCTGGGATAGCATTTTTAACAAAAGAAAACTTCAGAGAACTTTCTGAGAAAAGTAAGTTTTTGAGCAGGACAGTGTGGTTAGAGTTGGTACTAAATGTAGCATGTGTTGGAACTTCTGAACACGAAATGCACTGCAGAGATTGGTATTAATGAAAACTGTTGTAGTCTTAATGAAACAAAGTGTATAATCTGGGGAGGTTTTTTTATACTTAATTTACAAAAACATCTCTGCTATTTTCAGTCGCAGTTCCTGGATATAATATCCAGTTCTGTACAATTCTCATAGAGATCAGGTTTCTCTCACTGCAGTATAGCGATTGTACAGACTGTCATCTTTTTAGAAAATCTGGAAGAAATACATTCTAGCAGTCATTTATAGATAACTTAAAGGGCCTGTGGTAAAAGTATATGACTAATAGAAGGTAATTTGAATTGCACGTTGTGTCATAAAATTGAAGAGTATTCAATAGAAACGTTAAGCTTTAAAATTTAAATTGATAGAGGCAGGTTTGTTGGTTTTGTGGTTTTTGTTGGAGTCTTATTTTGGTGGGTTTTCTTTGGATTTGTGGGGGGTTTTGTTTGTTTGGAGTTTTTGGAGTTTGTTTTGTTTTGTTTTTTAATTTGTTTTCAACCAGAGATCTTGCTGCCTTGCTTGTAAGGCTGTCAGAAATGAAAACAAATAGTTTATTATATGCCTGCTTACTTTCTGGCCAAACCAACCAGTGAATAATCAATTGAAGTTACTCATAAACTGCTGGTGCATCACTGTTCATATGGTTTATGTATCTTGAGATTTAACATTTAGCATAATGTAACATGCTGTAAGAGACCATGTTGGGTGGAAAAAAATGTTGAAAGTTTTTGGGCTTTTTGTCCTCACTTGGCAGGGGGAATGTATGTGTGCCCATCCTCATTTCCTTCAGAAAGTAGTACTTTTAATGCTGTAATCCTGTCTTTTCTTACAAAAAAAGGGTGTTGTTTTGAAAATTAAAAGGTTACTCTGAAATTAACGTTGTATGCATTGGCCAGTAAGTTTACAATAGCATTGCTATCCTATTTCTATTCTAGCAAGCTGTGCTGTATATTGGTATATAATTTTTCATGCAGAGGGACTGGTAAACGAACTACATGTTCATTTTATTAAGAAATGCTGACAAGTTAATCTTTTTTCCTGTCCAGTATGATGAATTGGTTCCTGCATCCCTGACAACCAAATATGGAGGGTTTTATATCAACACTGGTACACTGCAGTTCCGACAGGCATCTGAATCAGAAGATGAAGACTTTGCAGAAGACAAAAAACATAGGCCACCTAAAGTGAGTGATCTTAATCAGGCTTTTATACAGAAAAACTAGCTAGGTGGACATTGGAAATACTTGATACACTTAGAATGGTTCAGATGAAGAGACCAAATATAGAATGATGCATGGTACTGTTCTATTGCATTTTCTGTTTTGTGGCTAGTGTACTGGCATTCAGGAAATAACTCAGGATGTCCACAGGCTGTCCAGTCTGTGGACTAACAATCTGTTTAGGCAAACTAACAAGTTGTGCCCACCCATCTTGAACTGACAGATGATTCTGTAATTTGATAAGAATTTCATTATGAGATGAGAACTTAAATTCTTCAGTACTGCTTTTATGATTTTGCACAAAGCTTGCATGATTTGAAATTGTTCCTAATATTCAGAATAACATTTAAACCAAAATATATGGTAAAATAAACTCAGTGCATAAGAATAGCTATATTAAAAATTACATATACAATCTTTCCCAAAAAGCATGCTGTTCTATAAACCTTAACAAGTTATTATCAATGCAAACATAATTACATAGGCCGTTCACAAGTTCCATGCCATTCAAAGAACTTACTGCTTTCTGATGTCCTTTCCTGCTCTATAACTCTTTAAATTTAACATAATTTTAAGCTCCTTGTAGTGGGTCTGCTGGGATGCAGTTAACTTTCTTTATGGCAGCCCATATGGTGTTATGGTTTGGACCATGACTAAAATAGTGTTGATAACTACACCGAAGTTTTGCCTGTTGCTAGCTATGTTTGCACAGTGTGAAGGCTTTCTTTTTCCCTGTGCTGCTCCATCAGGTAGTCTAAGGGTCAGCAAGAACTTGGAAGGGGAGACAGCCGGTCTGTATTGGCCAACAGAGATGGTCCACACTGTGCAACTTCATAGTCAGCAATGAAACTGTGGTAGCAGAAGAAGGTGGAGGTATTCAGTCTTCCAAGGCTGCCATTGCTCGTGCTGGTTGGGCATCAGTCTGTGTGTCCCTTATTTTTCTTACTGAAAACTCTAAATTCAGTAACTGTTTAAAAATTATTTGTGATTGACACTCGTCAGTAACTGCAGTTGCTGCTAGGAACCCAGTCGTACCGTTTGCCTTTATGCACACTTGAGGTGTTTTTCATGGCTCTGAATTGGAAGGTGTAAAGAAAACTAAATGTTTCTTACTGTAAAAGTTCTTTAGGATGGAAGAATCATTGTCCATTATTTTATCTCTCTTCTAGATAGCAAAGTTAAAAGAAAGTGAAGATCGTGGAATGAAGAAGCGCAAGCGGAAAGAGGAAGGGACAGAAAAGGAGAAGAAGCCTCGGAAAATGAAAGTTCCTAAGCAGTTGGGGTAGGTTTCTTTCTTTATAGGAACCCTTGAAGTATATGTGAGGTTTGATTTCCAGATTGTGTGCCATAGCAAGATTATTAGAGCTCTTTTGAATATGGTATTTTGAAACTATAATTAATAGCTAGTAGATTTTATTTCAGAATTTTTGTGGGGGTTTTGTATGGATCAGTCCTAAAAGCTAATTTTTTTTTGTCCCCTGAAATTTTGAACAAGGAATAAGAAAGGACAAATCACAGAAGAAAAATTTTGAGTCTTATGAATAACATTAAGCTTCATTGTCCCACCCAACATCTTAGGTAGCACTAAGAATTACATCTTCTAATGAAAACTGATCTTCTTTCTATCCTCTTGTTTCTAATCTGGAAAACTATAAATACAACTTAATTATTCTACGTGTTTCTTACTGACTTTGTGTGTGCTTTCCTGAGTTCTTAGGCTAGCATAGAAGGATTAGGGTGGTGGGTTTTTAAATTGGCTTTTAGAAAATTGTCACTGAGTGGAAGTTGTCTTATTATGAATATTCATGTTGGTATTGAAAATTTATTGATCTTATTTTTCATCAAGGTGATGAATTGGCGAAAAATTCTCAGTTTAAGTAGTATATAGATGTTGAGTCTGCATGTAAAAATTCTTAGCAGTGAAGAGAATTTAATATACACGGTGTGCCTAAACTTAAAGCAACTTTCCATCATTCAGGAGTCTTGAGAGGCAAGTTTAAGTATTTTAGTAGCACAAGTCTGCTATGAGTTTAACAATTGTGCCGACTTCTCTGTAATGAAATTGAGAAGTCAAAATGAAATAACCTTTGAAATAACCTAATGTCTGCCAAACTTAGCAAAACAAATCAATTCACAGCAAGAAATCACATGACCACCAAAGCTTTATGATAATTGGTAAAATAGTCTGAAGACAGAAGCACCAAGTACTTGCTTCTTCCCCGATAATTTTTTAATTGTATTAAACTTTGAGTTTTTTGTTAAAGGTTACTAAGGCCTCAAAAGTCACGTGCATGCTAATGAAAGATTTCTTTCCTCTGCAGAGTAATGGCCTTAAATTCACACAAGTCTGAGAAGAAGAAAAAGAAATTGTATAAAGACTCGCTTTCTCTGGCTGCCATGATCCGTAAATTTCAAAAGGAGAAGGAAGCCATGAGGAAGAAGGAATCTAGTCCAAAACCTCCAGTGACTGTCGCAACCCCTACCCCTAGTAAAATTCCTTCCTCCTCTCTCAGTGCAGGAAACGATATCTCTGACTTGAATCTTAGGATCAACGATCCTGTCCTTTCCATTTTTGGTAGCACAAATGAACCTGAGCTCCTGCAAGAAACTGAAAGTGCCCTGGAGATGCTGGGAGACATTGACTTTGACAAGTTGCTTGATGGCACTTCTGATGGCAGCCCGGTATCTGAGCTGTCAGGAGAAAATGGAAATGTCACTCAGGCAACCTACACCTCTCAGGTCATGACACCCAAGCAGGTGCCTGCCCTCCCAGAAGGTCTGCCTGTGCTACTTGAAAAGCGCATTGGAGACCTTCGAACAGTAAGTATGAATTCACTGGTAATGGATTGCATTCAGGAATCTGAGAGAACAAGGAAGAACAATTAGGACCTTGGGTGTCATCCTTGAATTGCTGGCTGAAACTTTAAAAATGAAGAATTGATCTTAATGTCCATCTTAATGGCTGTACTTATACTCGGATGGAAATAGGCATGGAGATGATGCAGGCCAATTGTTCAAGCAGTGTTTGTTTCACAGTGGAAACAAGGTTTTCTAAATGTTCTGTGTACACTAACTTGTAATGTTTATTTGGGTTTTTCTCCATAATTGAAGTATCAGTGTTACTTTAACTTGAATTATTAGTTGGTGTAAGGGATGGGTGTTTTCTTATTTTGGAGGAGGAAACCTGAAATATACACGCACCTTACACATCCATGTATTGAATTTTTGGCTTTAACTTGCCAGTTGGGGAAAAAAAAAAGAAAAAAGAAAACAAACAAAAAAAAACCCCCCACCAAACCCAGAAACCACCACCCAATTACAAAAAACAAACCAAACAACCTTAAAACTGAACTTTTTCTTCTGGAAGGTTAGAATGGAGTCCAAACTTTTCAAAAATGGTGATGAATGGTATTAAGTCAACAAGTTACAAATATCACAATATCTTACTGAAAGAGATCAGAGCTATTAAGGTGTCATATACTCCTTGTTTCAGCTGTGGATGTTATCTTAAATTGAGAATAAATTTGTTGTTTGATTGTCCACATTATGATATTAAAGCTTTTCCTTACTTAGAATAAAGTGCAGCTTTTCCTTATGCAGAGTAAGTTTTGTAAAAGTAGTTCAAGTTACTGCCTGTTTTGGACAAAAATAAAATATTTTAAACAGTGGCAGAGCTTGCTTTGCTGCAGGATAGGTAATGATAAAATGTGATATTTATCTTTCCTGTATGTAAAGCGTTCCAGTTTTCTTACTGATTTTTCAACATACCAAGCTAAATACAGCCAAGGGATTAATATTTACTAAAGTGAAAGAGATTCTGTCTACCTTTTGAATATTCAGGTTAATTTTGCTAGGAATCAACACAAGCTTCTAGCAAAACTGCAGAACTGGATTAGTCCAAAAGTCAGAAAGTGTTAGTGACTTGCCCCCAGTAAATTCATGTTGCTTCACAATCCACAAACACAATCCACAAACAGTTGGAAGAAATCTTCTATTTGGTGGCTCTTGGCAAACATAACTCTTGAAAGAATCATCGAATGGTTTGGGTTGGAAGGGCCCTTAAAGATCATCTAGTCCAACACCCCTGCCATGGGCAGGGACACCTTCCACTTAGACCAGGTGGGAACTCTTCTGTCTTTGGCTTTTGACAGTGTCTTCTGGAAGTCTGTTGGCTGAGCAGAGTAAGTCTGCCCTTACACTGGGGGAGAAACTAGACTGTGTGTTGACTTTCAGATTGCAACTTCCATACCTCCTGCAAATTGCAATCTTCCAAAAAGCACTAAAAATAAATGTGTCTTTTCAAATACTTATCAGGCTCACAGCTTTAGAGCTCTTCAGCACAAAGACAGATAAGTTTATAATGTTGTAGGAAAAAGCCAATGTTCCATGGATGGTGTATAATACATCAAGATTAAAAAAAAAGAATAAAATTAGCCACTAACTAAATTTAATAAAAACTTCCTCCCTTACCTTTTGTAGATTAATGTGTTCTAGTTCCCTAAGTGGGCAATTCTGAACTACCATGACAGAAGGCAATATTGTACACAAGCAGGAAAGTAAAAGGGCTTTTTTCAATTCTTTTGAAGGTAACTGTCAAGAGAATATCTGTGGGGAGAAAACCCAACCACAGTTTAGTAATAGTGATGAAGTTTTTGAATCTGCCAGTGTTGCTCTCTTAAAAGCTAGCAATACTGTCCAGTATGATAGCATAGTACTGGAATTGCCTTTTAAGGTCTACCTGGGACTGAAATATCAAAGCATATATTTCCTTCCACTTTATATAAACCAGACGATGATGCTAATCCTTGTGTTAATTATGCTTAAAGATACTGGATTTCAGACTTTCAAACTTGTCTTTTTGGTATCCTATCACTTGTAAACATCTATAACCTTTCTAATTTTTTTAGCAGGACAAATACTTCAGTATTCTTAAACAGATAGTACCATCCCCTCAGCAGCTGAATTTATGGTAGAAAACAGTGAGTGGAATGCAGTCCTTGCAGGAGCTTAAACTCCAGTATCAATGTTCATGTGGTAAAACATTCAGAACAATGGGCTACCTTATGGTTTTGATAGAGTATCACACTGTTTTCCTGTGCAGTGTAGAGTTCACAATTCTAGAAAATATTTTTCTTTCAAACTTAAATGGGCCAGTTACAAAGAGCAAGAAAGTAAGTATTTAATAGTAATAAATTCATTTTATCAAGTTAACGCTTGCATTTATTTGTAGTTTTTAAAGACAGAATTAGAGATTCTTAATTATTTGAATATTCAGCCTTGTAGCATGTTGGCTGCCCTTAATGTTTGTCAGTCACTATAATGATACCACAGTTGCCCACTTTTCTGCGTGCGTACCAGTTTCCAGCTTCTCTAGATATTCACTGTCTGGTCCCGGTGCCAACATATAAGATGACAATAAGCCTCTCAAAGTGGGGCTCTTTTTTCTCTTGACTTCTAAAAATCTGCAGGGTAGATCAACACTAGTGGTTTTTGTAGAATGGTACAAGGAATTGGCTTTCTACTGTAAGCTGTCATTGTTTGTGAAAATAAGCATCTAGGCAATAAGAACAAAGATAAAGGGATTCTGCATGGGAATTCCTGTGAGATCAGTGTGTGTGTGTGTGTGTGTGTATGTGTGTGTGTGTATATATATGAGGCTGTCTTTTTTTTTTTTCCCTGCGCTACAAACAGACTCAGGAAGAGACCAGACAAAAATATTAGAGATATAGTCTAAAGATGGCACCAGAAAAGAGGGATGAAGTATTCCTCTAGCATACATAATCCTTTTGTAGAAATTGCAATGAAGGTTTGAGATGGATCTAAGAAAACTGGCAAGTTGTAACTGGGTAAGGCAGATTACAGGTAGAAAAAGATGGAGTAGAAATGTGTTAATGCTCTTGCATGCTTGACTTGTCAAGCAATGCTCTTCTTCTTAGAACTCACAGTAGCAGAATGTTGTTGATGTTGAGATAATAAAACATCTCTACCATTTCCTTTCTTCATGGTTGTTGAAACGATGAATGTGTTAACATCAGTGATCCAGGCAAATTGCAAGTAGAATGATTGTTTGCCCTAGAGCAGGGCGTTTATTTGAGTATAACAGTAACAACCCTAATTTTATCTAGACAGCCGAGTATAACTTGATTTTGTTTATTCTTTTCCAAGTAACATTATCTGGAAAATAAGAATGTGATGCAGCTGTAAAAGTAAAGATACAAAGACTGTTGGGATAAAGTACTCTATGAACTTGGATACTCTTTTTTGTTGTATTTTCAGGCTGCCAAGATGTTTGATGAAGAAGGCAGGAAGAAGTTTTTCACGCAAGACATGAATAATATTCTTCTGGAGTAAGTGCTTATCTGTACAACCTTCCCTTTTTGGAAAGGGGGTAAAAGGAAGAGTACAGAAGAGGAAGTATTATTGAGGTTGTTCCAACAAAGCCCTTAAAATTCAATGAAGGTAGATCAGTCTAAGCCAGTTACTAGCTAAAGAGATTTATATACGAATACAATTCCTGTCATGACTGTCTGTCTTTATCCAGTGTAAAGTGTTTTGTAGTGCCCTGGTCTTTGACTTCATGTGTAAAGTTCAACAAAACTGCTGTTATTTGTTCCTGTCCCCAGTTTTGTAACTTAAAACACCTTCAGCTTTCATGAGGGAAAAATGCTGGCTTTTTTCCTCTGTAATCTTCAGCTAAGTGTTTAATATTGAGGGTTCTGTGTTCATAGAATATGAAACAAAAAGTAATCTCTAGAAGACTGTAGCAGTCAAAATTGTATCAATTTTGATTTGTAATGGTGGGTGTAAACAAAATTTGAATGAGTGTTCAACATTGCTGGACAAATACATACATGAATGGTTTCTTGCCATCAATTGGGACTTCCTCTTTTTATAAAAAAGCTTATCTGAAAATTTCCCAAGCTGCTATTTTTAGTGTGCATAGTAGAATATGCTATGCTTACAAAGCTTTCTTAGGTTTTTGTTCGGTTGTCATCTTGGAATGCCTCACTGATTGACTGTCTCCTGTTCGTTTGTCAGTATTGAGCTACAGTTACAGGAGGTAAATCCTGCCATCCGCAATGGAGTGTACTCTCACCTGGAGGCTTTTGTGCCATGCAATAAGGACACACTGATAAAGCGTCTGAAAAAGTTACACCTCAATGTCCAGGTAACGACAGGGAGATTCGCTCCAGCACAAGTCAGTTATATGACACTGATGAGAACTCAGTGCAGGAGAGTAGAACAATAGTAACACAGTCTCAAATAAATCAAAATATTTTGGATCAGTTGCTAGACCAGTTTAAAAGCTTTTTCCCATATAACTGCTGTTGTTGCTACATTAGGAACAAATATTTTAAGTATTTCAAAGCCTTTATTTGAGAAGGAAGTGCTTTCATCTTGAAAGCTTAGTACAGGCTATGAAGGAGTGTTTCTGCTGTCATCTGTGATTATTTCTGTAGTCACAGGGTACATATCAAAGTAGCAGAACTAGAGAGCCACAATAATTATGGTTATGACAGGCTAAAAAAAAAATTACTTTTGTATTCACTTTTGTGTCACGAAAAAAGGAAGGCTAGATGGATAATAGGTGACCCAGCTTCTATTTTTTTGTGCAAATTTCTCTTACAAATTTCTCTTACAAATACTTTTTATGCCATTTTCAGTCACTTTTCTCTTGAAGAATGTTTTTACTGTTGAATAAAAAAGTTATCTGTGACCTGAAGTATTGTGACCAGATTCTTTAGATAAAATCCAGGACTAAATCTTGTGGAGGATCTGAAGATGAATGCAGAGATCTTGGAACTTGCTAATAAGGCAAACAAATTCATATGATATTTCTAAGCAGATAGACGTTATAGAATATTCTAGTTCTTCTCAGTAAGCAGTTAAAATTAACAATGTAGAGTCAGAAGATGTAGGAACAGAATTTAAAACATGTAGGGAAGTGTATAGTATATTACTTTAATATTTGCAGTTCTTAATATTTGGAGACAATTCTAAATACGTAGTCCTTACCTTTTGAGGTACATAAATTGCATATAATAACAATCTGATACTCAGATAATATAATACATATTTATCTTTTGTTCATTACCTAGGATTTTTTTATACCACAGAGGTTTTGGAAACATGATTAACTGGATATTTATTTGCAAGTGTTAAGATACTGATTGGTCAGTTCGTCTCACATTTTCCCCTCAAGTGTTTTCCCCTTCCCTATTTTAATTTAAAAGTGTTATTTTATGGCATAATGTTTTGGACTATTCATGATATTCCTTGTGACTATCTTTTGCTATTTCTGGTCTCAAGACTTAAATGAGAAATATATGTATTTATATAATGCTGTTGCACCTAACAGGATTCAAGTGCCATGTAGAATATGGCTGTTGAAGTCAATACATAGTACTGAGAGTATTACCTTAGGAGTGAGCAGGAGATAACTTTCTTGAAATGATCTGAAATGCTCTTTATTTTACATCTAACAGGACCAGTTTGGTGTTTCTTTATTTGCAGGATGACCGCTTGAGAGAACCATTGCAAAAGCTGAAACTGGCTGTCAGTAATGTCATGCCTGAACAGTTATGCAAGTATCAAGAGGACTGTCAGGCCCGCAATCAAGCCAAGAATGCCAAGTAGGTATTTCTGGAGATTGTGCATGCCTGTTCTAGAGTCCAGATGGAAGTCTTTATGCACGTTGTTCATCCTTGAGCTCAGAAAAGCACTCAGCTCCAGTTTACAGGTGTCTCTGTTTTGAATTGTACAAAATACTTAGTTTTGTGTAAGTATCATCTGACTCCTGAGAGAAATTCAATTAACTGAAGGAGGTAGGTCTTGAGAGAAAGAAATCTGAAGGGTTACTGGACAATTCCTAAATTGGTGGATTGATGGAGGAGAATGGTGTATTCCTTGTTCATTCTAATTTTTTCCATTATAGTTAACTAATTTTAGACTTGGAGAAGCATTAATATTTTGATAAGCATCCTGCTATTTCCCAGCAGAGGCACTACACAGAGCTTATAGTGGCATCCATGAGAGCATCCGTACAATGTGTCTTGTTTACTTGTCTCTGAGGACCATAAAGCAGTGGGGAGAGGAAGACGAACTGTTTATCCTTTCAGGAAGTATAATGAGAATCTGAAGACAGGTCCTTTGTGGGTTTCTTTCCTCATACCTTAAATGACACTATTTTTCAACGAAATATTTTGTCTGTGTAGTATACCTATAAAGAAAACAATTGTTCCAACTGTAGGTTGCAAACAGAAGATGAACGAGAGAAAAATGGATCAGAGGAAGATGATGATGAGAAACCCGGAAAGAGGGTTGTGGGACCCAGAAAGAAGTTTCATTGGGATGACACAGTGAGGTGAGACAAAACTACCTCTTCCACCAGTGATTTTCGCTGACTTTATAAAGTGATCTCCAGGAGGATGTTATTACACAATACTTTGAATAAATAACTGTTCCCAGAATTACACCTCAGAAGTTTTGGAAAGTGTTGGTGCTAAATATGCAAAGTAGAATTCTGTAGTGCTGAAAAGCCTTTTTCTTTAACTTGAAAGCAAGATCATCCTATGTCCAACCCTTTCAGGTTCCACTGCTTGTTTTTCTGCTTTATCCAAATACATGAGGATTTTCTGGCTCCAGGACTTCAGGTTTCTTTAAGCAAAGAACAGATGTGTAAGCAGAGTTATAACTGCTTCCCACCTGTCTAGGAAGGAATATGTTAGAAAACACCAGTGAGCACTAAAGATTTCTGCCACAGTAGGACAGGCCATCAAGATTGGTGATGCTGGTTTGGCAATCCTAACAATCCTTTGGCACACCAGCACCTAGAGTGCATGAATCTCAACCCCTTCTATTCCCTGTGAACACAAATTCTATATTAACTCTCAAAAGCAGATTCTTGTCTGAAATTATCAATTATTAGAGTTCTGTTTCCTAGAGTAGATGTTATTGAAAACTCAGATTACTATTATTTAAATAATCTAGGCTTTTAAGCAAGCAGATCATTCTAAATTAGTAATTTCTCATGCAAGATGTAAGCTAATTTTAGTACAAATGTGTATATATATTACTTAAAGGGGCTGGTGGACTTCTCGCGATAAGTCTTTTTAGTATGTTAAGACAACAGGTAAGAAACTTTCATGAAATATATACAACCAATATACCTTGGACTGGCCTGGAGGGAGCCATACTTGAAGAAGAGATATTTAAATCTCTTGCTTTTTTCATTCAAGAGGCTCGGAAAGGCTGATTTACTTAACTGTGTGCACTTTTATATTTTCTAGGACAATAAAAGAATCTCTGTCAGAAAGAATCTTCTGTTGAAATACTCAGTGTAGAATGGATTTCACTTCCTTTCAGACAAGTGAGAGAGGGGTCACTGTGAGCAAAGTGAGAGGACATGTTTCAGCTACGAGAAAACCACAAAAAATATAAAACAAATTACAGAATAATAGTAGGATGAAAATAAGAGCCATACAGTCTGTTGGAAATGGAGGAGGAGTGACAGTGGTAGATCATATCGGTTTGTAGTAGCAAATTTGTGCAGTGCAAACATCCAAAAAACACGATTGGAACTGAGCACTTCCTGCAACTATCACTGGACAGCAGCTTTCATTTCTCAGCCGTTTTCTGCTGAGTTTTTGAAAGGGTTGTTTCTTTTCTTTTGTTTCTTTTTGCAGGTCTCTGTTGTGTAATCTTGTCAAGATCAAGCTGGGATGCTATGAGCTAGAGCCAAATAGAAGTCAGTCTGCTGAAGATTACCTCAAAACCTTTATGGAAACAGAAGTGAAACCACTTTGGCCTAAAGGCTGGATGCAGGCAAGGTAAGATACCTGCTTTATAAATCTATTCATTTTGGTGTTAACTATTTTTTGAATCTTTTTTATTGTCTTACATTTGACCTCAATGATGTACTGTTAATATTAGTTAGAACTTTAGAGTATGTTCATGAAGCTGGAATATTTTAGAATGAATGTTTTTCCAAAATGAATTTTTCTGTCTTGTTTGCAAGCCTGAGAGTGAAAAAACCCACTCTTTTCCTTGGAGAACTGTTAGATTTTTGTCATCTGCTGGGGACTGAATTTACTGAAGCTCGGAACATAGCGTGTGATGCTTCGTTTGAGGGGAAAGTATGAGGCAGGAGGGTAACTGCTTGGGAAGTTCTTTGTGATATAAGAAGTGATAGTGATATAGAAAGCAGTTTTGCCTGTATGTTGTCACACTGCATTATCAGACTGCTTACATAGACTTTAAAATTATAAGCTGCAATTTCAACACTAGCGTTCAGAAAACACTTATGATTTGTGCCTTCTATTTCCTGTATGCAATTGGGATGCTCTGTGATACTGCAGTTAAAAATACACTAGTTTCTATAATTGCTTCCTACTGCCATAAGAAGAAACAACCATACAAAATGGGGGGGATAAAATGAAAGCAATATTAACCATTGTGAAATACAAGTTTGACCAAGTTTTCAAATGCTTTGGAGTGAAAGAGAAGCAAATACGATTTGGCCTGAGTTCTTTCCTCCTGTAGCACCCACTGCAAAAGACAATTTTCCATCAAATCTTGACCTGACTGAAAAAGCTAAATCATACAACAATACTCATCAACTTGCTCAGGAATACCTTGATTGTAGATTAGTCAAATCTGTATCAAGGTGTAAAAATAACTGTACTGAGATATTTCTTAGAATAGACAATGTGTAGACAATGAGCTGCTGGTGAAATGGTAATGAAAGGAACAAATTAAGTTTTACACTTCCTGGTATACAACTGACTTATTTCCGTTCAAGGATTTAGTTTTGTACTAAGTATGCTGATGAGTGAGGTATTATCTTATTAAGATTTTACTGAAGTAGATGAGACAAGGAATCCCAGTTTAGTTTAAGAACAGATACGGAGATCACTGATGATAATGGTGAAATAGCCAAGAGATACTGTGAGATGGTTCAAGAATACATAGAAGTGAAGCATGTTCAGACTTTGCATTTGAAAGCCATATAACATATTTGGTTCTCTCCTTTTTATTTAACAAGTGTGCTGAAAATTTCTGTGAGCTTTTAAACTATCTATACAATTGGTTTCAACAAAAAAAAACACAAAAGAAACCCCCAAAATGCCCTCCCAGCCCCAAGCTCCCCAGAACAAACCAAACCAAAACCACCAACAAACCAAACAAACCCCAAGAGCGAACAGATGTTAACTTCTTGTTGACCAGCAAGGCTTCATTTATCAACTGGGCAGTTTTAGTACCATGATGATTTACAAATTGTCCTGTATCTACTGGGAGGCAATTCCCTGGTTTCTGTTTAGGAAGCGATGTATTGTAATTTGTAGGCAAACAGTTATGCAAAGAGAAAAAGAAAGTATTTCCTGCAGTCTGGCAGTGGTAACTCCTAATACAGCACAAAATTCATATTCTGGATGCTCATTTTGTTGGGACTTCAGGGTAGAGGTTATCATGCTGAAGGATTATAATTTTTCACTTTTATATGCAGCCTCAAGTGAAAAGGAGCTATGTAAAATGGAAAAAAAATGAGTAGGCATTTAATGCTAAAACTGATCTATTGACTATTCATAAGGAATTCTTACTAATCAGAGTAGGTCAGTACCAGACCTTTGTGGGTTCAGCTCAGAGAAAGAATTTCTTGCTCTTCCAAAGTTAACTGTATTTAATGTTTCTCATAGGTTTGTAAAGAAGCATGCAGTAAGGTATTGATCATAACTTCAAATTACAGAATCACAGCATTGTTAGGGTTGGAAGGGACCTCTGGAAATCATCTAGTCCAATCCACCTGCCAAGGCAGGATCACCTAGAGCAGGTCACACAGGAAAGTGTCCAGGTGGGTTTTGAATGTCTCCAGAGGGGGAGACTCCACAACCTCCTTGGGCAGCCTGTTCAGTGCTGTGCCACCGTCAGTGTAAAGAAGTTCTTCCTCATGTTGGAATGAAACTCGTGAATTTACACCTTGTTCATTTGTATCGCAACTACCTTTGTCACGTCAACTTTCCATGTGTATAACTTCTGTACTGTGCCCCAGGATATTGTTTTATTAATATCCATGGATTTAGAGAAATACTTTTTCATCTTAAAGGATCCCAAAGCCTTTTCAAATAATGTAACTGCTTTTTTGTAATTGGGTTGCATATTAATTCCATGTGTGTCTGAAAAAAATCTGCAACCCAAATAGGTGTACGTTCAAAAAAACCGAAGTGTAAGGAATAGGAAGTCTTTCCTTTAATTCCAAGAAGATTGTCATCTTTGCAGGTGGTCATGCAAGTAGGCTTGCAGGTCAAACAGCACATTTGACTTGAAATCATGATCAGAGAGAAACAATTTCGTACTGATCTCTCTCTCATGAACTTTTATATCTAAATATATGTATGCAACAGAGGGATTATTTTTCAAGCATGTTCTTGGAATATATACTGCACTCTCTTTTCTTTGTACCATTTTTGTTTTTTGTTCTTGTAGTACTACCCTTTTCTCTTTAAGGATGATACTGCAAATTACTGGGGCCTGTGATTAATTTTGAATTTTCATTTCCAAATGAAAAAGATTGAGGAATGGACAAAGCATCAAGAAGGAGGTGGGGAAATATTCTGGAGAAGCTGTGTAGGTCAGAAAGTGGCACATTGAACATGTAATCAGAAATGTTATTTTTGCTCCATGATATTCTTCATAGGCATTCAGTAGTCTCTGACAGGGGGATTTGGAGGTTAGTATGGTGAAGAAAATGTGAAAATGGAGCTGGAAGTGGAATCTGAGAAGTAAGGCACTGAACTGTAGTGAGAGAATGTCAGTGTTTTTTTTACCAGATGACGTAATATTTGTGGTTACTTGGATTTTTCATAATTATTGCAGCTCTACAGGTGAAAAGGTCTTGTTTAGACAGCTGTTCATGATGTGGCGAGTTAGTGTGATTGCAGTGGTGTAGGAAAATCTCGTCTGTTCTGGTTTGCCTACCTGGAAACAAGGAAGGGGACCAAGTTTTCATTAATTGTCTATTTATAGCTGCATTTGGATAGCAAGCTGTAGGATAGGTACGGGTCAGGAATCATTTTCACTTCCCAGTTGTCAGCTTGGGACCTGATAACATTGAAATAACAGCACGTGAACTGCTGAGATTGGTCATCCTGGCTCTTGCCATTCCTTGGCTCTGTAGTAAAGTTGTATGTGTAAGTCCAGTATAACTAAAGTCACAGAAATGGTTCAGAATAGCCTATACAGAGTACTGAAGAAAATTAGAAACAAGCTTGGCTACTGTGTCCTGACTTTCTTTAAAGCACAGAGGAAAAAAACCCACAACAGATTAAGAACCACAAACCCAAACCTATGATCACTGTGTTGGGCATGCAGTGTGAAGAGTTTACAGTAATCCTTACTTTGATATTTAAATATTTAATTAGCCTTTGAGGAGAGAGAATTCAAAATGAGTTTCTTCTGTCCAGCTGAAGGAAGTAATATTCTCTTATGTTGACTTCTCTTTGGCCATTTACTGAGGTATTTTGAATGTAAACTTAAATTATTATAATTTTTTGTTTAGCATTCTTCTGTTTATGGATACCTGGACCTGTATCATGACAGCAATACAAACTACTTATTAGCTACTCTGGGAACAGATAATCAAAGGGTGGCTCTGAAAATCAAAGCATACTTTTGTATTTTGTGGTCAAGTGCCATTTGTCACAGTAGAATCACCTCATGTTCTTTTTCTCTTCACTCTTTTAGGATGCTTTTTAAAGAAAGCCGAAGTGTTCACAATCACCTCACTTCTGCTCCGTGAGTATACTAGTGACAATTTACTAAGGTCTTTAGATGGTGGATAACATCTTTCCTCATCTTCATGCTACTTCTTTTTGGATGGAGGGAAGAAAAGGGAGGTATTTTGGGATTTGTTTGAAAATACTTACAATGATGTTTATATATTTTTTAATGCTTTAATTTAGGCATATAATTGTAATGTTCTTCTGGCATTATATTTTAAGTCACTTATGAAGTGGCTAGTAACTCAAGGGGATATTAATTCTTGAATTAATGCCTTTTACTCAAAGTATTTCAAAGCACTGCACACTGCCTAAATTTTGACATGCAGCATATTAAAATGAACTCAGGCTGCTTTTTTCTTTTCCTCATAAATATCTCTGTAATTACAGAAGGCTGTGTATCTTAGTGGATTTTATCTTCTTGATTTTCAGACAACACTGTGTGCCTCTCAGGAGCTGTCCACATTCAGCCAGAATTCAGACAAATTATTATGACTTTGAGTAACATCCAAATTGCAACCTTTGTGATAAATATGATTAACATAGGATATTTTTCTACGTAATAGCAAAACTGAATCATGGTCCACCTACAGTAAGGCTTTTTTTTAGCCAGGCATATTTCTAGTTGCTTAGGAAAGGAGAAAAAATTACCTATAAGATGTAAATCTGTTGATCCCCTTGAAGAAATAGAAATGAGAAAAGAAGGTGTGAAATGCTGAGCTTCTAAGTTGAAGCTGATGACTAATAATCCTTAATGCTGTCCTTGCTTGCATAGCCGCAGTTGGTGCTATGGTGTTCATGTACACTGCAAAAGAAAACCTGGAAGTTTGTTAAATGACTTCTTGCGACAAACCACTTTTTTGTAGTGGGGAGAAGCAACTGTTTTTATCTGGTTTGAAATAAATGAGAACAGGAAGTATCTTCCTCAGGGACGAAAACATCAACATAAAGTGAAATTATATTACTACTCTAGATGATTTCAGTGTAGACAAAGCTCTGCTAAGTAGACAAACTCGTTAAGATGCTGAAATGAATTAATATTTTGAAGATCCTCTAAATGACAAAAATAAAAAATAGGTCTCCTGATATGTCAGGTTATATCAGCAATTCAGTTGATTTTGCAAGTAATTTACATAGCTATACATGACCAAAAATGGTTTGAAAGTGTGTGTTTTTTCTTTCCCCCCTATATTTTAACCCATTTTTTTATTTCAAGGATGTTATACTATTAAAGCTGAACTCTAGTAGTCATCCTTCTAGTTTACAGGGACATAATCAGGGTAACACTTAAAACAAAAATTACTTACCTTTTTTTTTGTCTTCTGATGTGCATCTGTCTCCTCTTTTAGGGCAAAGAAGAAGGTGATTCTGGCCCCTAAACCCAAAGTGAAGGTAAATGCCTGTTTAAATATCTGAATGTTCATTCAGTGGTCCAGTATGACCATTTAATACAACCTGTGTCTGCCGCTGATCTGGGAAAATTCTTGCAGAAGGTTTCCATCAGGGTATGCTGTGAGAGCTTGTTGACTTGGTGGTGCATTACTTTAAAGAATGTAGTAAAAAATACTTCTGTGTAGCTTTCTTTTACTTTAAGCTGTATTAGTTTTTTGAAAAATTATTATGAAGAGGGACCAGTTCCAGTAAAGTTTCACATCTCTTAATGTGTGATCTGTGTATTTTCAGTTTTTATTGAATTTGGCAACACTGGAAGAAAGTGTTGTTGGGAGGATACCATAATAAGTTGATCGAGGTTCTCATTAGATGTGACTAGGTGTCATCTTAATTCAATAACAATTTTATTTGACAATCAGATTAGCTACTCTTTTCTGCACAGCATTGATTGTTCTTCACTCTGTGGGGCACTTGTAGTTATGTGGAGCAACAGCAGTAGGTCTTCAAATAAAAGTATTGAATTGGTTACCAGGACTCCAGCACCTAGATATCACAGGTATCTCAGTATGGAAATTTCAATAGTAGATCTTTTGGTTTATCTGAATTTACAGAATAATAGTATTACACTAAAGACAGCTTTAAATCTACTCCAGAAAGACTGTTAAAACTGACTTTTCCTATTTCTTTGTTGTCAGGACTCCAGTCCAAAAAAAGAACAGAAGACCTGTATGTCTTCAGTCAATTCAAGTTGTGCTACTGTACTGAGTTCCAGCACACCTGTCTGCACCCCAGCCAGCTCTAGCTGCACACCAGCTCCAGAGACGATCTGCTTGGATGACTCACTGGATGAAGACCTCTCTTTCCATCCACCCTCACTTGACTCTATTTCCGATGCTCTGGCAGTTATCAATAATGGTGCCAAGGGATCACCTCTTGGGTCCACCATAGACACACCAACATCCAGACCTCGCCCTGGGCTGAGGGAAGAGAAACTAGCAAGCATTATGAGTAAGTTGCCTCTGGCAACTTCAAAGAAAGTAGAGCCCACTCAGACATCCCATTCATCAAGTCTTATTGCTGGTCACACAGGGCCAGTACCAAAGAAACCCCAGGACTTAGTTCACACTGGTATCTCTTCAGGCCTTATTGCTGGATCTTCAATTCAAAATCCCAAGGTTTCCTTAGAGCCTTTGCCAGCCAAACTACTTCAGCAAGGACTACAGAGGTCAAGTCAGATCCAATCTGCTTCCTCTTCTTCTCAGACTCATGTTTCTTCCTCTAAGACCCAAGCAGCTGTTTCCACCTCCTCTCAAAGAACCAAGGATGCTAGTATCTTGGTATCATCTTCTGAGACTCAAGGTGGTACTTCCTCAACATCACAAGTGACAAAGGTGCACCAGCATTCAGCTGTACAGCAGAAATATGTAACTCCTTTGCAAGCAACTATTAGTAAATCGCAGACCAATCCTGTGGTGAAATTGAGTAGTAATCCCAAACTGTCTTGCTCATCACCAATCATCAAGGCTCAAGATAAGTCTGTAGTATATCGCCTGCCTTTGTCTAATCCCTCATCTGGAAGCAGCTCTCAAGTGTCTCACCCACTGGTTTCTCGGACAACATCCAGCACCTCTACCTCTAGTAACTATTTAGCCAAGGCTATGGTGTCACAAGTTTCTTCCCAGGGTTTCAAGCCTCCCTTCTCCATGGCTGCCTCTCCCAAACCTGCTGCCTCTCCCAAGCCCACTTCATCTAAGCCCTCTGTGACACCCAAGCCCAATGCATCACCTAAATTTTCATCGAAGTCCACCTCATCCCCCAGGCCTGCAACAACACCCAGTTCTTCCAGTTCAAGTGCACTAGTTTCCCAGAGTAGTCACTCCAGCAACAACCCCCTTCATAAACAGACCAGTGGTGTAAATATCAGCAGGCAGTCTCCCACAGTGAATTTGCTGTCCTCTAATCGCACCTCAGGCCTTCAGCCTGCAAAGAACCCTCAGGCTTCTTCAAAATTGCCCAACTCTTCTCCTTCTGGAACTGTTAGTAAAAATAATTTGGGTGGAGTTGGAATGAATGTACCTGCCAACAGAGGCAGTAACCTTAACTCAAGTGGAGCTAGTAGGACTAGTCTGTCTGGGGGAACAGGAAGTGGAACACAGGGTGCTACTAAACAATTGTCAACTCCACACAGACCATCTTCTGCCTCAGGGTCTCCAGTTGTAGCAGCCAGCGTGCAGGTATGCATCTTACAAGTTTACATTTGAACCTTATCTTAATATTTATCACATACATTTTGTAAACATTCTTAAAATATCTTCATTTGGAAATGTCATAAATTTAATTTTTATACTTTCCTAAGCATAAATGCTGATAGTGATGAAAAAATGTCACACTAGAGAATAGGTGTTTCCAACTGATATAAAATGTGGAACAAATCCTCAGTGTAAAAATGTTGGTTGGTCTGTAGTGTGGAACAGAATTCACTTTTTTTTTTAAGAGCACTGGAAAAGGTAAGCTTTATGTGGAAATATTTTCAAGGGATGTGGTATTTTCTTGCATTATTGGATTTGTGTATTCATGCATATTTACGTATTTGTAGTGATGGTGGTTGTGTAAAAAAGTGTCATCGTACATTTGTTGTCAGGCTGCATGGTTAACTTCAAAACTAGAGCTCAGTTGCTTGTGGTTGAGTGTAATTCAAGACTTGTATTTATAATTAACACTTGCAAGGGCTTTTGTATTTGTGATTATGTATTTTATTTTGTAGGATCTAGTCAAACTGAATGAGACACCTCATTTATATATATAGATGCCCTAGAAATTGAGAGCTTATAAGTATCATTAGAGATAAAACAAGTTAAGCAAAACAAACATTTTGAAAATACTGTTCTAAACCCCATGCAAACCTATTATTTACTCAGAAGACAACCTGCTTTCCCAAGTTGTGTTCTTCTTATTGGGAATGCTTTAATTAGTGAGACAATCTCAAGTCTTCCTCTCTCCATCACTCTCTATCCTGAGGTCTTCACTACTTAAGAAAAGCAGTGTTGCTGTAAATTATATTTTTGCTGTGCAGCAAATGACAAGCTTTGTATTTTTCTGAATAGCGCACATTCTGTTGCATGGGAGTGATGTATACTTGACTTTAGCAATGTTTTATAATCTTTTAGCTTGCCATCAAATTTCTACTAATGCAGCTGAATGACAGGAGGAAGATGATTTTTACAAGACACTTCCATGGTCTTTTGTCCTACTGTACCAAAACAGTCAACAATAAATATCTGGCAGGCTCTGACACAGTTTTTTCCTACTTCGGGTGCTTTGAATGGAAAAAAAAAGATATCCACAACCCTTATGCTGTGTAAGGGCCACTGAGGTACCACAGAAGGCCTGGAGAACAGCTGAGCCAGGTACATGCAGTTTGAGTACTCTGGAAGGTGCCTGGAGGAGACAAAAAAGGCCACAGTGAATGGACTGGGAAGAGACTTGTTACTCCTGGTGCAGTCAACAGAATCCAGTGAATACAGTCACTGTGATGTAGAAGAAAATGTGAAATGGGTGTGGTAGCGCTTAAAAACGATGGGGAAGTCAAGGGAAGTAAGCAGTGTTGTGCTGGATGATGAGATGAATTCTGGCAAACCATCCTGTAGTTAAAGGCAAGTAACAATGATCATCTGAGTAATGAAATACACTTTGGCCATAGTGATTTTGAAGAGCGCTGAAGGGGGGGTGTGTGGTAACATGAGTCCATGCTATATATATAATACAGCAAAATAAGGTGTGTTGTTGTATAGAAAGGGGCAAATCAGCTAGAGGCACTGAGCACGTATGGTATTGCTAAAATAATTATTGCATGTGGGGTTTTTGACATTTCAGAAATTACTTTAAGCTAGAAATGGTTCTGAAGAATGGTGCAAGGAAGATAAACCATGGAATGAGGCTGTTGGTGCTGTGCACACTGAAGCTTAGTCGGTGGAGTACATTCAAGAAAAGATTAGAATCAAATTACCTCCCAGTCCAAGTACACTGAAGGGGAAAATATTTGTGATCACTGAGGGCTTTATTTAGCCATAAAGGTCTAATGACTGGCTGCTAAACTTAAATGAGTTCCAGACTTGTTAGGTACAATGAACTAAGGAGTTAGTTACCCCTCTTAAAACTTCACATAAGACTGAAAGTGAATCTCTTTTCCTTTAAGGCCTTAGCGACTTAATTCCTGTTTGAGATGCTGTTAGTCAGAAGGTGAGAATGGTACCTGAGTTGCTCATTAGAATATCTTGGTCTGCTTACATTGAAAATCAAACTAGATGATTTTATTTGGTAATAAAGATGTTCCTAACTAGGAAGTTTCCAAGAAGTGTTTCCCTCCTTTCCACTTTTGATTGACACAATTATTTACCAGAATGTAAGTTTACACCTGCTGAAGCTCTTTGAAGAAAGTTACATTTTAAGAAGACAAAGCCAAAGAGTACACATGTGATTTCCTTAAAAAGCTCTACCTACCATTAGTACTTGTGAGCAGAATCTGGTTTAGACTTTTAAGGATCTTAATGACTCAGATCTACAGGACCAGGATGAACCCTTTTATGAAATATTGTACGTGAGTTAAATAGAAACATCTGAACTGCAGCTCTTTTAGGGCGTGCTCTGTAGCTCTTTTCACCACTGTACTTCTCTCTCCTCCTTTTTCAGGGAGTAAACAAGGTCTTGGCAGAGCTCAAAACAAAGTTGTTTTTCTGTTTTCAGGCATTTACAAATCCACAATTGCAAAACATAACTGTATGGTTTTTATTTTGTTGTACTTTACTAGATTGCATAGACAATGAATAGTTGCCATTTGGGAGCTGTTGTAGCTAGAATATTCTGGCTGATCTTGCATTTTTATTTTTAAACTACAGTGAATTTAACTTCATTTTGACATATCTGGAGTGGAGAGATTATTTCCCTTTGCCTTTTCCTCTGACATGTGCATCCACACATATACATACATATGTATGTCTGCATTTTGGTAACCTGACTTCTTGAAGTGTGAGGAGTCTTATATATGAATCTTAATTTTCAGAAGTCATTGCTTCTCAACAACCTCTTAAGAAATAAAGTTAATGTTCTGTTAAGACCCAGATTTGGAGAAGGAAGAGTAATACTGTACATCTGAAGAACTTCAGATCAACCTCTGATAACTTCATATTAATCAAATAGAAGATGTTGCTCTAAATTGTGACTGTAGACCCAGTGCATAGTTAGAAATGAGACCAAGGAAATGATCTGTAAGGCTGATGAGCAAAACATGAGAGAGGAGCTGTACTGTCATGTCTGAATCAGATATAATTGTGCTTGCTTACCAGATGAACACTAGGAAAGACCTAGGTGGATAAGTGGATATTTATTAATAGTTTAATACACTTCTCAACAGAGCAACACTTAACGGGGAATAGTCAATTTTTATATCCTTAAAGAATACAACTCAAAGTTTAAAAATCTTGAAGTACTGCTTTTTTTGTACAGTCAACAGCAGGAGCATCGTTACTGGCTAACGCCTCACCTCTGACTCTCATGGCATCACCCCTGTCTGTAACCAGTCAGAATGTGACGTCTGCACCATTAACTCCTTTTGGGATGCTGGGTGGCCTTGTTCCTGTGACTGTGCCCTTCCAGTTTCCCTTGGAGCTGCTTGGCTTTGGGACGGACACAGCTGGAGCGACAACCACCTCGGGATCTACCTCAGCGGCTTTCCACCACAGCCTAACTCAGAGTGAGTGGAATTAGTTATCACACTGTCCCATGAGGGAAGATGCATCCTTAAAATGAAAATTGAGAAGGGAAGCAATAAAGGTCTGAGACACTCAAATTTCGTTCTTGAAAATCCCTATAGGAAAGTAAATGTGATTTCTTCTCTGGTAAAAACTTTCTTTACGTAATTACCTAAATGTTATAAATCACTTTTGGTAAATTTAACTTCATCATTATATTCACAGTATATTTTTAGGTTTGAATGTGTTTTTTTGGGTTAACTTTTAATACCTTACCTTTAGAAAGGAGAATAGCTTAAAAGTCTCCAAATGTCACAATACAAATAAGAGACTTAATATGCTGATCCATCAAAATATCCTTAGCTCAGTAATCGCAGATATCCAACAGCTCTTCTATGAGGAACTATCAACCAAGATGGCATTTATTTTTTCTGATTGCTTAAAAAGAAATTATTTATGTTTTTTACCTATATAAATTTTTGGCCTTTGTGCCGAAGGAAATAATATGAAGGGTCACATCCCAGTAGTGAGGCATGGTCCTTGCTCTGACTTTTGATTAACTGTATCTGAATAGGTCTGTTTCTGCTGACTTGTAGCATTCTGATGGCTGGAATCAGAGTAAATATCAGCTTAATAATTGTTTTGTGTTGCGGGGATACATCCTTCAGAAATTTGTGGAAATTAGCCCCTACTACAGCTGCACTACACAAACTTGTTGTTTCACAAAGACTGCCTTTCTCCTCAAGATTTATTTTTTTCTTTGCTTTCGTTTTCCTCCCCTCAGACTTACTGAAGGGTTTACAGCCAGGTGCTCAGCATGCAGCGACGCTGTCTCACTCACCTCTGCCTGCTCACTTGCAGCAAGCTTACACAGGTAAAGACATTGTATTTTTCTTATTACTTATTTTGAACTTAAGTCTGATTTCTGCCATAGACTGAAATAAAATGTACAGCAGTAGTTAGTTTAGAGAAGACATAACACAGGGACAAACTTTGGTAGCAGAAGGCAGTACTCATTCTATTGTAGCAGTTGTTTTTGAAACCCGAACAATTGTTTTTCCCTCCATTTCTCTTCAAAGTCAGGAACAAAATAAGTTCAAAAATTTGTTCCTGCTTTATTGTAGCAGTTCTAGAAACTTAAGTGTACAAATTCAACTAGTGAGTAAAAAAGGAATATTACTTACTGGATGCTAACATGATTGTTTAGAGGCTGCATAAAGTCTTTTTCCACTCAATTTTCATTTCTCCTTTGAAGGTGAAAACTGATTTCCCAGATAAAAGCTTTTTCATATTTCTTATAAGAATGTATTCATATGTGTGAATGGTATGATGGTTTCCTAATAGGGGATCTGCTTTCCCTAGGAATTTTATCCTTGATAAGAATTGCATATTTTGATTAAGAAGAGAAACTTGAAGCAGAATATCTTATTTTTCTGTTTGTAAGACTTAGAGCTGAAAAAGTATTAGAAAGCTTTAGAAGGTTTAGAGTGTAGTCCTTTCTTTGTCACCTGCAGTGTGATTTTTGGGGGCCAGGAGAAGGAATGGGAAGGGTGGCAGTGGCTTGGTGGGCATTCTTCCTATTGTTCTGAGAGTTCTCAGCACCAAAACATTGGGCAGTGTTTTGGAATGAAGCTTGATATCTCAGGTTTCAACAATGCTGTTTTTCTGATAAACGAACTACAGAGAAAATGCAAAGTCTTCCACTCTGTAAAGACAATGTACTTTTTAATGATGCTAAAGCTGAACCTGCCACATTCCTCTCTCTCATGCTGTAAGATACAAAAACAAAAGTTCACTCATGCTTTTATTCTTCCCTTTTTTTTCCTGTCTCTCTACTGCAGATGGAGGCCAAAGTAAAGGGGACACTAAGTTACAGCGGAAAAACCAGTGACTTCTGGACAAGCAAGGGAGCTGAAGCAGTTCTGGTTGGCTGACAGAATCTGCCCAGTTGGGAAAGTGCTTATTGTCACAGGGCTGCTGTTTCTGTCGATGTTTACATATTCTGATCCTAAGCACTGTGGTGAGAGGAAGAAGAAAACTAAAACAATACTTGATCAAAGAGAGAAGGAAAAGGAGGACTGGTCCTCCTGGTCATGCAGACTGGTCATAGCTTGATATTGCCTAAAGAAACAACGTTTTTTATCTGCTCTGATTGGCTCTTAAAAGAAATTGATCGTCAAACCCACAGCAGCACCAACATTTTTGTCTGGGTGAAGTCCAATGAAAAGTGGAAACCATGAGAGGAGCTAGAATAGGTTTCTCCATTCATTGTGTAAGGTGGAATCATTCACTTCTTTAGTGCCCAGAGTGCCCAGGGTAAGATTATGTGTAGGTCCTGAGTGTATTAAACGGTTGTGGACCAAAGGTTATGTAGAATAGAGGTGGTGCTGGGATACTTTGCATTATAATTAAACCTTTACACAAATGCAGTTTTTGATAATGGGCATTTTTCCAGATTTACAAGGCTGTTTGGCTTAGGGAGCCTACAGGTGTATGCAGTCTCATTAGACAATTGTCTTCAAAAACAGATCTCCTGGTACATCAAGATGTGAGACACACGCTATTTGTTTGATTTTTTTTTTTTTTTTAAAGTACAAAAATTCTTATTTAAGGGAGGAAGGGGATGGAAAATTTTTCATTACACGAAAAGGAAGCCCACATTTGATTGGTCAGACTAGCATTTCTTTCCCACATTATATTTTTAAAGGCATGGTAATGTTTCAGTCCTTCCATTTGTTAAACTTTCTTTTACCTCTGCCACGTGCTTATTTGCTACTGAAATTGTTATGTCCTATTCATGTCTTTCATAAACAACAACCAGTTCTTTGCTGATTCTCGATCTTCATTTTTCATCTAACTCTTCCCAAAAGCCATGCATTATACTGATTTCCTAGTTAAAGAAACCTGATTGTGACCTACTCCAGAGTCAGGTTAATACTGCTTCAGGCATTAGCCAAAGAGGAGTCGTTCAGAAGCGACCAGAGGTGCCTTCTCTTCTGGGGGCTTGAATGGGTTGTCTCCAGCATTTCCAGCCCCTGCTGGCCTGGGGAGTGTCTGACCTGAACTCTTTCTTACATGGTAGCACAAGACTGCAAAGCTGGCTTTTTTTTTTTTCTTTGATAGCAATACATCAACTGGTTGACGTGTAAGATTAGAAAGTATCCAGCACATGTTGCACTTTCAACACTAGGACAGAACTTTGCTATTGCATCCCTTGCGCTGTCAGATAAAAGGTGAGAATGGCAAAAAGTTAAATAAGTCATTGGGGAAAGGAGCAAATAAAGTAGTAGGATGCCCTTCTCCTTCAGCCCTAAAACAACATTCCTTTGACCAGAGATGCTGAAATTCCTAGTAAATAGTTTTTCCAGTAGTTTGACCTGAGATCGAACCAGAGACTACTGGTTATCTCACACCTTTTAGAGCGACTTTGACCCATGAATAATTAATCTTCAGTGTTTTTTGCTAGATTATTTCGAGCTTGCAGGTTTCTTTTACATGTGATTTATTTTTCTTAGATCAGACAACAATTTCTTTTCTATTTAGAGCTCATTTTAATTTTATATAAATATATATACATAAATTTAAAATAATATATATTGTGTATTTAGTATAAAAATGTTGGGTTGAGCTCAGCAATAAATGTTTTTGCACAACACTTCTGTGAAAGACAGATTGAATTAAGATGCATTAGTTCATTAATTTCACTCCACAGCATCTGCCAATTAAATGCTTTTTAGCTAGCGCTAATGTTTTGTATGTGGCGTGTTGATTAGATAAGCTTGCATCTCCATTGAGGTTATTAAGAGTTGAAATATACAGCTGTGTAGACCCTGGCATTCTTAATACTGCACAAATTCTCTCAAAATACCATGAACTATTTAGAATGCAAGCTTTATCTGGTTTTTTTCCCTCTTTTCTCCAGGAAGGGTTGAAGGAAGACAACTTTTGTTTTTTGAGGCCCAATGGTTCTGGCAGGATGTTAATTCTCTGAACTGTGTCAAACCTGACAATTTTAACATTGCATGTAGCTAAGGGAGTTGTGGCAGTGAGCCACTGGGCAGCAATATATTTAAAAGACCCTGTCCTAAGAGTTCTACCTCTTCTATGTTTTCCTCATCAAGGCATCTCATTCAAATTGCCATCTTTTGTCTTCATACTTAATGAAATTTTAGACTGGGAGACTTGGAGCCCTTTATAACTACAGCACAAATTCCCTTTCAGTGTTCCTCTCTTCCTGGAAGTATGCCTCATCTTCAGTTGAAGAGCATCCTCTCTAAATCATGAGGGTAGGAGCAGTGCTGCCTCTGTGTCCTACTGAGCTTCTCAGTCTTGGGAAACAAGTAAACTAGTACTTCTTGTGGAAATAGTAGGATGATGAGAATAAAGATGACCATATGTTGTTTGTGACTTCAGTTCAAACAGCCCCCCAGCAGGTAACTGTTTTCAGTCATTATGCTCCTGAGCTTCTTTGGAATGAGCAACATAAGGAATGTAGACCCTTTCATTGCTGTTCCCTATTCTCCCTGGTTAAACTTAGCAAGGCCGAGTCAAAGGAAATAATAGGGTGATTCCCTACCTATGCAGGTAGCGTAGACAGGATGGGGAAGGGAAAGATTGCTGCAGCGTCCAAATGCGAAATTAGGTTAATGTTTTACTATTTTCTGCACAGCAGCTCTTCTGAAGACATTTCCCCCCAGGTTTTTACTACTTTTTAAGGGCCTTTGTTAATAAATAAACTGTAGTTGTACATACTAAATAAACCCTCAGTATTCACAAGCAATAAGAAAGCCAAGTATAGCTGTCTTTTCCAGGCAGCAGGGCTGAACTTGGTTTGGGGACTGTATATGAGCTAACATGTCAAGCTCTCTGAAAGCCCCAAACAAATGCAAGCAATAACTTCAAACATAGGTTTTAGATGTTAAAACCGTCTGGGTAGTATTTTCTGCTACATGATCCAAAGTCCCTAAAGTCGCAGTAGCTATTTTAAATCCATCGAGACACTTGCAAAGAAAGAAGGCAGGCTAAATGAAAAACAGGCTGCAAAGTTTCCTGGTATTTTGGACTAGAACTGCAGTGTTCTCCCACTCGGAGATGCAAATGGCCTAGGCCACTTTGTCCAGCCTTCTCTGTTGATTTGAGAAACATGACTAAATACTGATCAACTAAGTCACAAGTGTGGATGCTGTGGGTTTCACATCTGTTTTCTGCTAATCAGAAGTAACTTTTAATTACTTGGGTTCTGCTGTTTGTTTGAATCCGATCAAAGTTGTCTGATGCACAGATTTAGGAGTGGGACAGGTGTTAAAAGCCTGTTCCTGCAGTCCCATCATCTGACCCTTCCTCCACACTCCTTCTCCACTTGGTGCAAGACCCTTGAGGACATGAAAACAGAGAAATCTTGCAACTCTCCCAAACTGCCATCAGTTGTGCGAACCAGTAACCCTCTGGGAGTCATCTTGGACTCCAACTAACTTTATCACATTTGCTGCTACATTCGTAAAATGAACTTTTGGCTGTATTTATTAGCAAATTTTAATCTAGTTTACAGGTTGGGGGTTTTTTGTTTTCTTTTGATTAGTTTTTGCCCACAGATGGATTAGAAATGTTGGGGTGTTTGGGTTGATGGGTTGTTTGTTTTGTTATAGTTTTGTTTTGGTTTTGAGTGAATTGGTGAAAGCAAAGTGGTCCCTCTTCTGCTTTTGTTTTGGATTTATTTTTTTATTTTTTTTTTTTTTTGGTAGGGAAAACCTACAGCCAAGCCAAACTGTGGAAGGCTCCCTCCCACATCAGCTTTTCATCTTTTGCTGAACTGGGGGGAAATCATTAAAGGGACACTTGCTTTTTGTTTGGGCTTGTTTGTTGTTTTGGTTTGTTGGATTTTTTTCCATAATGAACCAGAAGGTAAAAGCAGTAGGTAAACAACTGATTAATTAACACTTTATGCAATTTTAATTTTATAGATATTAAAAAAAGGTTTGGTAGACTTTGATTGGTCCAAGCTCTGGTGAAATGGCTGTTACCCTCCATGACTTACTTGATTCAGGCTTTTGTCCTTTGTTTAAGTGCCTTTTTTTTTTATTTTATTTCCCTATCCTCTTTAAACTTTTCTCAGAGATCCTGAAGTGCTAGAAGGCATTTTGGAGGAAAATCTTAAGCTTGCCAAGATGGCTTTATGCTGTTATACTATTTTTTTCCCTTTTGTAAAGAAAAAAAACAACCAAGTGTGTAATGTGTATAACTTCATGCTGCTGTACCATGGTGTTGGTTCTGTGTGCTTGTGCATTCTTTCTCACGCACACACATGCCCACACACACACATACACAGCAATATTTCTGAAACCTGTTCATCCTTCTGCATTCTCCTGGCTCTGTCAACCTACTTAATGGTGAACGTTTGTGCAAAGATGGCAGTACAATAAAAGAGCGTGTGCATGAGTGTGCGTAAACGTGCATGAGAGAAAGGAAATGGCTAATGGGAATGAAACTTCTTGCATTTTTCTCTGAAGGTTTTAAATTTTTCTTAATTAGGTCATGAGTAAAACATTATGAGCCCTGTCTGGCAACCTTATTAGCTACTGGACTGTTTCACACAATTATTGAGGCAAAGATGTGTGGCTGATAGCCCCAAGGACATGTGGGGGAAAGAGAGTTAAAACAGGAGCTTAAATAAGTTTGAGTTGAGATGAACTGCAAGGCATCCTATGTGCAGCTAGTCACATCTGCTTAACACCGGTTATTGCAAGGATTCTCACACTTACCAAAGTTGTCACTTTCCACTGTCCGTCATAAAAGAAATTTGGTAAAACCTGCAAGAGTGCAGGTGCTAATTGAATTTAAAACTGGCTATGCTTCACATGCTGCCTAAGTTCCTCACCGTCAAGTACTTTTCCAGTTGTACTTTTTCTTAATTTATTGAGATTTTATTAATGGTTTGTTCTCTTATGACTCTGTTGTTAGCTGCAGGTGAACTCTCATAATACTGTCTGTGCTTGTTTCCTTGTTCTCTGACAAAATTAGCTATCTGCAATAGATGATCTAGTGATTTCAACACCTTTGTGCTGAGGATCTGTCTAACTTATGATTATTATAAACAAGAATACCTGAAATTAGCAATTCACTTGTTGACCAAGTGCTAAACTTAAGGTAAACGTGTATGCATCATTAGACTGTTCTAGTTCTGTGATGTGCTTCCCCTGGGGAAGATCTAATTTTGAGTTGCAGTATGAAAAGGAAGCATTTATTTTACCAAATGGGAATGGAATGAAGAGTCCTTCGTGAGTGGAGAACCAGACTGGAAAACAAAGTATGATACCAAATACAACATATTTCCTGTGGCAGAGAATAGCCTCAGTTCTTGGCTTGTCTTCACATATTTGACTAAACCTATTATGTAAACTAAACCATAGGCGGATTTCTCCTACCAATCCAATGGTGCCAGTCAAAGATAGGACTATTGCTGGTAGCTCAGCCAGTTGGAGTGATAGTTGAGGGTGCTTCTTAATCTCTTTAGATGCATTAGTGAAGTTACTTAAGTGGAGTTTGCCACACCCACCTGTGTTGCTGTTTAATTAATTTTGGTCGCAAATGCTCTTTTTCCTAGGCTGATCTGTGGGAATCTACAGCTGGTGATGATGGCTGAGTGTTGCAGTCTTTTCTAACAAATGCAGCTGTTGTGAAAATCTGTGCTGCTTAAGAAATCACTACCAAAATAAGCAGCCAGAAGTATGATTACTGGGCCACTGGAAAGATGAGCATTGTGTAGGGGAACGTTTTGTTTGTGGAAACTTCCACTGTGGCTTCATCATCCTTTTTCTATGACCTGATGATCCCTTGCTGCTGTAATAGCTCTTTGGGTCCGTAGAAAGCCCTGCTGCTGCTATGAGTTATGCTGAGAGATCAGTATGGCCTGGAACTGGCCCAAAACTGGGGAATTACAAAGATTCCCCACAGCTGTTTTTGCACACTCATAAACAACACTGCACTGATCTTGTCAGTAGTCAAGGATATAGGTGTGTATTTTGTAGCCATTTTTGACAGCTATAATTCTACAGAGCAACTCGGGAAGAAGGAAAAAAAAAGAAGAAAAAAACCCACCACCAACAACCATGTTTTGTATCTAGAAGCGCATTTCAGTCTCTTCCCTTGCTGTCATCTCCTGCTTAAATAACAACCATTAACTAGTAAGTTTTTCTTCATGGTGAAGTAATCCCAAGCAAGCAACATACACTATGTTTGACTTTTATCATGTGCAATGCTAAAAGGGTTTTTTATGTTTTTTTCTTCTTTTTCCTCCTAGTAATGTGTACAGAAGTGTTTTATTGACAGACAGTCATGTTTGCTGCTGTCTAGTACCAAGAGAAAAAGAGCAGGGGAGAATCAACCAAAACCAGTCAGGAGATGCTATCATCGTAGGCCAAACCATGTAGCTGCCAAGGCAGCCAGAGCTACATTAAAACTTAGCAGATTTCACCAGAGGAGTGGGGAAAGAAACTGTCTTGTGTTCTCAGCTTTTTCCAGATAAAGCCTTAGTTTGATTAGTAGTCACTAATATCAACTATGCAGATAAGTATATATGTTTCAGTGTTACCTGCATTCCTTTTCCTAGCTACCCCTCTTAACACATACTAAAATTTTACCCAAAGAAAATGGAATATTTTTGAATGTCTGTACTGCAGAACTTTTTTGCTAACATGAAGAAAAAAACTGTATTTTAAAAAAGAAACCCTTTCACTGATGCAACACGTAGTGTCAAGTGTCATGAAGTTGCTTTGAGAGGGAAGCTAAAATCACCTCTTGTGACAGGTTTTAGTCTGAGAGTTTCTCAGAATATTCGGCTCTCACAATTGGTTTAAGAAGCCGCAGCAATGTTTTTTGATGTACAGATTGGATTTGGGGAGAAACTAATGAGACATCCCAGGTTTCTTTCCAGCATCAGAAGTGAATTAAATTAGTTTTTCACTGAAATGAAGTTGCTTCTAAACATGGGGAGTTATCAGCTAAGTAAAAGCTAAATCACAGTCCCCAGGTGTTTCTCACTGGTCTTTTAGTCTTGTTGTATGTAACTCAAATAACAATTTAGCTCAGAGATGAGAACCGTAGTGTGTGTTTTATTGCCGGTGATTCCATCATGTAGCAATTAGTACCATGTTCTTGCATAGTTCTCAAGATCTGTATTGGAAATAGATGGAGAAAGTTTATTTTTGGACTACTGTTTAAAAAAAAATACAAAATTAACTCCTACTTTTTACCCTCAAAAGTCTACTGAGCAGCGCTATATTTTAGCAGTTAAACTAGTACCCTTGTTATGTGATTTGTCTCTTGTAGTCTTCTTTTACTAAGGGTTAAAAGCATTTAATTAGTAATCCTTACAATGTTGGCATTCTCTAGCTTAAGATCAGGTGCTTATAATAAAAAGGGCATCTGGGTTGATAACTTCTGATGGTACAAAATCTCTATGTTCAGAATATTTCATTGGAAGAAAAAACAGGTGTGGGTGCAAGTCCCTTTGGTTCTGCCTGATAAAAGAGGCTCAGTGAAGAAAAGTGCCCTGCACAGCTAATGGCAGTAGGGATCATCCCCTCAACAGCAGTTTGGCCTCCATATCCTTTGTTTGGTGTCACTTTTAGTATATAAATATTTTAGCAAGTTTGGATGTAGCCAGCTTAACTCTACCTGACTTGCTGTGATCCCCCAGACAATGAAGGCCTGAGAAACCATTTTGCTGCCTTTCACTGGGGAGCTCAGAACAAAAGGCTGGCCAAGATTTACTTTTTTATAAACGAGTGTTAAATCAGTGCGAGAATTCTTTGCATTCCTCAGCTTCAAACAAAGGAATGCACAGTTACTACAAGACGGCAAACCTGTTTGAGTTGTTGATTCCTGTGATGCTTTACTCAGTCCTTCATGACTTTGTACAAGATCACCTTCCTCCTTTTAATACTCGCACATTTCGGATTATAGGGCTTAGTGATGGAGAGAGGATCTCAACAGCCTTGTGCTTACCTGATGAGCTTTCCAGGGAAACTGCCCTGTGAAATGCTCCCCTCTTGTGACAACAAGCCTGAACAACCAAATGCAGCTACATTTGGGTGGTTAGCACCACTTTCATTTGGAATTTTTAGGGAGGTATGTTCCAATAACTTCAAGGGATACTGTGTTTTAAATGTGTGGTTTCTTTCCTCTCTCCATATAAAACTGGACCTGAACACAAGTTTTGAGTTGTTGGGGGTTTTTTTGTAATAATCTCAGGACCTGAAAGATTGTAGCATTTAGTGTGTCTTAAAAATGATGTACTGTACCAGCCATGGATTTTGTAAATAACACCTGTCTCCCTTTTTTGTATTTTAATTTTTTAAAAGTGTGTAAGGCTCTTTGCCAGAGGAACTGGTGCCTGCTTTATCTCCATCCTGAACTGAGGCAGGAAAAAGGAAGAAGCTGCTGCCACAAAAGCCTGCGTCAGTTCCAAATACGTATATTGTTCTGGTCAGTTTAATGGCTGTTAGTCTTTTGTTAGTTGGGAAGCTGGTTTGTTCTCCTGCACGTTTCCAGTTGTGGGTAGCAGAGCCCTATCAGGGAGGCTAATTTTAACTCTCTTCTGTGTGACTACTTGATGTTTTCACTCCTTCCAGGTACTCAGGTTTGCTATCCCTGAGCAGTCCAATGCTTTCAGAGGTCAGGACTATTGGCCCTCTGCAAAAATAACTGGAGAGCAATTCATTTTATCAGTGCTTTGATCCAAACACAGTAATGGGGTTTGTATCCTGCACCTTGCAGGTAATGCTGCCTTCACCTGTTCCGGAAGGGACTTGCCCTTTTCTGCTTTCCTGAAAGGAGTGCAAAGCTTTTTTTTTGGCAGCAGACTTTGCTCTGGGATCCACCCTTGCCGGCAGACCCCTGTTCTGCAGTAGGAGCCTTACTCAATTCGGCATAGCTGTTCCCTGTCCCTGACCGCGACAGGCTTTTTCATGAGTGTACTTTTCTTTTTTTATGTGTCCCGTGTCTGTGCTGTATTAAATAAAGAGGAATGTACATATTAGTCCTGTCTCTGTGATTTCTCACAAAAATAAAGATGTAAAAAGGTTTTACTTGAAGGGTTCTCCCTTGGGGCTTTTTGTCGGGCTTTTCCGTTTTGGGGATGGGGAGGGTGCGACGAACAGCGCTCTAAACCTCCAGCGGGTCGGTACCACAGGACGCGCTGCCCCTGCAGGGCGCGTTGTTATGAGGCGCCGTAGCCCCGCCCCGGCTCCCAGGGGGCCGTGCGGCAGCCGCGCGGGGCGGCGCTGCCCAGTCAGCGGCTTCTGATGCGTTCCATAAAAGGCAAAGGGGGCGGGGACAGGAGACAAGTAGACGCGCGGAAAACCTTTTCCCGCGGCAGCCCCAGTGGCCTAATGGATAAGGCATTGGCCTCCTAAGCCAGGGATTGTGGGTTCGAGTCCCATCTGGGGTGGGTGTTTTTTTTCCCCCTCAAGCCTCGCCGTTTCTCCGGGTGCCCGCGAGCCGCCGGCTGCCGCGGGTGTGCGGCTCCTGGACTTCTTGCTGGCCGTCCCCTGCTGGCTCTAGCGAGACGTGCAGACCCTTTTAATCCGGAGACCCCAAAAACTCGCGCGAGGCGCGGCTGCGGACCAACTCGGCTTCCCGCAGCGGGATGGGCTCCTCGGGTGTCTCACGGTGACCCCGCTCCGGTACCACAGGCCGGCGGCGGGCCGCTCAACCCCCGACCCAGCGCGAGGGGGGTGCGGGCACGGACCGTCCCGACCGCCCGACCACCGCCACTCGACCTGCGCTGTTTGCCACGGCGGCGGGGGGGGGCGCGAAGAGGCGATCGTTCGCTCGGCTCTCGGCAGCGCGCACTGTCAGGGCGCGAGAGCGAGGCCGCGGAGCCAGGCGGCGGCGCCCGATTGGCCGACGGGCGGGCGCGCGCGCGGGACGGAAGATGGCGGCGCTGGGCACCCCCCTGCCCACGCTGCGCGCGCTCCTGCGCGAGCTCCGCCACGCCGCCGGCCGCCACTATCGCGACAGCCCCGCCTATCGCCACGTGCTCGCGGCCTTCCGCGCGCACCGGGTACGCGCAGGTCCCCTCTCCCTCCCTCCTACCCACCCACCCCTGCCCGAGCAGCCCCGGGGCGGCGAGGCCTCTGGGCCGCCCTGACCGCCGCTCCCCGCAGGTGACCAGCGAGAAGCTGTGCCGGGCCCAGCAGGAGCTGCACTTCCAGGCCGCCACCTACCTGTGCCTGCTCCGCAGTGTCCGCGAGCACGAGGCCCTGCACCGCGAGTACCACGGCAAGGGCGAGCGCTCACCCGAGGAGGTCGCCGGGCTGGTGGGCTTCAGGCTGCCCCAGCAGCCAGGGGGGAAAGGCTGACATGGGTCTGCTGTGTAAACTCATTATTCCTCAATAAATATCCTACGGCTACCGGAACAGGCTGCGTTCTCCAGCAGGGTTTTTTCCTCAGTTTTAGGTTATGGTGTGAAAGAGCCATAATTGGGAACCCCTCTCTCCTTTTATCAGGCTTCCCAGACCCCTCGTCCGTCTGAGCTTGTGGTATGATGGGCAGCGTGCACGGGGTGACAGGTGGCTTTTAGTGGAAAAACATGAAAGCCTTCACTGCTGAACTGCTTGTCTGAGGGGTTGCAAGGGTTTGTGGTTCCCCCCCTCAAAAACAGTAGGTAAGTGAATTTGCCTAGTGTTTACTGTAGCATTTTCCGGGCACATTCTCTGTGTAATTTCCTACTCTCCCAAGAATAAGGCCCTTCTGTGGGACATCCGTGGATTGCGGTGAGCACTGCAGTAGCACAAACGTCTGTCTTATTTTTTTCCACGGCGGTGAGCAAGCGCTGGCGATTCACAGAGGTGGTTTCTTCTTGATGAATTATGTGTTTCTCAGTGTCCCCAAGAAGTCCTTCATGTAGCTTCCAGCCTCCTGTGCTGCCCTCACACACTGCAAGTCTCAGAAAAGCTGAGGGGAACTGGCCACTTCCAGTCGCACCAGGGATATGCATGGCACTGCCTTTTCTTATTTGTCTTGCAATCTGAAACGGCAAGTTTCTTTTTGGAAAAAGGGGCTCGAATTGTTGCTGGTTTTTTCTCAGAAGAGTGTTGAATTGTATGCAAGATACGTAAGAAATCTGTAACAAGCGTGACCTAAAGTGGCAAAAAATGTGAGATTTGTTTACAGGGGGAGGAGCTTTAAGCAAATCTAACAAAACTTGATTTTTTTTTTACTGCCAGGGAAAACAAAGTATTCTGTCAGAAAAGCATTGCAAATAGAATGATAAGATGGTTCTATCCCCCCAGTACAGCACATAGACAATAGATCCTTAAAACTGGGGAGATTTGGGCTACTGAGGTAAGGTAAGGAGGTGGGAACTACAGATTTTAGGGTTCTGTAGACCAGATTCCAGTTGCAAGTCTTACAGTGTCTCACAAGTTAAACAGCGGTGGGTTTTTTGAAAAACATTGATATCACAGGTGGGAAAGTACCAACTTATTTTCAGCATAGTAGATCTAAGTTATGGGATGTCACCACACCCTGAGAATGGCTGTGTCATACTGATTGTTCTGAATTATTTCATGCAGCTGCTGCATTCATGCAATTTACTTTTCCAATGGACTAAAGGTTTACTCCATCCAAAGTCTGTAGTATACTGCTCCAGAAGGGGAAAAAAAAAAAAAGGCTCACTGAAATCACTTCTGGAAGAAATGCTGAAATTTGGCCAGACATAGATGCTCTTTAAAGAGTACCTAAAGGGTATGAATAATAGCTAAAGCTTCTCAATTTCCCCTAAGCATATTAAGGTATTAAATAGGAGAAAATTTTAACCAGTATTGGTATCTCTTCCATTTACTTCACCTTCAATCCAAAGTAATGACCAACAAAAGTAAATTTATAAAGAAAAAGCAATGCCAGGACATGTTCTAAATAGCTGAGGGGCACCGGGTAGAGAATCTTTCCCTGGACATGTGATAGAAGAGCACTTCATCTTCTCTTCAAGTCCTTGTGAAATACACGTAATTGGGCGGGTGGTTTGTGTTGCCTTTTCTTACTCGTGCTGAGGTAATCTCAAAAGCTGAACGCGACCACGCTGGTGGACAATTAGAACTGATATCCGTGACGGGTCCTGGGCACTAGATGGCAATACCACGGTTGACAAAGGGAGAGTCACAAAGTGCAGGCGTTGGAACGCATAAAAACCCATGAGAACGTGAATCCAATTTTGAAATTGGATCTCAGCGCCTCGCAAGCTGAATTTGCTGCCGCACGTGGCGAAGCTTCAGTTTTAAGGGAGGTTCTCCAAGAAGCGGGGTATTACAGTACGTTCATCACCACAACCGCACCCGGCAGCTTGAGCGAAGCACGGGGCGATTGCAGGGGTGCTGGACACGAGTCCAGTAGGGAACTGTCTCCAAATGGGACCGTCCCCAAGGAGCTCCCAGACGCCCCGCCCCGCCCGCCGCCGCTGACCCAGAGACCATGACGTCACAGCAGCCACGCGGGCCCCCCTGGCCAATCAGCGCGCCCCAGAGGCCAAGCCCGGAGGCCCAATCAGGCGCCTCGCCACGCGGTGCGTCACCGGCCGAGCACGGCGGGCCGTGGCCAATGGGAGGGCGCCGCGGCCCGTCCGCGCTGACGTAGCCGAGCGGACGGAGAGACGTAGAGCGCCTGCGCGTGGGTTTCCGTTCCCGCCGGCGCGCGCGCGTGGCGGGCGCGGGAGGGAGCGCGCGGAGGGGGCGCGTGCGGAGGCGCGAGGCGGCGGCACCGGCGGCACCGGGCCCGGCGCGAGGCGGGATTCCCGCTCCGCCTCCCCCTGGGAGCGCCAGGCGGAGGCAGCGACCGCTCCCCTCCCTCCCCCCGCGGCGGTGGGGGAGCGGCCCCGCCCGGGCCCGCCCGTGACGCGAGGGGCAGGGCCGAGCGCCCGCCGCGCCTCGGGCCTTGCAGGCCGCTATCGGCGTGACTCGGCCGGGCTGCGCCGGCCCTCCCCGCGCTCAGGATGTCGGCGCAGGCCCAGATGCGCGCCATGCTGGACCAGCTCATGGGCACGTCCCGGGACGGTAAGTGCCCCCCGGCCGCGGCGGGGCGGGCAGGAGGGGGCGGAGCCGCCGCAGCCCCGGAGGTCACGGCGGCTCCGGGCGGGCCGGGCGGCGCTCGCCGTGATTGGCAGGCCCGGGGCCCGTTCCCCGCTTCCCCCGCGGGGCGGGGCCGTCGGTCACCGGCGGGTGGGGGGGCTGGGCACCGCCTCCCCCAGCGGAGCTGTCGGCGCCGGGCGCTGCCGTTCCCGGTGGTATCAGAGGGAAATGCGCTGCCGGCGGTGCCCGCAGCCCTCCCGCGCCGTCCCGTGGAGGGACACGGCGGCTGCGACATTCTGGTCGGGGGGGGGGGACACAGCGGGCCAGAAAATCCCCAGTAAGCCAACAGCCCCTTCCATAGAGCAGGGTGGGTTTTTATGTTATTGTAGTTTTTGTGTAAATTCCGACCCAAGCCATCGTGTCAGTTAGCAGGCGGGTACGGCTGTTGCTTTGTGAAAGGCAAAGTGGGGTTGACCCAAGTGGACAAGATCTTGTAAAATCAAGCCCCAAACGGCTAACTAAAAGCTTAACATCTGGAGGCAGTAATTCCCTGAGGGAGATATTAGATGTACGGTCGGGTTTCAGATCGCTCTGTGGTCGCGCAGTGAACTGAAGATTATTGCTGTGTAAAGCTGCTCACAGTTTTTGTCAGGGTGCGCGGCGATGAACTCGAAAGTTTGAACCGGCACTTGACCATAAATCCACATAACTGGGGTGCTGCTGGGAAAGAGCAGTTCCTGTTACGCTGTGCAGTTCTTAACTTATAAGCAAAAGAATACTGCACCCGAGGGTAGGCAGCAATTAGAGATGATTTAAGTGTTCTGCATGTCGTACTCGCTCTTGCAGATGTGTTACATGTTTGTTGAAGCTTCGTGCGGAATTAATGGTTACCTGTTTCCCTGTGCACCGATTAGGATGTAGGAAGTGGGATGTATCTCGTATGTGCCAGTCATCTCTTGGTACTGGGCTAATGTGATCTGACAGCTTTTTTAGTATAATATAGAATTTGAAATGGATGTAACTAGTTTTCACATACCCCATGTACTATGAATGCTTTCCGCTAAGTTCTAAATTACTGTTCTGCAAAGATTGCCTTCCAGAGTAAGGCTGGTTAGTGAGTAGTCATCGTGCAGGATCTAATTTAGGGTGGTTTTGTCTTGCTCCAGAAGATTTTCCAATACTTCCTGTTGTGGCTGCGCCTGTCTAAGTGCTTGGCAAAGTAACATTGTGCTTATGAAACGCGAGTCTTCCCAGTGTTGGCACCTAGATCGCTGTCTCAGAGCTGCCTAAGACTACACAGAAAGTTTAAGGGGGATGGGGGAGCTGTTGCAATTTCTGGAAGTATTTTCTGTTGGGCAGTGAGAGAAGAGTGTGATTTACCTGTGACAGCTCAAAAATGCTGAGTGACTAACATCTAAACCAGGAAAAGTCACTAGTTTTTTTTTAGCTTTGTGAGAAAGCAGTTAGTTTATTGATGCTTGTATTCCCCCCTCCCACCCACCCTGTAATTCCTAAACCGCATGTGCTGAACTGTTTAGAAAGTAACTGGCTAGAGAGGAGGCATTTAAACAGAATTGGCAGGATGAGGAAGGATAAGAAGAAAACACCATTTGCAAAACTGGCTTCCATTATTGGATTCAGTATCTCTATGGAACACCACTCCAGTTTAAAGAAAAAATGAAAAATCCAATGGAGTATTATTTAAACTGGAGTGTGCACAGGGATTGAAAGTATGCCTTTTTTGCAGAGCTGGTACTTACTAAATTCAAGGCCAGGCTCAAGGTCATTGAAATGTTGCTAACCTTGAGAGTAGTGGGATTTGGGGTCGTTAGGGTTTTTTTATGTTTCTATTACCTTTGACAAATATTCTGTTTCTAGTAATATGCAAATTGCAGCTTTTCATGAGAATGTGGCAATTTTTTAAATTCCTTGTAGAACATAGCTCTCATTTCACCACTTGTCCCCATTGCCTTTGATTTTTCTCTGCCTGGCAGCACAATAGAGTTTAAAATGTTTTTTAAAAAATAATCTTTCTTGGGCAGTGTTTGTGTTGTATATTGTTAAAAATTACCGAAGTGCTTTTTAATTTTATACTTTACACAGTCTGGTGGGGTTTTTTGTTTTGTTTTGGGTGGGTTGTGTTGTTTGGGTTTGAGAGTGTTTTGGGTTTTTGTTGTTGGTTTTTTTGGGGTTTTTTTTGAGGAACCTAGAATATGCAAGTTTAAACCTATTTTAGAAGAGGTAGATCTAACATTTGATCTTTTCAGTGGGAATAGAAAAAACTCAGAGGTAAATGAGGTAAACTCAAAACCAGTGATGGTGCCTGAATGTATGTAGTCTTTTTTTTTTTTTTTTTTTTTTTTTTTTTTTTTTTTTTTTTTTTTTTTTAGCTTATAGTATCATTTGTAGAGAACAGGAATGTGCTCTGAAAATGGTTTTGAAAATTCCACAATGAGATGCTCAGACATGGTTTTAGGAGATGAGCTGTAGGCTGTAATTTGTGGAAGTATGTGCACACTCATTATAAATGGTGTCCCTAGGGCCAGAATGGAGAAGCTTGGAGGATGTAGTTATTAAATGTTTATGGATTTGCTGTTAAGCTCTAAGAACACCTAGAAAGCACAGTTCCATATTGGTCAAATTGATTCAGAAAATACCCACTGAGCCGTAAGAATATTTATGGAAAACAAACTGTGTTAGACAGGAGTCTTCTCATGTCAAACAGAGCTGCCAAACACGTGGCCAACTAGAACCAGGTATGCAGCTTCAGGCCTGCCCCTTGCCGGGCCCTTTTCCCAGAGGGCCCTGTGCTCGTGGACAGGGAGAACTGAGAGCCTCCTGACTTCCTTTGGCAACCTGCTTCCTCCCTTGTCTGAGTTTTGGCAGTAGGATAGATGCACTTGTGGTCACACGGCATCACTGGTGGTACCTGCCAGGATGTGAGGTTCTGGCATAGCCTCTTGGCAGCTGCCTGGGCCAGTGCCCTGGTGCTCCCTGCCTGCCTTTGCTCATGTGACAGACACCTGACAGAGAGTGAAACTGGAGGCACTTGGCAGGTGCTCCTCAGCAGTTTCCAGTGAGTTGCAGTTCTTAGAATACGTCTGGGTCATCTAAAAAGCAGTTGTATTGTTAATGTCGATACAATAAAATAATTCTGTAAATGGCAGGTATGGTTCTGTTACACACCCAGAAAAAGCACACTTAAAAAGAAGCTGGCTTTTTTTAATACATTAAATATACCCAAGTTAAACTTCTTTTGCATGCTTCTCTGACAAGAAGTGGAAAACTGAATTGAATGTGGACCATGCCAGAATTAAAAAAAAAATTAAAAGTGCCTTAGATTTTGATGTGAGTAAAAGCCTGGGCTCATTTACATTTAATATACTTATGACTATGGGTTAAAAGAAATCTTCTCTGAAATGTCATTTCAAGTACTGATAACCAGGCATACTTAGAGAGGCTTAAATATAAATTACTGAAGATACAGCATGGGGTTCCCAAACACTGAGAAATAGGAAGTATTGAAGATCAGGTGCTAATCTTATGTATCTACATATGAATGTTTTCTTCATGTTTTTTTTCTTGTTAGCAGTTAAACTAAAGGAGTTTTTATTACATTTTTTAATAGTATTACATTATAGTATTACATTTTTTTATAGTATGCTTAGATGAACCCTGTTTTTGCCATCCCTGTTCTCTAGAAAACAGAAGTGAACCTTACAGATAGAATCATAACTGTAAATCAAGTCATTTACAAATTGAGTGAAATATTAACAATTGGTATTAGTACCCCAGGATTTGGGGGTTTTGTTGCATTTTTTTTTTAAGAATTTCTTTTTTTCTTCAGAATATAGTTGAAATGGGCAAAGATTGACATGTTTTCTTTAAAGGCCTGATTGAAAAGATGCAGTTTTATCTTAAATCAGCTTATCTTGCCCGACTAGTTCATTTTCCTGCAGGTCAGTTATGTGCTCCGCCTTGCTACAGGAGTGAGAGCATGAGGAGTTGGATGGAAGCAGGGGGTGAAGCAGGATCATTGCTTCTGACAGTAGTGCAGACACAGCAGATTCAAATGGCCCTGGTGCCACACATCTTGAAACTGCTAAGACTTGACTGTTGCAAAGAAATGTGGTGGTGGTTTGGGTTTTCTAAAATAGTTGCCACTACTTCAAAATTAGTCTATAGTTTAGGGATATGTAAAGCTAGCAAAGTTAATTGGATTCTCGTAAGGACAGGTGAATTTGTGCACGCTTCTGAGATGTAGATGTGCTCATGAAAACATTCTCCCAAGCATCCTAACAAATATTATGCTATGTGACTAGCAGAAAAATCTCTGCAGCCTTTAGGTATACAGAACTCATATGTATGAAGTGCCAGTCAGCACCTCCTTGGCTTCACCTGCTAGCTTTTTGAGCTGAGCTGCTGTGTTTGAAGTCTTTGGTTCTTCAGCTGTTACTAGCAAAGCACTTTTCTTGTTGTAGATCATCTTCTTCTCGCTTTGAAACCTGCAATATTCTATTTGCATCTATTCACATCCTAACCATTTTTTCTGTTTTATACATCAGTTATCCTTAGCAGTGGTTACTAATGTGTGACTTTTCTGTCCTCATTGTTTGGGAGGAGCTGAAGTGACGCTCCTGCGCTAATTTTAGCCATCTTGTGTTTGGTGGCACACTTTATGTGGTAACAGAGGTGTAATCCAGAACATGTAACCCATTTTTTAATTTCTTAGTTTCTGTATGAGATTACTGAAGAGTCTCTGTGTGCTTAATGATGCATAATGGGTTGATATTGGTATTTTAGGGGTAGATAGATTTTGTTTTTCCACTTTGCGTTACACGTGGAGGTGGAAGGATGAGAGCTCGGCTTTCAAATATGGATCAGCAGTAATGGCAGAGAAAAGTATTTCATATACAGGAATTTCTGCAAAACCTGCCCCAAATGTTGAAATGATATCAGCTCAGAAATCTGAAATTAGTCGCAACACATAAACTTCATGAAAAGATGCTTTGTCAATCAGGAGTGATCGGAAGGTTTTAAGAGCAACGATCATGTTTAGCGAATTGTTTGTAATTGCTAGCTTTGTTACAAAGTTCTGGTAGTTTAGCCTTTGAAAATGAGGGGAACAGTAAAGAACTTGAGGAATTTTTCTGCTCTCTCTTTGGGACACCTTATGAAATGGTGTTTGTGAAGAAGCAAATAGGCATGTTCATTCATATATTAGTTCCACTTGTAACGCATTAGCTAAAAAATTATTTCATTATATTCTGCATTCACAAGTATACTTCAGTCATGGTGTAAACCAGAAGCAGTCCTACTTAAAAATATATATTATTCTAAAGGTGTTATGGTAAAAATGCATCCAGTGTTAGTGACAAAAATATAAGAATTAGCTGCCCATTCAGTGTGCAGCAGGAACAGGATCTTCTGTGACTGCTTAAGCTTCGCTTACATAATGATGAATATTTGCTATAGAGGGCTTGCTTTGCGAATGAAATTTGATACACAGTTTTTAACCAAATACTCCACCCAGTTGGTAGCTCTTCTTGAATAAAGCTTTCAGAGTCCCTGGCCAATATGTTGGGACTCATGCTTCAAAAATTTGAGTGGAAAGTTAACAATTTTTTGTTGATGTAGCTTAATGCAGGAAGTCAACAGCATGAAAATTCAAACGCTCATTGTTTCCTTTGCATGGATTGCACCATTAGTTTACAATTAGAGGTTACAGTTGGATTATAAAGGGTAATTCTCATCTATGCACTGGGATTGTTGATAGTAGTGTATTAGGGTACATCAGAATAGTAAGAGATGATGGATCAAAGAAGTCATTGATATGAGCACATTATAATGCTAAGCATTGTTGATGCCTAAGTGTTCATTCTGATGGCTTGTGACTAAAATGTACTGAACAGGAATGACATTGTGGAGGCTTGTTTATAGGTTAGAATTGGGAGTTCAAAATGAATTGTATAGTACAAGTGCACATTGTGATCTTAACCTCTGGATGTTCCTTAATCAGCAGTATGCACTAGTCTTGAATATTGATGTAAATTTTGCAGTCAGCATGTTTCATACAAAATAGAAAACTTACATTAGAAAGTTTGTTACTGCCATAATGTCTTTAATATTTGTCTCTCTAGTGTGCAGATTCCTTATGCTTATAAAGGATAGGACACGTGCAAGTGTTGAAGTTTCCTTAACGTTTTGCTTTTTTGCTTGAATGGTTTCAATTCTGTTTCAAAGTTTTCCGTTCACTTGGAAACTAATCTCTTATAGAAATGTGGTTTGGGACAGGTATGTTAAGTAAACTAAAGATTTTTCTTCTTGAGGAAAATTTAATTTATATTTTTTCCATATAAATTTTATCAACCTTTTTCTTTTTAATGGAGAAAATCTAATTGGAAAGATAGGGGTGGCTTAATAGATGTTGACTCCTGTAATACCCTGGTAAATTACTTTGATTTCTTTAATGAGCATGAGTCCTAAAGATCAAGTAGTTGGCTACTCTGCTCTTTTTCGGAGGCAGGGTTAAATAAGTTGCTATTCTGAGCTAATTTAATTATTTACCTATTAAAATACAACTTGCAATAAGGTCTGAAATATCAGTGTCCTCTTAACAAATGTTTAAGAATACTTCTGAAATTTAGATGATGCAGCTACATGGTGTTTTAGATTTATTACTTTCTTATTACAGGATATATAAAGCCTTTTTTTTTCTAAACACTCAGAAACATTATTTAGCATTCACTTGTTTGTTTGACCATACAAAGAGGGTGTCAACCTATGTACAGTTTGACAAGGAGGAGTAGTGTCTTGGTTATCAATGTACTGTGGAAGTCCTTGGCTTAAGAACGCATCTGTTCATGTTGTTTTAATTCTTAGAAGGCATCTGCATAAGTTTTATTTGCTGTAGGCAGAATGTCAGGTGCATAGTGGATCCATAGATTTTATTCTGCCCTCCCCCCAGCAACTCATGTAGACCTCAGGTCATCACCTACTCAAGATGATTCATCTGTGGGTCAGCAGCAGAATGCATCTTCTGTCTTTGCCAACAGGTGTGCACTATTCAGGAGTATTGGAGCTCACAAAATTCATTAATAAGTAAGAGCATTTTCTTTTGAGGCTGTCAGACTTGCGAATGAGCTGTCAGAGGGACACAAAATTCAGTCATTGTTAGGATGTGGCATATGACACCTTTTTGATGAGTTTTTCCTTCTGAAACAACATAGATTAAAAAGAAATGCAAAGGTATGAAACTGCTTTTCAGAGGAAGGAAGAGGTAAACACCCAAATGATCTGTGTATGGAAGCCTTCCTGAAAGTCCCTTAAATGCTATACCAAAGGCACAGTGCAGAAAGAACAAGGGTTTAAAACGTAAATGTGTGAAGTGTTCTCGAGGCTGTTGTTGACGAGTTTCTGCCAGCTCTTTCTCCCTCCTCCCCATGCTGTCTGACCTCGGTTTGGTAATTGTGATTATCATGCTAGCCACTTTGGTGGAAAAAAGACTGTATTTCAGCTGTAGCATCAATACCTAGTTGTGGTAGAGGTGTGAAAAAAAGCTATGACCAGATGTTGAGATAATGTCTGTGAAAATACTGCTTGCCAACTTTACATGAAGAACCACCATTTTTCAGCAATTTTCTGGTCTTGATAACTCCTTGACTTCTGTTAGGTTAGTGCTTTTAGGCTGCCAGACGTGGGGGTTTTTAAATACTTTTCTTTATTTTGTTCATGTGTCTTTATATAGAAGAATCTTTACAGTCAACATGTATTTCTAGATGCTGTGTTAAAATTGCTGGCAGAGTCTATTATTCTATACAAACTGAACAATCTGGCCCCTTGTTTTATTTATAAAGGTTCAATGTATCTTTGCCTGCCTACATCAATCTGCAAGGGAGTGTCAGAAAGGCCCCGCATTCGCCGAGCCGTGAGTTATCAATAACTTTTCAGATGTGTTAATGAATGTGGAACAAACGCAGTTATGTGTTTAAAAAAAATACGGATCCACCTCCTAAAAAGCAAAAAAAAGAAAAAAAAAAGAAGAGCAAAACTCTTTACTGCAGTAGCAGGCATGATTATAAAGGGATTACTCTAAATTTTTAGTAGTGTAAGTATAACTAAGCAGTAAGGTTGTCCTCTAGAAAACCTATTGTTGAACTGCTTTGAAGCTCTTTGGTGTGTGGGTTACAGGTCTTAACTGTTGTATCCCGCAGGCAAATTAAGCATGTGTTGTTTATGGAAACTTTTGTTTACTTAAGAATCTGAAACGTGGCCCATCTGAAAATGTTATATATTAGTATCCTATGCATAGAACTGATATTTAAAAATCTGATTACATAATGGTAAGAAAGGCTTGTAATCTTTAAAGATATGGGTTTGTTATTCCCTTCTGTTATAGTTACCTCAGTAATGAATTTGGCTTCTTGAATTGTTTAATAGATTCAAAAGTCTTAGAGTTTCAAATCATGAAGCCTTAAAAAAACTTTAATAATTGCAAAATATATCTACACTCTTTAAATTATTTAATGAAATGGAAGAGGCTGCTATCTGAACTCATCGTATGTCGTGTTTTTTTCCCAGCAGCCATCCTTGCTTCAGTAATTCACCAGTAGGTTTTCAATGATTAGAGATCTTAACAAGTTGTTATGTTTAAAAAAATAACTGGCTACATCCTGAGCAAGATTAAGGTGTTTTATCATGCCTGTGTCTTAACAAGAAGAGAGCCACTGCTGTGATCTCTCTTCTGAATTCCAAACAGTGATAATTATGTTATGACTCAAAGGGAAACATATGCCCTCATCCCCAGAATACCAACTGGTTACTTTGTTCGGAAGACTTCAGGTCTTGCTCCAAGAAGGGGTTATTTAACCTTGCAATTGGACCTCAGTATCTGAGCAGGTTGATGTTTCTGCTGATGCAGGAACTACAACCTACCACAATGAAGATCTAATTAAGATGTTCCAGCCCAACAAGCAGCATGTAGAAGAGAAAAGGAAAAAAAAAAAAAGGTTTATCATATGGAGATATGCAAACACCTGTAAGATATTTTGCATATAGGCTATGCCCGTATATTTGACTGATTTTCTTTTCAGGTTTGTAAGCATTTAAAATCATTCTTCTGCCAACTCTTTATGCTATTCCCATCAGAAGTAAGAGGGTGCAAAATCATAAAATAAGTATCAGGTGGGATTTGGTGAAGACTCAATGTGTATCATTTTGTGTTTATGAGGCTGCTTTTATATGCTAATTCTTGCATACAAATACATCACTATTTCATGCAAAATCTGAATAGAACATTATATAGCTCATTTAACAAATGCTGTTGTATCAAAGTGTTTTTAAGCTAATACTGACTTTCTGGTTTCAAGCACTTTTCCTACCGCATTTTTGAAGGGGAAGTGTGAGAGGTTTTTTAAATAGCATTATAGAGCACTAAAACACACATTTGTGTTTTTTGTGTTATTTGGCAAAGAAACATAGAGTGTTTTATAGTTTCCATAGATGTTCACTATGTGACAGGGCACTGTTAACGCTTTGCATGTAACCTGGAGAACATGTTTGACTTCCTCAGTTTTCTAACCTGGAATGTGCTGATTTCTATATTGCAGGTGACACGACCCGTCAGCGAATCAAATTCAGTGATGACAGAGTGTGCAAGAGCCACCTTCTCAACTGCTGCCCTCATGATGTGCTCTCTGGAACTGTATGTAGCTAAATCTCATGTTTTATTTAGATAAGAATGGAGAAATTGAATTATATTTGTTCTTTGTAATATTTCCTTTAATTTCATGATTTTCAGTGAGTATCTACCTAGTGCTCTCCAGTTGTTCGGAGGAACTTTTATAAATGACTAATTTATGGGTTATGAAGTTAGTTTTTAGAATTCTGTGTGCTAATTATTACTTAAATTTCATTGTTTGGTATTACATAAAAAACCAAATAACGCTACCTACATGAATTGCGCTGCAGCAAAGTGGTCTTAAGCTGGTACAGTTACAAGTAGTAGAAAAAAAAGAAATATAATTTATGCACAAATTATGAAGTTGCTTTCTTAAATTATGTGGTAGTGGGAAAGTATCCTACAGATACATTTGTATAGGGAAGGGGAGAGGTGATCTTTCTTTCTTCAGAAATATTTAATGAAAATAATTGGAAGTTCAAATAATTAAATTTCTAGAAGCTGAGATAGCCTTAATATGATAGTAGCACTTACTATACAATATCCAGTTACTGTGCCATTTTCATAAATTCTAAGGCCAATATTAAATCTCCATTTATGGCATACTAGTAAGTTGTTTGACTTGGATTTTTGTGTACTCTGTAGCCAAAGTTCTACTGCCTGAGCATAGCAAACAAGGGGCTTTGACAGTGTGTGTGTACTTTACCTTGGAGTGCCTGTTTTAAGTAGCTTATTTTTTGTGAATGGCAGGTGAGTTGTGTTTCATTGATTATGTAACCTGATGTTCAGTGATGTTAAAATAATTAATAGTAGAGAGATGTAATGTGATGATATGCGGAGTCTTGTGTGCCTACTGGTCTTAATGATGCACTTCTGTACCTTTTCTTACTCATGTTGGCACATATAAGTACTGGAAAACCTGTCTTAAGGATTATTTGAAGTAGTACTGTGTACCAATGTATATCTAGTTTTATTTCGAGCTGTTGTGTACGTTACTGTCCAAACAACATGGGGAAAAGGGGGGACAAATGTGTTCTTCTCACCCATCTGTTAGGTTAGCCAGTGTTTTGGTTGTGTGGTAAGAAAAATAGCTTCTACGGGGGGGAGGGTTGGACATACCAGTATGCTGTAAAAACATACAAAGTCATTGGTCATAATCCACAAGAAGAGACTTTTCAAAGATTGGTTTGGCAGCTCTTCATTGTGTCTAATTTCGGTAAACAAAGATTTCTAGGACAGCTGTCTTTAGCAAATAAGAAATGTTTATCTTTAGAACTATAAAAGTCATAGTTATCATACAGTAGTGCCTCTGATGGTGCAGGTCAATCACGTCAGCTGAGAGAGCTTACTCAGTTTAGGTGGAAGTTTCATCTGTCTCATACTGGATTCTGCTACTGCTCTTGCAGAACTAAACTAAACTGCCGCTTCAGAGAATATCAGTCTTTTCTTTTTCCTTCCTCATAATGCAACTAGTCATCATACCACAAAATGTGTTTCACAATGTAAATCCAGGTCCAGAAAAACAATGACTGGTTTAATCCTTTTAGTGGGACTAGTGGGACTTGTAAGAGGCAGGCTTTACCTGGCCCATGCGATGTTCTGCTGTGGATCTTCTCTCTTTAAGAGCAGTTTTTAAAAGGGCAAGAAGTGAAGAATCTGACTGAACAATTCATCATTGATTTAGAAAATGACTGTGAAGTTTTCTCCAGAGTTTTGAGAGGAAAATTTTGATTTTTGCGTTCAAGATCTATACATAACAAAGGTTGAGTGACACTTCTTTTTTAAATTCAAATCCATGAATGCTTCTGAAAGGATAGGTTCTCTGGGGACATTTTATGAGGTTAAATCTCTGTTGACTAGATTATCAGTGAAATACTGGACATGAGTTGCCATTTTTTTTGCATCACAAGATAATCTGTGATTCTTAAGTGCTGCATATTACTGTTCCTGTCTGCAAAATGCAGGCTTCTGTACAGTTTTAGTCCACCCACTCTTTTGAAAGCACTCAAGGAGGACATTCACAGATAACAGAAGACAAAGTGACTCATATGAGTAGGCGCTATTAATTTAGTGTATTCATTCTTTCCCTTAATGGCCAAATCCCCCAATTTCTGCCAAAGTGTTGATTTCCCTTGACAATAAAAACCATGTTCCTCAGGCTGCAGGGTGTTTTGGTAAAGGTACTTTTGGTTTAGGGGTTTTATTTAGGGATATGTTTTTGTGCTACCAAGTTTCTGGGTTTGTAGACTTGGAAATTCTAAGTCAAGCAGTCAGAGGTGTGTCTGCCTGCTGGAGGTGATTTTGTGTCACTTTTTGGGGAGAGATAGGGAGAATATTGGTTTGGATTTTTTGTGGCTGCCTTCTAAGGGCAGTGGGAGTAATGGGCTACATGGAAGCCATAGGTAGAATTCTGAGTCTCAACAGCAAAAATGCAAACAAAGATAAAATTGTAGCATCCTCTTTCAGTTTATTAAATACCAGTTCCAAATCTCTAGTGCTCTGTGATTTTTTTTAGTTGAAATGTGTTCTGAAGTTTGTGGTAGGCACATAGTAAACTAATTGGTAAGATCACAGAAGTTGTATTCAAGATTGTAGAACAGTGTTCAGAGCTTGCTTTTGACAATGACTCTCACCAAAGCTATTTTAAACTGTCACTTTTTCATATTTTGGTGCTCTGCTTTTTCATAATGATTACTTGGGTGCCAGTTCACATGCATAAATCAGTGGTTTAAGAATTTGCTCGTTCAAGTTGAAAATTTTATAATAAGAGATTAATAAGCCTTTGTAAACCCTGACTACTGGGACACTGAATAATTTGCCACTTAAAGTTAGCAATTTTTATTTAATTTTTTTGGCCTTAGAGGGTTAACACTGTTACATTTATCCTAAACAGTTGCTGATGATCAGGCTTGTGGGCTTTTTGGTGGCTTTGGTTTTGGGTAGGGTTTTTTTGTGGGTGTTTGGAGTTTTTGTTTGTGGGTGTTTGGTTTTTTTCTTCAAAAAAATGTTTGTTTGTCTGTATTATGATATTAGGACTGAAGCTGCATATGTAGGAGTCAGATAACTCCTCTGTAATGGTACAAACCTATTAAGCAACATTCTCTGGATTTAAGTAAGGTCTGTGCTGTGTTCTGCAGGTTCTACAAGATGTATAAGCATGTTTTCTCTATCTTGGTATGTTTCTGAATGAATAGCTGAGTACTAATGAAAACTACAACATGGGAAGACTTAAAACAACTACCTTTAATAAGATTAAAATTAGTAATGTCCTGAATATTTGTAGTAACCCAGTAATTATCTTTAAAGATCCCAGAACAGTTCAATACTTCTGTATCAATCTGGCTTTCTTATTAGCTTGATTGTGCTTCCCTGATGAAAAAAATTCACAAATACTGTATGTGGTCTGTGCAAACAGTGGTTGAGAAATCCTTTCTCCTCAGTGGTTTAACTTTGTATTTATGTGTATTTGTTGAGGAAAATCGCTTCTTGCATTTTATTTATACTGACATGAAAGTATGCTGTGTCAGCTCAGCCCTGCAGTTAAGCCTGTCTTCAGGTGCTCATGAATTTATTACACTCTAGTCTTCAGGACTGCTGCTGACTAAAACCATACTGACCAAGACCTTGGTTTAGCAATATACTTGAATACATGATTGACTTTAAGCTTGTTAGTGGTGGAATTCAGCTCCAGATTAAGACATCTAAATTTAGGTTTCAGCTGAGGAGCTAGGTGTTGAAGCTCGCTCTGAAGTCAGAAGGTATCTAGGCAGTGGAGCCTAGGAAGGGATTCAGTTCACCTCCCCACTGGGTATCCCTGTCAAGGTGGGGTGTATCCATTTAGGCTCACTGAATGTACTGTCTGTGTCTCCTTTTCCTGCTGTGAAAGAGAAGTTTAGATAGTTCACACATCTGCAGATAGGTGTTAGTAAGGTGTTTTAATCTGTAGTTGGTTGATTTGCCAGCAGTCCCATTGGCTCAGTGGAACTATTTGGATGCTTAAAACTTGTGTTTTGAGATGTGACTGTGATTTTTTTTGCTGTACTGTTAGAAAAAGCATTAGAAGCTGTTAAAAGGCATTTGTGCTGGAGGGTATCAGCTTTTCAGTTCAGGACTGATTTGATCATGTGAACTGCTTCAGCTTAGCAAATCAAATTAAATTAGGCTTGCATAAGCTACCTCAATTTGTAGCCTTCAGCCCAGTGGTGATGAATTGTGAAGTGGTCTCTTGCCCTCTCAAGTGACCATGTCAGTTGCTTGAAATGTATTCTTAATTTTTTTGAACAATGCCAGGAAAGTAAACTGACTGTACCATATTCCATTTTAATGGGTTTGATTTTCTAGGTGAAGGGAGGTTTTGTTACGTTCTGTACGGTCATCAACTTCAGTTTTAGTGTATTACATAGTCAAGCTATAAGAATAAATACTATGTGAACACTGAATTATCTCATTTAAAAATAAGAAAGACCTGCTAGCTTTGTAAGTGGAGATCTATTCTAAGGACTTGAAGTCTTCAGAAGTGAGAGTATGGTTATAGGGAGAAATGTCTTTTAAAAAGACTTCTGAAGATACCTGGAATTCAGTGATTACAAAGGACTTCAACTTAATAATTTTTGCATCCTTTTTGGTCAGCATTTCTTTCCTGCTAGTGGGGTCAGAGGACTTAAATTACACATTGTTACATCATCCTAAAGGCTCCCTTTCTGAATATGTGTTGCCTACAAGAAAGGATGGGCTTTATCGCAAGTGTAGAAATATGTCAGAAACAAAATTGTTAATGCAGATAAAAAGTGAGTTCCATTGTAAGGAAGATGTCAGCAAACAGTCTATCTGCAGCTTCTTTTTATCAGTAGCAAGTGTTCTCATACAGACCCTAGTAGTTGCCTTAACAATTTGACAAAGGAGGAGATCTGGTTCCTCCAATATCAATTTATCAGCAACATCAGATCTTTCTAAGCAAACAAACAAAAAAATCCTTCTCTTGCTGAATGTGAACTGTTTTGGTAAGGGTATCTTTAGAAAGAATTCTCTGCATAAACATTGTCCAGAGTATCTTGTTTCAAAAATCTATCAAAGACACATGTTGTTTTTAGAAGCATTTGATTGTTTGTGCTACTATGTCACACTTGGCTCAATATCAGCCCTCCGTGTTTTAAGTAGCTTTGGCTTTTCTGTGCTCTTTTTGCGCTCCTTATAGAGTACATTCCGTAATCAAATTTCTGATGTCAAAAGAATGTGTAGTAGTTGTAAAAGTGCCAGAAAGGGAATTTTGCTGTAGGTGGCTCAAGATCTGGAAGAAAAAGAAAGCCTTCTTAATTTCATGTTCCAGAAACAGCATCATACCAGAGTTTACTTTCCAAATAAGTTATTAGTGCCAGCTTGTCTTGAGTGCATATTTATGTTGCAGATAAACTGAAGAGATTCTGTGTTGCCCAATTCTTTGGCCAGCTCTTCCTCGTCAACTCATATTTAACATGTGATTATTTTATTTTTTGTACCTGATTTAATTGAAGCAGAGCTATGCACCTTTGTCAAACAAAATGTATGTAATCCATATTTCTGTATTAATTCCAAAGGCATTCTGTCTATTTCGTGGATAGGATGACAAAAATTATTACTAAATCATTTCAATATGAGGTTGTTTAGGATGAAAGACAGTTGTCTAAACCTTAGCTCTGGGAAATCAAGCAGCTGTAATTGTCCATCTAGCAGTTAGGAATTAAAATAGTATTGCAGAAAATGGTTAGCAAATCTTTAGAGTAGAAGGCACTACTTTCTTATGCAGAGCTCTGGAATAGCAAAAGTACTCCTGATATGCAGCTTTGCATGTGGTTACCTAGACTAGTCTTCAGTAATAGCTTTTATCTGTATTAAAGATTGTCCAAATATGTAAGGGTTTTTTCTTGGCTTTAATCTCAGTAAAAGTGCGGAAAACTGCAAAAAGAGCCCAAAATGTGGCTTAACATACTCTATAAACTTTATTTATGTCTAGCCTGGGGACTTAGATATTCTCACCTTTCTTTATTTGCATTGCTTATCAGAACTCCTCTATAAATCACTTTAAGTAGTTTAAGTCTGTCTGAAAGTCAGTGTATTGACTGTGAAAAACAGTTTGTGTTCTTTTTAAGCCTTCATTAGTAGCTCAGTGTGTGAGCATGAGTCTCCCTCTTAGCCATCATCTGTTTCAACTGCGATTGATCTTTAAATGGCTGACTGCAAATGCTTGTTCTCTGCCTCTGGAGTAGGCATGCTTGGGCACCAAACCACAAGGTGCACTTGCCCAAAATGAAAATAATGTGTCTTGCTGTATCCTCTCTCCATTTCCATCTGCTGTCCATTTACTCCTCAGCTGGCCGTATTAGCCAGATTATAATAGGAGCTGTTCTGTGCTTATTAAAGTCCTCGACAATCCTGATCCAGCATAGACTTGTGGCAGCAGTGAATCGTCCCCAAAATGAGTTGTCTTCACTTGATGTTGCACAGCTTACACCAGCAGAAGTGCTTTTTAGCCTGTTTTTACATATAATTTGCAAAGTGGTTTAAGAGTTTTAAATGTGGTGGGTCTTTTATGTCTCTCTACAATGGAGTTTGCTAATAGAACTTTTAAGAAAGATGTTTTAAAGTGATATATCTGTGAAGGTTCACAAAGGATTGCCCAGAACTGTATTAAGCAGCAGTTCCAATAATGAAGTAATTTCTTCAGCAGCAAAGCTAATGATAAAGAATCCTTTTCTCTTGTACCTGCTTGTTCTTGCTCCCTGTTATGCCACATGAATATTTATAAGGCAACATTGTTGGATCAAAGAGGAGAAGGGGAGTCAAAATTTCTTCTCTTGTGATTGAGACATGTAAAAAAAGTGAATCCTCTGTAACAGCCACCTAGTCTCTCAAAATTTCTGCTAATATTACTGAAGTTATTCAAAGGTTTTTGAGTTTGCCGTCTTGATACTGTAAGAGATCCTAGCTGCTTAGTCCCCTACTGTGTTGTTCCTTCATATTGTCAGCATGTTGTTTGTGTGGCTGCCCAACAGGTTGGACAAAAAGACTGCTGAAAAATTTGCCTCTGTTTTTGGTTTGCTGAGATATGTTTTACCCAGTCAGTACCCAGATGGTGTTGAACTGCATAGGCAGATGTGTCAGCGTGGAGTGGCACAGCACAGTGATAAAGGGAGGACAGAAAATTTTTCGCTAGTAATGCTGTCCCAGAGTAATTACCATCCTTTCAGGCTATGGATTTACAATTCCCAGTAAGAAGAAAAGAAATCAGGAAATGTACTATTTTGTGGAAGTTAAATCCAACCCAAATAGAGGGAAAAGAAACATAAAGCACATGTAATAGTGAACCGAGTGCCGTGGTGGTGTTATGTGAATTCTGTGGGTTTTTACTGTGTGATGGAAGTTTATTTCATGCATTTATTCAAAGTGTATGCAGATTGCATATTAAAATAGTGGGTTTGTAATGATGTGGTGGATGTGTTTCAGGCTGCTTCTCATTGTATTCAGACCTATTAGAGTGTCACTAGCTTTATGTATGCATTTAGAACTAAAGTACTTCAAACAGGATAGGCCTTGAGTTCTACAGTTTAGCTGTAAAGACCTTATCAGTACAAGAAATGAACGAGCATAAACACAATGTTTTCACAATTTTAGGAGAATTTTTAAGTGTCTAATTTTCAAATAATTTCAAAATATTCTTTCTTATTGTTTTCCTAGTATTGAAGTACTTTCCTGAAAGAATACTTCAGTTTAAATAATGTCAGCCTCTGATGAGAGGAAATAGACATGTATTATACATTGCTCAGCTTCAAGGTCTTTGTGGATTTGCATCAGTTAACAAAATTGCTGAGGGCCTGTATAGTTGCAACAGGAAAAGCTAATCTTTATCATTGCAATCAGATGTTCTCTGTTGCAATCAAATGTCTTCTGGAAAACAGATTTATGGTGGCTGAAGGGTATTTAAACAAGTGCAGTTTATAAAAAACTTTCAAGTTCAAAATTCTTCATTTTAACAATCTTTTTGTTTGTTTGTTTCTAATATTTGAAATAAATTAACAACTTCCATAAAAATTACTTTAATGGATTCATTGGAACATCAGTGAATGGGGATATGAGAAGACAAAAGTAATTGATGTTTGGGTTTTTTACTCTACTTAGGAGGCTTGAATTGTTTACTTAAATCCAAGTATTTTATGTATTAACAAAAAGCAAGCAAACAAAAACCCAGCTAAACCCCTACTCATTTGGCTCACATTCAAATGACTTGCAGTACTTTCTGAGTTAACACTCATCCTCTGTTTACAAAACTCACAACACAGGTTATTAGTTATTTTAGATTTGGTTCTAAAAGTGTTATTTAATTCCAGCAGTAATAGCTTTTTCCATCAGAGTTCAATTTGCATTATGTGCTTTCAGTGTTAAGAAAGGATTAACTCTTCTTAATATTAAGTGAGCAGTGCCAAGAGCAGACCTAACTGAAACCATGCTGGTTTTAAGTGATGCAAATAATCAATTTCAACGATTATACATCAGCCTGTGCTTTTGCAGAGAGGCTGCCTTGGTTTTATTCATTTTTGTTTGCATTTCAAATTGGCTTTGGGAGGGGTTTGGTTTAGTTTTTTGATTTTTTTTTTTTTTTTCTGTTGTTTGTGGGGGGGTTTTTTTGGTCTGTCTTGATCACCAGACTTGTGGTGAACACACTGAATTAGAATTTCTTATGCTGTGTATTATGCAAATTTCAATTTAAAAACAGTGTTTGTTATCTCATAAGATTCTGGGCGCTCTTCTCAGTGGCATTGTATGCAAGATTAGTGATGCACCCTACTTAAAAAAAGTAAGTCCATACTTTCTTCCTGCCCTTCCAAGAAGGGTTTTAAACTACAAGTGAAGTATCTGTAATTTTTCTCCCCTGATTCTTGAACACAGTCCAACATTCAGATCATCTTCACTCATATGCAAAATGTTTTGCTGGGATTTGATTTTTTGACTCTCTCACTTGGAATGCTTCAAGAATGTTTTTTAAACAGCGCTTGCCGTGGTGCTGTGGTTGTAGCTGTTTCAGGTGATGAATATACCTGAAACACAGCACCATAGAGTGTGCAGACAGTTCGGGTCGAGAATTTGACCATTTAACTGCCAGTTATTTTCATAGAACTTGATTCTGCTAAGCTGTTTAAATTCAATACAGGATGTTCCACTTGAGTCACTTTTTTAAACTTTCAGTAAAACAACATTTTTGGGAGACGTTAATGATACTTTGTGATCCAAACAGCTATCATGATAAGACAAGCTGTTCATTCTCTCTGCTTTTATTATTTCCTAATTCATGCATTTCTGTTAAAGACCTGGTATCATTTTATAGCTTTGTTAAACTGTCCTTTTGTTCTCTCAGGGGAGCTGATTTGCTTCAGAGTATTTGACTGTTAAAGAAAATCATGCTAACTTATTCGTTGTAACATTTCTGAAAAATTAAACCACATTGCCTCTGTCTCTTTTCAGAGAATGGACCTTGGAGAATGCCTGAAGGTGCATGACCTGGCATTAAGGGCAGACTATGAAATAGCATCTAAAGATCAAGATTTCTTCTTTGAGCTTGATGTATGTATTTTGTCTTAATGCTGGAGAGAGAGCATAGTTTGTATACCAAGGTCGATACACTGAGCAATAGATGTTAAGTTTTGCTACACACAGAAGGATCTTATAAACAGAGAAACCCTTGGCAAAGATACATGCCTCTTCATGAATATATGCAAGTATTTAATTTGTATTGTCACTCTCTAGGTAGAACTGTTAACAACCTCCCACAGAACAAAATATCATAAACGTGGGTGCTGTCTTAGTGTTATCACATAGCAGGCAAATATTAAGGCTGTGTATGCTTTGAAGAGAGTTTTAAATTCTATATTTAATGAAGAAAGTAGTTCTGTATTGATAACAAATCGTATACTGTCTCCATACACTATAGTTTGAGTTTTGTACTCCCAACTAGGAAGGTAGTTTTTGCTAGGACAAAAAGGTTTGGTTTTTTAATTGCTGTTTGAAGGGATGATGTTAATATGTTTAATAGCTTAAAACCCTAGTGAAAAATGTTAACAGTATTGCATGTAATGGCTGGATGAAGTGATCCTGAATATCCTTTGAAGAATTTTAATGCCTGCTAGAAATACTCACTTCTTGTCAGAGAAGACCTAAGACAGATTCACTTCCAAATTTCTGCAAATACTTAGAACCATGACAATGTGTAGGCTATAGTTTTTAAAAAGTTGTGTGTTAATATGTGTTTACATTATGTGTCACCATAAACTGATAGAGTATCATTTTACAAAGGTTTCACTAATAAAAACTTAAGGAAGTTAAGTCTTGATAAACTTAGGAAGCATTACAGCTAATGAAATATCCATGTTCTTGACAGCACTGATCTGTGTTCTTATTGATGTTTTAGGCAATGGACCATCTGCAGTCATTTATTGCAGACTGTGACAGGCGAACAGAAGTGGCTAAGAAAAGACTAGCAGAAACCCAAGAAGAGATCAGTGCTGAAGTTGCAGCTAAAGTAAGCATGGAAAACTAGTAACTGAAGTCTCTTTGAAGGTCTGTTTTTCCAAAGAGCCAACTTGAAGTTTTGGCAAGATATTGAATCTCAGAATTCATACTGAGGAGAGGGAAAAAATAACACATTTTCTCTATTCTTCCCAAAACAGCCCTTAAGGCACAGGAAGGAGAACAGGGAAGAGACCTCTGATATTTTTGACCTCGAGAAACTTGACACTGTGATTCCATGCCATACAAATGTTAGTAATTCTTACACTTTTTGATCAAAACTTCATCCATAAATTAAACCAAAATTGATGTGCTTTTCTCTAGATCTTCGAATGAAAAAAAAACTTCTACAATTTTTGTGCACATATGTACACATGCTAGGAGGAATGATTACACAAATACTAATTTTGCAAGACTGTGTGGTATGGACAACAGTGTGAATTACTTGAATTTTCTAAACAAAATCCTTCTCTGGAGTTGGTACATTGACCTGGTAACTCAGCCTTTCTCTGTGTGTTTTTCAGTGAGGCATTTTCTATTTCACTCTTAACACCTGGAGAAGTGCTCTCTGCATGTTTCTTTTCTGTCCTACCAATTTTGCACACAGTAGTAGTTCAGATTGTTTTCCATAAGTAAAAGCATTTCCTGTGTTAAGCCTTTCCTTGTCTTTCAAGGCTGAAAGAGTCCATGAATTGAATGAAGAAATTGGGAAACTGTTAGCCAAAGTAGAACAGCTGGGAGCTGATGGAAATGTGGAAGAATCTCAGAAAGTAATGGATGAAGTGGAGAAAGCTCGGGTAAAGAAGAGAGAAGCAGAAGTAAGTTGAATTGTATAAGGCTTGGGGGATGGAGAGGGCAGGGTCAAGTATTAAATTGGTTGGCCTTTGTGTAAATTGGTTGACCTTCATGTAATGCAAGACGTCTTATCTACTTTCACTTCCTTAGCTAATTGCATCATATAAAACTAAAGAAATTGCTTTGCAGCATCCTGTACAGTCAAAGTTTGTACCCTTAAATACACTCATATACAATGAAAATTATACTCCCTTCCACAAATAATGCATTCATCTTAGCTTAGCTGTATTGGTCAGTTGTATCTGTGGACACTACCATTGTGTCTGTGTTTGTTGGACTGACTTGCCTGGTTTGCTCTCAAGGCTTTTGCTGTGGCGTGCTGATGTGACTTGTACTGGAAAGCTTCAGTGAAGTGAACCATTGTCTTCTCTGGAAGATACTTATTTAATGTCTTGTGTATCAGTCCAGTCAAAATGGTCCTTGTAATGGTCAGGTGGCAGAATGCACCAAGAGCTTTTCATATTGTGTTGCTCCAGGATACAGGGATTTACAGAAACAAACATCTGCAGTTGTTTTAATAGTACCAGAAGGGTTGCTGACAGTCTTGCTGGTCTGTCATCTGAGTGTCTGTAGATAAATTTTGTTCAGATAATGTGTTTAATTAGTGTCTAAAATGCAGATGGGTTTCTCAGGAAACTAACACTGTTTTAAATTGCGCTCAGAATTAAAACTGGTGTAATATTTTCATAATATGTCAACACAGTAATTGTAGTGTTAGTGTGTATTCATTGTTGGATATGAAAATATTGTTCAGCTTTCTGTGCAATATAGTCTTACGTAAAGGTAATAATTACCCCACTTTTTTAATTCACAAATCCACAAAACCATTTGCTAATGTCCTGCTTTTAAATATGTTCAATTTTCAAAATAAGGAAACATGCCTTGTGTCTTAATGAAACAGTTGATTTATGAATAGTGTGAATTAACTGAAGGGTGTGCTGGTGTACATTGAATTTGGTTATTAATTTGTAGCATGTGCTTGGTAAAGTGTTATCCTTGTATTTATATGCACTGAGAAGTAACAGCAAATTTTTTTTTCTAGGAAGTGTACAGGAATTCTATGCCTGCCTCCAGCTTTCAGCAGCAGAAGCTACGGGTTTGTGAAGTGTGCTCAGCTTATCTTGGTCTTCATGACAATGACCGACGACTTGCTGATCATTTTGGAGGAAAACTACATTTGGGATTTATTGAAATAAGAGAGAAGCTTGAGGAACTCAGGGTAAATCATTCCTATATTTTGTGTGTGTGGTCCTACTTAATTATTTGACAGGCAACCTTAATTGAATATTTCCTTCTGGATGTGTGGGATTTTTTCATGTCACTTTAAAATTTGAGATTTCATTAGCCTAAAAAACACTAAAGATTTTAATTTAACATCAATTACCCAGATAATTTACTAAGATGACCTCTTTTGTACTGAGGTATATTAAAACACATGCAGAGTAATGCATCTTGAGAACAAAGAGTGTGATTCTACTTGTAAATTGATAAACTGTATTTTGAACGAACAGCAGCAATGTTATATTTAGCAGTCACAGGAGATATCCAAATGAACTTTGCTTTTAGCCAGATGATTGACTAAAAATAATAATGAGACTTGAAGATACGAGAGCATGGATTAGGGAGGATGATAACACTTGGAAAAGTTTTCAAAAAAATGTAAAGAAATGCTTGGAGCTCAGACAGCCTGCTGTATGGTGAATAACTAAAACTCACTTTGTTTATTTTATCTGGACAAAGATTAGGAGGTGACTTTGAATTTTCTTCTAAGTAATTTTTCAAGGCTTTTAAGCTTAAGTGACAATAGATGAAATAAACAGGTTCCAACAACTCAAGGCTGTAGCTATGCAAAGTGGAAATACAGAATGATGGATATCTTGAAGTCAGGCTAGCTGTTAAAATAATTCTTATGGGGAGGTTGCATGTTCTTTATAGCTTGAAAATTTGAAATCCAGTTGGAATATTATCCTAAACAACCCTATCTTGACCAGAAATCACGTGCTGGAAGAAAGACTTACTGGAATTGTATTCTGGTCATCTGGTATTCTAGAGAATGGATTTGGACACTGATGCCATTTATGACCTTAATATAGAAATTATGGAGTTCCCAGCTCAATCAAGCATTTTAGCTGTAGAAATCACTGAAGACAATAGCTAAAGGACTTGAAGCCCTAACAGCAGAAAATGCTGCTAGTGGGTTTGAGTAAATTGACTTGTATTATGTTTCATAATATTCCAACTGTCTTGCATGGATAATGACTTACTCTTTGGAGAGCCCAACTCTTTCTGTTGACTGTAGAGGCAATTTAGGCTCCTAATATAGCTGGTGTAACTTAAATCTTAGATGCCTAGAACAGATCACGTGTGCTTCCTCTCATCCCTCCATGAAATTATGCACAGTCACTTGAACGAGAAGCCTAGCTTGTAGTTAAATTGGTGATGTTGTACAAGGAAGTATAGATATAATTTGACATAGGGGTTGAATTGACTGATTATTTACACCATTCGGAAAAAAATATGCATGGATAACTTATTTCACATTCCCAAAACATCAAAAAAATAATCTTTTGAAGTGGTTCGCTAACAGAAGAAGAAAACAATAACTATCCCCTCCTTCCTCAGAGCTCTCCTCAGAGATCTAATCAAGATGCTGCTGGGGCAATTCCACCTCTCAGAAGAAGGTCTTTACAAAGAGTTGAATTTCTTGCATCATGTCCAGAAGGTGGCAAGACTTGGGTTTGGCCAGATCTCCAGTTGTGAGTTCCACATCTGAGGGCCCTCTACTGAGCGTGCCTTGTCCCCAGTAGTAGTGAGTTCAACCTGGGGGCTAACAGCTGAAGCATCTGCTCTAATTATATGTCTCATGGTCACAATACAGAAACAAGTAGCCTCAAAACCTAGATATCAGCCCAACCAAGTCCTTTAAGAAACAATTAACTCTCCCGGTTCTGTATTCTTTCTACTATTCCCCGGTGGCCAAAATATGATAGGATTGGCATGGAAACTCTCACATTAAAGGCATGACTTGCTGCTCTGAATTCCCCTTTATTAAAAACTTAATGTTTAACTCTGCATATTTCAGGTCTTCGTGTAACACCCATCTATTTGCTGCAGCTCTTCTGCAATAACTTCTGTTTCTTGAAGAAAAAAATACATATATACTGAGGAAGAGAGAGGGAATAATATACACAAGGGAAAGGGAATATACCTGAGAAAAAGAACTGAATGTTAATGTCTAGATCATTTTTATAGCACCTTCATCTGAGAAATTTTGAAGTATAACTTAATGAATATGTTCATTTGTTTTTAGAGGATTGTGGCTGATAAACAGGAGAAACGAAATCAGGAACGTCTGAAACGTAGAGAGGAGAGAGAAAGAGAAGAAAGGGAGAAACTAAGGAGGTAGGGAGCTATTTTAATTGCATGTACATAATGACCTATTTAAGTTTAATGAGAAACCTATGATGTCGTTCATAAACATTTCTAAATCTGCAGAGTTACGATACTTTGCATTCTTTGAAAACTTACAAGGATTGAGATGGAATTTCATGTCTAACTGTTAAAACTTGGAATTGTTTCCATAAAAAGCCTTTTTAAAAACTACTGATAGTAGTACATCTACGTATTGGAACAAATGGTCTTTAAATGAGATAATTTTCAGGTGTGTACCTTGTTTTGAGACCTGATAATTGTGATCTATACACATGTGATTTTCTAACATCTGATAGCTATTTTCTTCATATATGTTAGAAAATTTCCTTATTGGAAGTAGTTGAATGTATGACTAAGGAAAGTAATTCCCTGTTCTTCTGTGAAATAGTAGCTTCCAGACCTTGTGGAATGGAATCTGAACTGCAGTTCTCTCAACATGTTAGCTTCAGAGGCTAACAGTGTAAACTTTTGAAATCTGTTGCAGTCTGATAATACTTGCCTGTCAGGAAATAAGGGAATACTGACTTGAACTGTAAGCTTTTTCTATAGGAGGGATGGGAGTTAAAAAGCAAATTAGACATTCTTTTGGGTTTCTAATATGGTAATCTCAAAACTGAATTAAGGGGGGGAAAAAAAAACAAAACCCACAAACACAAAACGGGGATTTACCAGGTGTTTCCTGGTAAACATGTAGCAGTAAAGATGTTAATATTAAATAAAGGGTCTTTAAACAATTGCTACTAAAACAAGAAATACAATTACAGGTCAACTAGTCTAGTTTATTATTACTAAATTGTACCTTATATAATAATAAGATTCTATAAGAAAAATTACTGTTTTCCTTTTATTTCAGGTCCAGATCCCACAGCAAGCATGCCAAAAGGTATATAAATCTGCAGACAAGGAATACTAGCGGTGAAGCCAGCCTTTCACAAGCTGGCACATTATAAGTTTGTGTAGCACTATTAGTTTAAGATGTCCATCTTTATGAACAAAGCTTTCTGTTACATAGTCATCTCTCTGTGATTTTATACCATGCTACTGAGTTTATACATGTACATTTATTTTATGGCTCCTGCAATGCAGCCTTGTGTCCCAAATAACATTTAAAACACAGATAATTGCTTTTTCTTTACGAATGTTTGTGGTTAGTACCTTTTTGTGAAACCCCATGTTTTTAAAATCCTAAGCACCAGGTTAACTCTTAATAGATCATCCATCAACAGTATGAGTGTTCTTCCAAACCTACGCTGTTGCAAGTCACCAGTGAGGTATGACTGCAAAGTGATTTAAAAAAAAAAAAAAAAGGAAAGAATAGACTGAATTTTTATGGTGTTTAGAACCTTGCAGGCTAGTTTTGTTATTGTAGCTATGGGGAACAATATAGTCCAGTTTCTTCAGAACATCATAATACAAAGATTCTGGCAGATAACCTGTATCACTGCATCAGGGAGTTCTACAACTTTGCCTAATAAAGACAAGATTTTAAAATTTTAAAAAGTAGATTTTTTCCATATTTTAATTGCTTTTGGAAGCTTGAATTGGCTATGCTGTAGTCAAACAGTCATGAGTTGATTTTAAAACTGTCTGCATTAGTCACAAAGCAGTTTGTAGCCTTTCTAATGTTGCTTTCCCCTGTTTGCCTGTGATCAGACAATGCAGTAGCTCTGAACACTGCAGACCATTCTGTGTGCAGATTTGCCTATGCATAGAGTGCATCATATTCACAGTACACTGGTAAGAGTACCTGGGTGAATGCAGTGTCTGGTTTAAGTCCTTTCTGTTCCTAGATCTAGGTCCCGAGATCGCCGCAGACACCGGTCTCGCTCAGCCTCACGGGAACGAAAGAGAAGAACTCGCTCCAAATCCCGTGAGAAACGCCATCGTCACAGGTCTCGCTCCACCAGCCGCAGCCGGAGTCGCAGCCACCATAGAAGCAGGCATAGTTCCAGGGACAGAAGCCGAGAACGCAGCTCCAAAAAGAGGTAAGTGTTGCCCTAGAAATAAATGGCTTTTCCTAGAGGCATGATGAGAATTCTCACACTAAATTAAGTTTACAGTTACCACTTGGCAATTTAAACACGTTTTGACTCTGTCTCAGGTTTTAGTTACAACTTTAGCGTAATTATGGTTTGACATACCAGTGACTTTTTTCTATTTATTTTTTATAAAAATAATAGCGTTACATTATTTCAGTTTTGGATGAGTGCTGCAGAGTACTGGTGTCAAGTTGATAATACAAGCTTCCTGCAGCGTAGGAAAACAGCTCATTTTCATTTGACCCCAGGGATATTAGCAGTCATCTTACTGTCATACATTTGTTTTTTCCCTCGGGCTCTTGTTCCCAGCACCAGAGCCCATCTGTTGTGTACTGCACCGTATGCAAACAAGTTTAGGTATGCCTGAAAATAAACTTGTTGCACTACATCTGAACGTGTTGCTTTGCAAGGAAAGTCACTGAACCCCTCATTAAAGGGTAACTGCAGAGGGCAAGCTGGGGTTATTGCTTTTGAATGATTCAATTGCTGTCTGCCTCTGAGGATTTGCTGGCTTCTTTTAGATGAGTTAAGCATAACTTAGAATGGGATTGCACAACGAGACATTTGACAGGGAGGCCTGCTCATAAACAGGATTCTTTTCTTTTATAGGTCAGCCACTATGGTGTACATTTGAGTGCAGTACAGTGTCAGGGTGCTCAGTCTTAAAGCCCTGACAAACTGTTGACTTGCAAGAAGGTAAAAGGTCTGGTTTTGAAGTGACCACACGTGCAGGGTTTATCTTTCAATTATTTTAGGAGTTAAATCACCGAGGATGGAGAAATACGTTGAACGTGTTCAAGGATCTCATGGACTCTTTGCTCAAAAAATGAGCTTTTTTCTTCATAGAGTAGGTAGGTGACTGTAATCCCATTGTGCTCTGTAAGAGAGCACAGAAGACAGGGTTAGTCCAAGTCTTTTCTTTCTTTTTGTTGCAGATGGATAAAAGTTATAAGTTCAGCACTCTACTTGATATCAGCAGTAGCGTCTGGTATTTAAAATACTTCAGTTTTCTAAAGTCATTATTTCAGACTTGGCAGTTTCCATCTCCGAAGAGCGTGCCCCTTCATGGCATTCACAACAGCAGATTAGCAAATCTTCAAGCCTGTAGTTTTTAGCGTTAAAACAGGCTTTTCCTTTGAATCAATGTATTTGTTAATTTGGATAAACCAATTTGTAGAGTTTGTGCTCAGACTGCCTTTACTACTTCTACTTTTCCATCTTTGCAAGACTCGATTTCCATCCTTCGAAGAAAACTGTTCTGGTTGATCGTACTTGTTCAAACTCTCCAGTACGATTAGCACAATGCAAATGATGCAGAGAGATATGTAAGAACAGGGAAATGGTATAGACCCCTGGTGCTATCCATGTAACAGTAAGCATGTTAAAAGTAAAAAAATATAATGTACTTCAGGGAGCAAATTTCAGCCTTATGATATTCACTACTGGAGATATTTCTCCTGATGTCAGTTTCTGCCCTGAAGGAATGCAACACACCTGTGTTGGAAGAATCCCTGGTACAAAGAAGAATTTTGCAGTACTGTTGGCTTGAGGGGAAAAAACTGCTGTGCCATCATTAGCAGCTCAGACCTCTTATTTCTCTGAGGTGAAGCAAAATTTTTACTCTGAAACTACGTATATTGTGCTTTCAAGAGATTGAAGAATCCGTAGACCTGTGATCTTGCTGCACTGGGACCAGGATGGCTGTTGAACTTGCACCTGGACTGGATACCTCCTTTTTATAGATGCCTTTCTAGTCAGTAGAGCAGCTCTCCACATGAACATCGGAGAAGTCTTTCTGTTGAATACCATAGCAATGGTGATGCCAGAATGCAAAATAGACCTGAACTCACAGGCTCTGATGTCCTTGTCTCCTAGGAACTCTTTTTTTCTATTCTAGGGAAGTACTCATTGCCAAATCCTATTTTTTAAATTTGTTTTAGAAGGAATTTCTTAAAATCCTCAGACGAAATATTTCTATCCAAGCCTGTGTGTCTTAAGCTCATAACATTCAGTTGTCCAAGGAATTCTGACCAAGAATACTCTGGAAAATAGAAGACAGGCTCCAGGAAGTTAACTTCTTCAGGAAGGAGTCCTAGAATTTTGGTTTTGAATAACCAAATAAATTCAGATCTGGGGAACATGGTGTTCTTACCCAACTCCTGCAGGAGAGCAGTGTGTGACACAAGCAGTAGAAAGGCAGCTGAAGGCTGCAGCAGTGGCAGCCCCTGGTGCCAGTAATTCTAGGGCCTTAAGAGAAGTGTGCCATGATTACAGGCAAATGTGCAGAGTATTCCTGCTTTCAGCGAACCACGCAGTTCCTTCTGGTTTATCCTGTCCACCCTTTATAAGAAAGTATTTTCCGAAGAGCCTCTCACATTAAATGAAAAAGTGTCGCCTCTCAGGTACTTCTTAATTCTGAAAGCAAAGGGATGTTTTATTGTGTGCTATAGCTGAGGAAATGCTACAAACACATACATTTGTCTGACAGATACATTTTTTTTATTCCGTATCACTATGAAACTGGTGGATAGATTTAAATCTGTTAATGGCTGGGATCTCATTTCAAATTTACCAGTATAAAGACCAGACCTCCATACTCTATGTATGTTCAACTGAACATACATGAAGTGTCAGGCAATAGTAGCAGTGTGTCTTAGATAATGAGAACCTATCTGGTAATAGTAGCAACCTGCTAAGGTAATAGGAACTCTAGGTCTACTCAGGCTTGGATTACTGGCTTACTAAGAGCAGTAAATAAAGTCCTACTTTTTCTTGCTGTTAGTCATAAGTTTCAAATAAATAAAATTGTCTTTCGCTTCATTAGAAACAAACTATGTAGTTGGTGCATTTTGCTTTCCAACGAGAAAGTGAGTGTTTGCAGTTAGATGTTAAGATGCATACTCAGTAAGGTCAGTCATGACACAGACCTAAATATAGGTACACTGAGAGAAGGTTTTGTTAGTATGCTTGAGCCCACTTACAAGAATTCATGTGACAAGGGATGATTGCTCCCATACAGACATTGTATGGATGAATACCTGAAGTCATAAGATGGGGCTTCATTTCACCTGGCTTTAGATGACTAGGTGAGATGTAAGTCTCATGAGTCTCATTACAGACTCATCTGACATAATTTTCTGTATTTTGAGATGAGACAAATCGTGCCTTAAAGTATCTCTTTCTTCTGCTGACTGTTAAGGATCAGTTGGGTAGTAATGCTTTCTAGCATTCTAGATAAGGTAAGTCAAGGGCAGTACCTTGCCCTTGAGAAAGACAGTAGTGATATTTCTAAGTCTTTTGGTAGTGATACTGCTTGCTAAGGCAGTTGTATAAATTTTCACATCGCTGTGCTGTGATTCATTAAACCCAGTCCTTCTTCTTGTCTGCTGATTAGAGACTCACTTGTAGAGAGAGGGGACAGCTGGATGAATGCATCTTAATATTCCTCCAAAAATGCATTGATTAAAAAGCCAAAGCTGTGAATGGCATCATATCCTATCTGTCTGTCTGTTTTAGGATTAATTGCTAGAGTTAGCCTGAATCAACCAGTTTGGAAGCGTTGTTACTTCTGCAGGGGACTTGCAGCACAAGATACTTGCTCAACAGCTGTACTAACTCTGGGATTAACCTCTTACTTGGCATGTAGCTTCTCTTCTGTGACATGGGATTTGTGGAATAGGAATAATACCTCTGGATCTTAGCATTTGCAAACGCTAAGTCTTGCAAAATTGCAGGGAAAGTAATCTTTTCAGCTGAGGAACTAAGATGAAAGGTCACTTCTTTGTAAGCTTGTAAAAGGAAATTAGTGCCAGGAGCATTTTGCAGACCTTAGTTTTGAAGCTTTGAGGAGAAGTGACAGTAACTTTCTGTAAGGGGAGAGAGTACAGTTTCTGGCCAGTAAACCAAATTTTTTGACAAGGAACCGAGTGGCTAGCTTTGTAGCATGCTGTTTTTTCTGTAAAAGTTTGTATTAAGCTGTTTTATGATTGCAGTATATGGTAAAATGAAAATGCAATGTTTTTCAACAACGGACTTAAGTGCATCGATAAGGGAATATAGAGAAGGATGTCTAATCCGTTTTTTTCCCATACGGGTAGCTCATTCAATTTAAAACAATATGGATTGTTTAACAGAACATCCCTTTTCTGGCTCTATCATTTTAAAAATGCATATTATCTGAGTAAAATATCTAAAAATAATACCACCCCAACCTTGCAAAATAACACAAGGGCTAATTCTTGTAACAAAATATAATTGTAGCACAGTTTGGTTTAGTTTGTATTTGTCATGTAATAGTCTTGTTCCAGAATAACACAAGTTAATTTCCCCCGCTTTTAATCAGACTCCCATTTTTAAACATTTAAGTTTGTAATGTATATGTCTGAGAAAGGCTAGAAACTGCAGATGAAGAATTTCCATTAAACTTCAGTTAATACAAACTTGAGGGTGGAGGTTGAAAATAAGAGATTTAGTGAAGCACATTGCCCTTAATCTGGGCTCTGTAGTAGATGTAGATTAAATCCTGCCTCCAGGTATTTGTCTTTTGAAATTGGAAGTAGGAAAGGGAGAAGAGTAGAATGATTTCTGATGTCTTCTCATACACTTCTATTTATATAAATCTGAATTTGGGTTGGAAAAAGAAGAAAAATACAAAATCCAAGTGCTGTTTGATAGCTAAAAATTTATGACTGACTCAAATTCTCAAATGTACTGCACTTTTCAGATCCTCTAAAGAAAGATCTTCCAGAGACAAAGAACGTTCAAGAGACCGCGACAGAACATCCCGTGATAAAGATAGAAGCTCAAGAGAGAGGTCACCACGAGATTTCAAAGACAAGAAACGTTCTTATGAAAGTGCTAATGGCAGATCAGAAGACCCAAGGAGCTCAGAGGAGCGCGAAGCAGGGGAGATATAACTGGCTGTATATTCACCTGATCTCTAGCTTCCTATGGAGTTGCATACTTTGGTTTAGTTTACAGTTGTTCAAAGGGACACCAGTGAGCAGTTCGAGACACTGATCCAACTAGGGTAGATGTACAGTATATAAAAGTGGTTATAACAAAGTCAGAATTAAACCCCATCAATTAATGATGCCTAAAGCTGGGTCCTGGACTTCCACCAAGTTGTAAAACTTTTCTGAAAGATTTCTCTTTATTCAGGACAACAGTTTTATGTACCAAGATGCAGATCTCAATGTTTTTAATCTCCTTTCCAATACAAGTTAGTGAACAAATTATATTGTACTACTTGCCTTGGGTGCTTTTGAACCTTTATAAATTCTCCAATTCTGCTCCAGTCAAAACAGCAGCATTGAAAGGTTGTATTTGGGGGGATTTTTTTTTTGTTTGCTTTTTTGTAAGAGGGTGGGTGGATGGATATTAACTTTTACTCTAAGGTTATGTTCCCAGTGTTGGGTTTTATTTTTGTTTGGGATCCTAGGAGTTGATTACAGTGGGAGCATTTAGACAGAAATGTGTGCTGGAGAAAGCAAAATGTCTTTTTACAGTGCCTATTTAGACTTGGAAATTGAACAGCTGTTGCATTACATCTTTTTTATTTCTACTTAAATTTTGAAATCAAAGCCAGTCCCATATCTGTACCATTTGATTGGTATGTGTTCAATATATTTGTTTTTTTCCATAAGGACTCTTTCTGCTTTTTCTTGTGGGATGCATCCTTAATTGTATTAAAACAAACAAAAAAACCAGCAACAACAAGCGAAAATTAAGAACAAAAGAAATAAAAAAAAATAAAAAAGAAACCATATTGTCCAATAACTTAACAAGGATATAGTGGTCTCTTTAAGGTGTTAATTAGCAGTTCAGTCTTTTAAAAACTAACATCTGGTTTTTAGAGTTTTTAACATACAGATGTGCTCTAGGAGAAGCGGTCATTCTGATCACGGTCCTGATTGAAGTCCTAAAATCTTCAAAAGCAGAAACCTGTGGAGTCAGAACTATAGAATGGTTTGGGTTGGAAGGGACCTTAAAGATCATTTAGTTCCAACCCCGCTGCTTGTGGACGGGGACACCTTCCACTAGACCAGGTTGTTTAAGGCCCCGTTCAGCTTGGCCTTGAACACCTCCTTGGATGGGGGATCCAGAACTTCTCTGAGCATCCTGTTCCAACCCCTCACCACCCTCACAGTAAAGAATTTCTACCTAATATCCATTTTAAAGCCATTGCCCCGTGTCCTGTCACTACATGTCCTTGTAAAAAGTCCTCCTCCAGCTCTCTTGTAGCCCCTTTAAGTACTGGAAGGTGCTGTAAGGTCTCTCTGGAGCCTTCTCTTCTCCAGGCTGAACAACCTGACCTCTCTCAGCCTGTCCTTACAGGAGAGGTGCTCCATCCCTCTGATCAACTTGGTGACCCTCTTCTGGGCCCACTCCAACAGGTTCATGTCCTTCCTCTGCTGGGGATGCCTGAGCTGGATGCAGCACTGCAGGTGGGTTCTCACCCAAGTGGAGTAAAGGGGTGGAATCCCCTCCCTCGACCTGCTGCCCAGGCTGCTTTTGATGCAGCCAGGATACACTTGGCTTTCTGGCCTGCCAAATGCATGTTGCCGGTTCAGTCACTCATCCACCAGCATCCCCAAGTCCTTTTCTTCAGGGTTGCTCTCCATCTGTTCATCCCCCAGCCTGGATTTGCGCTTGGCATTGCCCTGACCCAGGTGCAGCACCTTGCACTTGGCCTTGTTGAACTTCTTGAGGTTCACATGGACCCACCTCTCAAGCCTGTTAACGTCCCTCTGGATGGCATCCCTTCCCTCCAGCATGTTGACTGCACCACACAACTCAGTGTCATCAGCCAACTTGCTGAGGGTGCACTTGATCCCAGTCCATGTCACCGACAAAACATAAGGGGAGGTGCTGTCCATTCTGTTGGATTGAAAGTGCTTTGAGGTATTTAAACTATTCAGATGTGCTCTACTCCCACACAGAAGAATTTAAACATCAGTAAATTTTTTGTCCTTGAGTTCTCGCCACCGAGTTACCTAACATTGAAGCTTAAGAGCAATATTTGTCATGAATTATTGGCATTTTCAGTGGGTTGTGCAGTGTCTCTGTAGGCCTGCTAATCATCGGTGTGTAATACCGTTCACTGTGTGCATTTTCCCTCAGTGTCTTTTCTGTAGCATCTTCAGTATGGTCAGAACACTTGGGTGATAATTCTAATGCGTAAGATAATTTAGCAGTATTTTGGCTGGCAATGAAAGCTAGAACAGGACCTTTACACCTCTGCAAGGACTTGGATTCAGCATCACACATTCCACTTTGAATTGATTCTATTTTAATGATGACTGACTACTTAACACTTTTTATTATTTACCCATTTGAATTCTGAGTATGAGTTTCCTTCCTGGGAATGTTTTATGACTTCCTGAGTGGCCCAAGTGCTTGATGAATGAAAGTTACCAGTGTTTGTCCCTCTAGTACTGACCATACTGTGTAAGTGGTTGATAACATCTGTTGTCACAGTTTTAAGTGAAATTCTAGTGGTGTGACACAAGGTGAACAGTCATTTCTAGATACATCTTGCATAGCACAAGTGCCAGTGATTCCTCTGGAATTCCTGTCTGGAATAACAATATTCTAGAAATACTGAGGGCCTGTCTCCCCCTGCAGCCAGGAACTAGAAATTTTGTGTTGTAAAAGGGGGGATTGGCAGTGAAATTTGCAGACTGTGACATAACACTGCTTAGATTCCTTACTAGCAGATTTTGGATAATATGCCATTTATTTTACAAATTACTTTTAATTACAAAACAGTGATTGGGTTTGGGCCTTCCCTTATTTAGAGGTTTTCATGGGGTGGTGAGCTTCATAGTATCCAAGTACCACACCAGTGTTAAGCAGAAGGAAGGTGAGGCTTACCTTTGATTTCCTGATAAAATAATCTGAATTATATGTGGAAGTACAGGACTGAAGTGCAGTTAGGAGGAAAACTGAATTAAAGTGACTGATGAAACACACTTAGGATGCAAGAGGTCTGGAACATCTGCCAGAAAGGGAGACTGTGTTATTAGTTGTGCCTAAGTATGGATCTTCTACCCTCTCGTCAGAACCCAACTACCTTAATTTCCAGGAATGCAAAACCGAGATATTCATCACTTCTAAATTTCCTGCTGGACAACTGAAGAGTGGTATTGACTGACATTAGTCTTCATGGTCAAAAAGATTATGAAGTGGAGCTCCTGAAGGAACCTAGGGGGGTGTTGTAGCTAAGCATCAGCTCTTGAGATCTTTGAAATTTTGCTGATGCAGTTGTAGCTCCATAGCCGCTTTTACCAGGCTGCAAGAGTGCAAACTGAGCAAAAAGAGTAGATTATTTCACTGATTTAAAGTGTTGAAAATGCAGTGAACCTGCAAGCATTATTACCAGAATCACTCCGGGTTAGTCAGGGGAGCATAAAACAGAAGAAGGTTAAAGATGGTAAGCAGCTAGAGGATGGCACATTACCAGAAATGAGATCCCCTCCACAATACAGTATCATAGAATTGGTTACCTTGAAGAAGGCCCTCAAGATCATCAAGTCCAACTGCAAACCCAACATTGCCCAGTCCACCACTAAACGGTGTCCTTAAGTGCCACATCTACACACCTCTTAAATACCTCCAGGGATGGCAACTCAGCAGCTTCCATCCACAGTCTGATCCAGTGCTGGATGACATATGTGAGTTGCTTTTCCCAGTGGAGCAGGAGAAACCACACAGTAGAACAGTGACATTTCCAAGCAAAGAGGTGCTTGGCCTAGTGCCACCATATTCCGTTACCCACCATCGGACTTGCCAATGAAGGTGGCAGAGGAGTCTGTTCATCTCTGTCCTCTTGCCTTCCATCAGGTATTGAAGCTGGGAGTCACCATCCTGTTGCTACAATGCAAACCCTGCCTGGGAGCTCATCTGTTTGTCCAGCCTATGTTGCACCATCCATCCTGCCCCAGGGGCAGTGGGAGAAAATAGGTGAACCAGCTCCCTAAGGTGATGCAAGTGGATGATTGTGCAAATGTTAAATAGCCTCCGAGCAGGGATTGTCTATTTAGCTGAAGAGAGAATGGTAGCAATTCATCTTGAGACCCCTAGGGCCAGTGCAGGATTGCTAAGGACATGGGTGAGTACATCTGAATGGGTGGGTTTAGCTGTAGGAACACAGTATCTCAACAAGACCCTCTGTGGTGTGGAAAACGATTCAGTGAGACGTGTGCTGTCCCCGCCGGGACTGTTACAGATTCAAGCAGTTTGGGATTGCAGTCATCATTAAATTAGGTATAAATGCACCAGAGGTGATGTCAATGTCCAGTGTGAGGGCCTGCAGCACCCGGTTACCCCCCCGCTTTACTGTTCTCCATCCTGCATTTCACATGCCACCTTCCTCACTATAGTTGTCCTTTGTTCAACAGACAGTAGAGGTTAGTTTCTCCTGATGCAGTGGCTTATAAAAAATGTTTAATGCACTCTTCATTCAGTCCTGCATGATGGTTTTTTTGTTGTTTGTTTTGGGGAGGGGGAGGGTTGGGGAGGTTTTTTGACTTTTTGCTTTGATCATTTTTTTCCACTTGATTCTTAATAAATTCTTGCACTGTTACTATTGATGTAATTCTTTAATTCTTCTTTTCAGTAAGACCTGAAATCCAGCTTTCACTGCAGCCTGCAAAACTGGGAAGCAGCAGACTGCTGGGCAGTTGTATCAGCAACTGGAAATACAAGGAAAGAAGAAGAAATGTTTGTTTCTAGCCCTGGCTCTCCTCTTTATCCCTGCTTTCCCATCTGTGGGGATATAATGGAGTCAGCAGGCAATCAGAAAATTCTCTCATGACTTCTCTCTCCTGGTGCTCTGGCTTTTCACCTCTTGTTGCTGGGGAAACTGCAGTCCCAAATCCCCTTCCCAGGCTCAGTGGTGCTGCCAGGGCACTGCAGGCAAGCAGAGTCCTAGAGATGCACCATCAGGGAGGCAGGATTAGCTACCAACAGAGCAGAGCTGGACACAGGCAAGGTCAAAAGGGGCACGACAGACAGCAGGAGCTGCTGTGGCTGTACAGCCCTTTCCCAGGCTGAAATGATCTGACAAATGCTGACTGTAGTAAACTATTGATGGTGATGCTCAGTTAAGAGCACAAAGGTTAGAAATCGTTCCAGGTGCTGGCTCAGAGAGGCTGCCAAGAAGGCAAGTTCACAGCACTGGCTGTCAGGCACCATCAGGCCGGCTCAGGGCTCTCTGTCTCCATCACTGGAAGGTGGTAAGTGGGTGGGGACTTTGCATGGAACTACTGTAACTTTTCAAGTTGCTGCCGTCTTCCTAAGCTCATACTGGTTTGCACCCTACTAGTGGACGGACTGGATAGGATTTCCCAGTTACCGGGAAGAGGTTCTCCAGTCCTTCGCCGTGATCGGGGCCTCCCCAGCTGAAGTGCGGTCTGGGTGATGGTAAAGTGTTATAGGGTAACTGGTGATGTATTTCTCTCTCCTAATCACTATAGACACTTTGGTAGTAAAGGTTAGATGCATTGCTAAGTGTATCCTTTCATAAGCCACTGTTTCTTTTGTAATTCTTTACTGGTTTGCACTATAGTAAACTGAACCACTTATTCTTTAAAGTTGGTGTCTGTGTTCCTTCATCCTCATTCCTAGGGAAAAACAGATTGCAAAACAGTGTTTTAAATGGTATCTTGAAGAAGCCCCTACTTTCAGTGTAAAGCAACACCTCTGAGGGACATACTGTACCTACAGCCACAGCTCTATGGCAAAAGAGCTCAAACAGCCCTTCACTTCAATCACCAACAATACCAATGGCCTTCATGCAAGAAGGGTGGGCACATTGGAGGGTTTCCCTCTGGACCCAGCTAGGAGGATTTCCTAGAAGCTTCTCCAGATTCTCTGCAGGGTCTCCAGTCCCCCATCTGGGCAGTCACAGGGTATCTGAGATGACCTCCCCACCTTGCTCACCTCACTGAGCCTCTCTGCTGCCTGTCATAAAGGCAGGGACAGGAAGGCAGCTTGGCTCAGACTCTAGCAAGAAAATTATTGGGCTCAAATGCCTTGACAGCTAGGTTAGCTTCTTCTGTAAAACATTCCCTGTCATTTCAAATTGCCATGGTATGTTGGTAGCCCTTGTCTCAGAGTGATTTGGTGATGCTGCCACTCTTGGATTTTATCCCAACACTGATTTGTATTTGCACAGGGTTATGCCTTGCAATGCATCTTCCTCTGGGTAAGTTTTTGCTTTGTCACCAGGGTAACTAGTTTTTCAAGTTAAATTCATATGTGTTTTAACAGTGTTTAGGTAATATTTTGAATCAGGAAAGTGGGTCTCTACAAGGTCAAGTTTTTTTTGTGGGAATGCTTTTTTTTCTCTAACAACATGACCAGCAAAGCACTTTGATTTAACTAGCTGAGTGGATAAACTTCCTGCATGAGCTTCTGCTCACTCCTCTTCCCCTTTCTCAGTATTTTCCATGTGTTTTCACTGTTCTAGTTTAGGTCAGACACAAAGATAACTCCAGGGCATTTCGCTGATTTAACATGTCACAGCCACTTGTCACACTACCCATGCTACATCACAGATTGGTTATCTCACAGATCTTTCTGATGTCCCACAGGCTGTAAGGAACCCATGAAGCTTAGTGTGAGGGCTTTGGTCCCACTCACCAGTGGTGCTCCACAGGAAATCTCTTCCTACTACCCTTAGGTATGACGTTTCCCTTGTTTCTCTTCACGGAATCAGTTTTCCAGAATGCATACAGTATGCACAGCACTGCATAGTTACTGGTTCAGTAAGTAAGGAGTATGTTTGGTTTGCCTCCCAAGTACATAAATGTTGCTGTTTTGCAGAGGCACAGTGAGGTGCAAGGAAAGCTGGACAGGACTGAACAGTGAGGCTACTGGAAAACCGTAAGCTCAGTTCAGTTATTCTCCATCTCAAGATGTTGTCTAATCTATGCTCTTTTGGAAAAGCTTTCTGCCATCCTTTGAAATCTCAGATTAAAAAAAAGGGGGGCCATGTACTCCTAAACTACACACGTCACGCAAACTTTTAAAATGTAATGTATCCCCCTTTTCTAAATGGATTTACAAAATAACCCGCTCTTTACTGCAGCCTGAATTAGGTTTGTTTCACATGCTTTGCTTTTGCAACACCTTTCTGCATCACAGGAACAGGGAACACAAGAGCCTTAAATCATCGGCCAGTGTTGCAGGTCCCTGTCAGCCCAGGGTGCCTGTGACAATGAAGAGCGTGTCATTACAGCCAACCACCCTCATGGTAAATGGTGCTCTTAACATGCGTTAAGGCAAGTCAATAAAAAGGGGAAATTATTTTGAGCTTTTCGGAGCTTTAACTACTTGTACTCCCTCACAGGGATTTGAGTCTATAAATATTTTTTACACATCTTGTTCTTTTTTTACAATCCTTGACAATGCTGTGCAATATGCTTTCCCTTCTCCCTGAGCCAAATAGAATAGCGAAGCAAATAAAGCAGCCTGCCCCATCCTCCCTGTCTGGCAAGAGTTCATCTTCTGGACTTTGGGATTTAGCATCCTTTGCCAAACAGATGGAGTGGGTGAGGAAAACTACACGTTGAGTGAAGGAGAACTTTGCGTTTTTAGCTGTTTACAAAACTGTTGCTTCATGGTCAAGTGAAAGGCTTCCCTTCACATCACCTGAGAAGCCTGACTGCTGTGAGCGTGATGGGTGCCCAGGTAGGAATTTGAGCTGTTTTTGGTAAAACCTGCAGTACTACCAGTAACTGTGCACTGTTACCAGCTACCACTTGCATATCGCCTTCTCTGTGCTACAAACGAGAGGACGCATCTGCTTTCTCTGTGTTTATTGTGTTACACTGAAGCAAACCAGCATGTGGTTATTTGCAGTTATTAGCTGATTGTTTCACCACGTCTAAGGAATACGAAGAAAAGCAATTAAATAGTTCAGGACTCAGTTACCACTGAAGGGAGGCCGAGGCTGTGCAACTGGACAGGATGAGTCCCATGCTGGGCTGAGCCCACCATGCCACCCACTCAGCGAGGCAGCAGCTTCTCTCAGCTGGGTGCACTCTTGAGTAGCACAGGAGCCAGTGAGCTCGGTGCTATTGCCCTCGCCAGGGAACACAGCCAGAATAATTTGCTGGGAGTTACACTCTGAAATCCACACCCTGGAGATGTTCATGTCTGCCCAGAGAGACCCGGTGGTGATCACATTCATTGCTGTAATCCTTGTGCTGAAAACTGCCCTGAGAAACCAAGACTGGAAAACTCTGCTGGCTCATGCAAGAAGGGACTTTCCCTATGTCTTTCCCAGTTGTTAGTCCTTCCCATACACCACTTCCCCTTTGTTTAACGTCAAACACAAAACAACACTCATGCCTCTTAAACAATGACCTCTACCAAGTTCCTAGAGATGCTTCAAAATGGCCTCCTTGTCATTCATGAGGATGGAGAGGTGGTAGATGAGTTAAAGAGCTGCTGGTGCTGCTGGACGGAGCAAGTCTTTCTTTAGGAATAGCAAGCTTAAAGTCATCATCTTAAAGGACAGTGGCCAGAGGAACCCACTGGAGCATTGAAACTGTGAAGCACATCAGGATTTGTTGGTTGACTTTGATGTATCTGTGGGTTTTGTTTAGCTGTAGAAACTCGTTTTGCTAAGGAAATTATTGACATTGATATCTATATTGTATAAGCCTTTTTTCTTGCCTTTTTTTTTTATATTTTTACGTTTTCATTCTTCCAGCTGGGGCTGGGGGCCCAAAAGCAGCAAATCAGTGCTATCAAGATGTTTGAAGAGCATGGAGGGTGCACATCCTCACCAACCCTCCTCTTTGTAGACATTATTCAGGTGAGTGCAGATTTCATTGGTTACCTTCTCAAAGGAAGCTTTGCAGTCTCCACCAAATTTCTCCTCCATCAGTTGTAAGATAATGTCACAGATAATCTAAACAAGGACAAGGGAAGAAACAACCAGTGTGAACTTTCCTCCACATTAGAGGCATAAGAGAAAAATATGTATCTTTAGCTGGGATTCTTGGAAGGCAGAAAGGGATACAGGAGCTATTTGCAGCATATCGCATGCAGAGCTTGTAACAGGGCATGGAAAATATGGTGCATTATAGAATTCACAAAAAAATGCGGTCACTGCTGCTGGTTTTTTTAACTGTCCTATGTATCTAGTTATTGTCGACTGCACCTATCACTTAAAGATGGCTTGACAGGACTGATTCACTTGGTCCATCCATTGCAATCTTTCTCCTATCAGTGGACTGTCCCAAATGTTTAGAGGCCATGAGGAGCCCCATGTTGGACACTTATGGAATACATGGCTTGAGGGGCTAAGTTTCTTCCTGATCTTTCCTGCTCATTAACTATCTAGCCCTCTTTAGCAATGAAGGTTCATTTGTCCTTACAGTCACTAGGTAGGCGGTACACTTTGAAATGCCTGTTTTCCTCAGCTCTACTCCTCAAAGGGGAAAACATCCTCCCCTCACAATTACACCCCTTGGGAAGAGGGCTACTGGCTCACCCTAAAGTTTTTGGGGTCAATCTTCAGCTGAGTGGCATGTTTCTTGCCAAGTGGGTTCACTATCCCAAGAAAAGCCTCGGAATTGTCCAGGTGTTGCACCATGTCGTTGATGGCAGTGAAAACCTTCTTGCCATGGCCCCTGACTTGGTCTGACTGTTTCATCTCTTCAGCAGAGTCCATGCCTTTGAAATGTGTGAAGTAGGACTTGGTGTCTGGGTGCTCAGTAAACATCCTGTTGAGAAATGAGAGACATCCTAACTCGTGAACCCAGGCATCAATGCAGATATGGCTAAACATTCCAGGCCTCATCTTATGCATTTATTGCCCTTTTTCCTTCTCTTTATTGGAACAGACACCTCTGTCCCCTGCATTTCTTGTTTCTGCTTTGCCTTTTGCATCTGTCCACAGCGCCCCACACCCATGGCAGCCTGTCCCCTCCCTCACCTTTTCTTCAGTGCTAACTCTGTGTTAGGTTACTTCCACAGGGAAGTGGGAGCATGTTCACATGAGGTAAGTGTGACAGCATAATATTCCCAAAGATGTTCTGGACAGCAGATATGACCACTGTGATTCTGATGGGTGTTTTCATGGAGAAAATATATTATTTCTTTTGTTAATTAACCCCTTCCTAGAGTCCATCCCAAAGCTTTCTTCCTGCCTGTGATGGATTGCTGTTTGACTATAGTTTGAGTACTGCTCATTTCATTTATTCAGAAGTAACACAATTCAATATGTTTAGAATTGCCTTTAATCAATTACAGTCATCTTCATCAAGCTCTTAAAAAAGCAGTTTACTCTGTTAGGCAAACCATTTATCCCCCTGAAGTATCAATAGCAAATTCCAGATTGCATTTCACAGTCACAGAGTGGTTGGGCTTGAAGGAACATCTGGAGGTCATCTGGTTCAACCCCACTGGTCAAGCCGGTTGCCCAGGACCACGTCCAGATAGCTTTTGAGTATATCCATGGATGGAGACTCTACAACCTCTCTGGGGAACCTGCACCAGTGCTCAGCAGTCCTCACAGTAAAACGTGTTTCCTGACATTCAGGGAGAACCTCCTGTGTTTCAGTGTGTGCCCATTGACTCTGGTCCTGTTTCTTGGCACTACTGAGAAGAGGCAGGTTCTGCCTTCCTTTTACTCTTCCTTCAGATTTTTATATACACATCAATAATCTCCCTCTGAGCCTTCTCTTCTCCAGGCTGAACAGTCACAACTCTCACAGCCTTTCCTCATAGGAGAGATACTCCAATGCCCTAATCTTCTTCCTGGCCTTCACTTGACTCTTTCCGGTATGGCCATGTCTCTCTTTTACTGGGGAGCCTTGAACTTCTCTATAGACAGAAGCAAAATCTTCTAGAGTAAATAACCCCAGGGAGCCAAGCTACTGGATGCTATTAGCCTTTTATGACTGCATTCCTGACCCTAACTGGCCTTCAGGTTGTGTAGACTGCAGAAGGAAAGAGCAGTGTGTAACACTTTTTGAGGGTAATACAGGCATAAGATGTGATATGCAAGAAAGCCAGAGGGAGGGGTAGAGGTCTGATAACCAGAAATAGTATTTAGACTGATCAATGCTTATGGGGGTGATACAAGTCCCAGATGAGTGAGGGGTATGTGAAAGGTGAAGAGAAGAGAAGAGAGGAAAACAGGATGAAAACAGAGGGGGAAACCCATAGGAAGGTGTGGGGTGATGAATAGATTTAAACCTAGAGGGTATTCGGAATTTTAAGGTAAAAAGCAGCTGCAGCTCCCTGGATGGACTGAGGTCAACATGCTTCCCAGTACAACTCCTCAGTACGCTGCTCAGAGAAACAAAATGGAGTGTGGAACGAAGTGGAGACTATGTGGTCCCCCTCCATTCTAATCCCAGCAGTATGGAAGAACATTGTGGTACTGAGACTGTACAGTACCTGTCTGATAAGGGAGAATCAAAATGTTCTGCTGCTGAAGCCAAGAACCATGTTGAACCCCCTCCTCAGGTGCCAAACCATGACCACTGCCCCCCTCCCATTAAATACACCAATCAGAAATAAAAGGTATTTATGACTAGAGCCACTCAAACTCCACCCAAACATAAAGAAAATAGTACAAAAGTAAGTTGAGGATAGGGAGAAATTGGGAGAAAACCTCCACTGAAACTGCTGGGATCAGTCGACAGGCTGAGTCCATATTCTCCCACCCCAGAGGGATGCCTTGGGTGAGAAATATACTCCGTGTGCGTTAAATGCTGCTCTTAGGACTAGAGCTTTTGCTTATGCTTACCCCATAGCATATTAGATTGCTTCGTATGAGAGCTTGTGCTTGCTTAGTGTATGTATCAGTAGATTGCTTTAAAACATTTTTGCAGTAGACACTATCACCGACAAACTTTGAACCTTATTAATCTGTCACAAATTGTATTAATAAAAAGTGTTATTTGTAAACTGTTAAAGCGAGTCCTTGCAGTCACCAGCAGCGGATAACACCTTGGCAGGACCTGCTGAGGGGTCTTGGCTCTGGTGAGTTCCCCCTAGCAAGGGAGGTCGAGGTACCCTCCAATCTTGTGAATCTGGTGGTGAAGGGTCTCATTACAAGATGCTGACTGACCGTCGGGCACCAGGGTCTCGACTCTCCTGGGGATACCAACAGACAAAAATCTAAACTCCCATTTTTAATGTGACAGAAGGGGGCAATAAAATGGAACAGATGGACTGGAAAGGCCAAAGGAGAATCAGAAGTGAAGTACTGAGAAGTTAACAAAAATCATTAAAGGAGTTTAGAGGTAAAGAGAAGAGGGAAATAAGGCCCATGTTTTGTTTCCATTCTCTTTCATACCACACTTTCTTTTCTTTACCTTAAATGGGTAAAGAAATTGTTCTTATCTCTTCTTCTTTTCCCACCCCTTCCTCATTTCCTTCTATTTTTCCTTGTGTGGATTGCTCCTCTTCCCTTTTTCCTCCCTGAGATGGGATAAATCACAGCAGATCAAAGTATTACCAGCAAGGGCTGCATGAAAAACATCAAGACGTGCTCCTAGGCCTTAACTCCATCCTTCTTGCTGTTCCTCCTTCAACCCCCTGGCATAGCAATTGGATGGGCTCTTTCCTTACCTGACCAGCACAGTTGTCCCATTGTCCTCAGCATCCACATACATCTTCTCCCAGGCACCTCGGGCACTTTGCACTTCTGCTTCAGAGAATGACATGGTGGAGGAGATGCTGACAACGAAGGGTGCAGCAGGAGGAAGAAGGGAGGTCCTGGCAGGGTCTTTCTGCTCCAGTTCTCTCCTCAGGGCTCTCTAAATACTGTCCTGGGGATTTAAGATATCTTGAAGGGACTCTTTGTCTCCGTTCCCCTCGGTCACATTTCTACAGGCTTTAGGGCTACCTAATCACTTTTAATCAGGAAAGAAACTAACCACATGAGGAGGGGGGACAAGCCCTCTCACTGTGGGTCAGGTGCCACAGCAAAGGTCTCACTGTCTGAGAAGAAAAAGGGAAAAAAGGGCAGTTTTCAGAGGCGAAGAAAAAAATCAATTCTCCTCCCCTCTCACCCTTGCCAAAGCCAGTGCTTGGCTCCTGTTTCCTGAGGGATAGCCTTGCCCAAGCACTAATTTTCCTGGTTTTCTCCCAAGAGCGCTGCTATGCTGTGGGCACTGTGGTGCCCTAATGTCCCCTCTTCCCAGCAGCCTTTAGTCCTTCAGTCCAAAGATCCCAATTCCAGCTCCAGCAACTATCTCCAGTCCTGCTTTCATGCAATGGTCACTGCTTTCCCCATAGCCCTCTGGTGTAGCAGGGGCTCACTCCGCAGCTGCTCTTGGCTTTGGTCTCATGTGGGTGGGAGGCTTTGCCAGCTCAAAATGACAGCATTGCAAGGACAGTGATGGCAGCATGGCACAGCATCCACGCCCACAGTGCCCTAGAAAGCCACCTCATTGTAACACAGGAGATAAATGGTTCAGCACAGCCAAGCCAGGAACACAGGCATTTCACTGCCCTAATCCTCTTGGCTTGCAGCTGGGATCTCTGTCCCATCTCTAAGGCCTGCCTGCCTCGAAGAGAGATAAGAGGCAGGAGAAGGGCCAGTGTGGAGCTGCAAATGGTATCTATGAGCCTGTTATCATCATGGTCACTTGGATCTGGAGGCAAAAAAATTTCTTGGATTATCCATGCCTGGGCTTAACCTATGGCAGGAATGTTCTGGTTAAGTCCAGGGCACGCACACAAAATAAGGGCTAAGGGGCTTGAGAAGCTGCTGCTGGGTGCCGAGAGCAGACAAAACCTCACATTGTTTGGGCTGGGTTAGAGGAGGGAAGAAACAGATGTGAGGGGGAAATATGCAGCATGGCAAGCAAAACCAGCCTGATACCCCAGGGCAGAAGGAAAGTGCTGGCTCCAAACTCGCAGGGATTAATTGGACTTGCTAGGGTTGTATCCCACCGTTGCTGAGGGATGCCTCAAACGACTTCACGGAAGCTTGCCCCTGCACCTTCCCTCCCTCTCCCTTTTCATCACAGCAAACAAAGAGTAGTCTAATAAAAAGCTGCACAGCCATCTCCTTTCTCATCCCCAAATCCTCAGAAAAATTCCCAAGACCTCAGGAGATCCCAGGGTGGGGGGGATATATTTATTGTGCTGCTGGGATCTCTGCCTCTTTGAAGGCAGACATAGCCAGTGTAGCGCTGGTTGTCCAAGCCCAGTCACCAGCACACAAACGCAGGGGAAGGAGCAAGGACAGCACCACAATAGTTGGCAGTTCTCAGGTCTTGGGAGCCAAAACTGCTTGGCAGAAGCTCAGTGGGGAAAGCACCAAGTTTTTGGCTGAGAGCAGAAAAGTGCATCAGGTGCTTTTCATAGGTGGCCTGGTGAAATAGAGAATGAAATAAAATATTAGATATTTAGCTATGAAGGTGTGACTTTGCAAAATGTAAAACTGCTTAAAAGTCTCTGACCGAACTGTGGGCAATTGAGATAAAAAGCTTAGAGAATGGGGAAGGCTTTTTAGCACGTAGAGAGGGGTGGGGAACCTGAAACTGCTTGAAGTGATAAAACTTTACGTAACTACTCTATAATGGTAAGAATAGGAGGTAAAACTAAGTGTCTATTTAGATAAAACAAACTGCAAAGGAGTGTATGCGTATTAACCTGTAACTGTTTGAAGTGATAAAACTTTACGTAACTACTCCATAATGGTAAGAATAGGAGGTAAAACTAGATGTCTATTTAGATAAGAAAGACTGTAAAAAGAGTGTGTGTAAAGATAATTTTGAGCTTGCTACTTTCAAACTGTATAAAAGGCTATGTTATTCCTTGGCTCGGCGGAGTGCACTGGGGAGAACACCTGCCCCTTTGCATTCCCCGGCCGTAATAAAGGTGCTTTTCAGATTGGCAGAGGTTTCTTTGAATCACTGGGAGAGAGTGAACTCCTGAAGAAAGAGCAGCACCAACTGTAGCCAAAGGTAAAAGGGCTCAAGCAGGTCTGAAACTCGGAGGTAGAGCTGTTTTCCCTTTGGAATGTTAATATGTACAATTACTTGCTTGCAAATTTTCTTCCTCTCTGTAGTTGTCATGTTCTCCTCGCAGACCTGGTGCATCCTGATTTGCTATGAACATCTCAGTACAAGTTGGAGCATGGCTGTGAGCCCAGCCCTCTGGCCTGAGCTGTGGTAGCAATGCACATTGCTCAAGGATGAGTCTTCCCTCTTAGCTTCCTTAGTCTTTCCCTCTTCACCTCCCTTGTTCACCCTTCATTTCCCTCCTCTCTGGTTTTGTTTGTGAAAGTTCACAAGCTGAGGTGACCTTATAGAATCTTCCAGTACCTAAAGTGGCTACAAGAGAGCTGGAGGTGGACTGTTTCACTGGAGATGGCATGTAGTGATAAGACAAACGGTAATGGCTTTAAACTGAAAAAGGTGGGTTTAGATTAGATATTAGGAAGAAATTCTTTACTACGAGGGTGGTGAGGCACAGGAACAGGTTACCCAGAGCAGTTGTGGATGCTCCATCCCTAGAAGAGTTCAAGGCCAGGTTAGATGGAACTTTGAGCAACCTGATCTAGTGGAAAGTATGTCTGCCCATGGTGGAGGAGTTGGAACAAGATGATCTTTAAGGTCCCTTCCAATCCCAAACATTCTCTGATTCCCTAGGGGATTTTTCCTCTGCTCTCCCCCTCTCTCCTCTGGAACGTTGCAGCACAAAGGTCCTCATTCACTCACTATATAGTCAGACACAATGTCATGGGCCAAAAATTCCTGTTTTGAGTTGAGAATTTTCAATCAAATTAATTTATTGCCAAGTAACAAACCAACCAATACTTAGATGTCTCACTTCCCCCCAACCTGTTTCCCCACCCCTGTGCTGCTGTTGCCACCAGACCCTTTGGTGAGACCATGGGTGGTGCAGAAGCTGGGAGGTGGTGTGTGGGGGTCCCTTTGCTCTTGGTGCTCCTTGTGTCCTACTCAGTTGCTCCAACATGGGCTCTTCCACTGGTCACTGTCCCTTTGGGTACTGTACCTGCCCTGGACTCGTCTCTCCTTTTTCAGTATTCACTGCCCTTATGTTTCCATAGAGGCACCATAAACTTATCTGGTTGATCCAGCCTTGGGATGCAATGGGTCTATTTTTTCTGGTGCCAAGCCAGGTATGAGCAGCACAGGGCAATCCCTGACCTGACAAAGCAATGACATCCTCCCTCAAGCATGTCACCATGCTCTCTGTGACATGCTTTTCTAGTCTTCCATCTTCCAGTGTTACTATTTTGGAAAATATCTTCTATTTCCCCCTTGCATGATTTGCTGAGTCCTTGTAAGATGAACACAATAATACCTCATAAAGTTTTGACATCTCTAACAGGGCTATACACATCTGTGCTGCACCTCAGCAGTCTCTAGAGATTGAAACAAAAAAGCTCCAGAAACCTTTTTTTTTTTGGCCTGGAAATGGACTAGCTCTGAAAAATGGGCTGTTTAATCATAAAGTCATCACATTGTTGCTGACACTCACATCCCCATCCTGGGGCAAGAGGATGCATGCTTGGTTTATTTCTTTTTCCTCTCCCAAGGTTTGTTTTGTTTATTACCGCAAGGGAGATGAATGCTCTTAAGTGTATTTCTGTTGCACGAGGAGACATATTTTCTAACAGGGGTGATGCTCCTCAGCACGTGATCCCTAAGGCAGGGCCCTTTCACCCAGTGTGCAAGAGCCAATTAGCACACTGAATTGAGATATATGATTTTATTACAAATCTGCAGAACAGGGTGCCAGGCATCTAGCACAGCTGGCACACTTTTTGGGAAACAAGCAGAGTCCTTTTTACAAAAAGGTAACAAAAAAAGAATCATGCAGAAACAGGAGATTGGTCACTCATGCTTGTATAACAAAATTTTTAATGTACATGTGCTGATCTTGGTCCAGTTCATTATACTATGATTTCCACATACAAATTTCCCTGGGAGTGTGTTTTTTAACATTATAATGATCTGAGGTAACTTGAGGTGGTATTTTCATCCTATCAGCTGTTGCTAAGCTATTGTTTAATCTCTGTTGCAGTTTCTGCTTGAATCCATTTGAACAGTTAGTTGCCAATGACATAAGGATTTACAGCATTCTGTTCTTGGGGACTCTTCACAGCTCCAGTGCTCCGGCAGCCCGCTGCCACAGCTTCAAGACTAATTTACAGTTACTGTGAACTTTTTGTGAATTTTTAAATTCATCTGACATAAAGCAGTCAGGGTAAGGCCAGGGAGGCAGATGGCACTGGGAAATCCAGAGCAGGGAGTACACCCACTGTGTTTGGCCTTGGCCAAACTTTTCCTAGCTCTGTCCCCAGCCAGGGAAGCAGAGGATGGGCATGTCACTAGTGCAAAGTAGTGTTTGCTTCCTCTCTGTTTTCAATAAATCACGTGCTTTAGGCAGAAGGCAACTGGCAAGCTCCAGCCACAGAAACTGATGGCACCTTCTACCCACCCAGCCATTTAGGATCCAGCAGCGATGACACCTGAAGAGCTCTGTCAGTGTCCCAGTTACAGGCACTGCAAACCTCCCTATCTTTTCTTATCCTTAAAAGTTTGTTATTTTTAATGTAAATAAACCACCCTATTTTTTATGTAACGGGTTAATTCCCATATTGCCCATGTCACCATATTGCCAGGTTTCAGGGATGCTTAGCTCCAGATGCTGACACTCAGTGCTGCTTTTAGAGAAATGACAAACACATCTGCTCCATGCTCAGTATCTGAGGCTACCAACATAATCAGCTCATCAAAAAAAGCAAAATTAGGAGCTGCAGTCATGACTGTTGGTGTCAGTGTCTGTATCCCAAAGGCCACATGTGGGAAAGACCTGGGGCAGGTGCACGCAGCTTTCCCAGCTGCCACCTTCCCAGATCGCACTTTTCTTTCTCATTCCAGAGCATTAGTGGGCTCAGGTGGAGTTGTGTTGCACTTTGGACTGGTGAAAGTACCAAATGCAATGTGCAGGAAAAAAGGAGGAGTGCTCAGCTTCTTGGCGCCTGGCCACCCAGAATGGCCCTTACAAAGCATGCAGAGCAGTGCCACCTGACATGGTAGAAATGCACACAGGTTTCTGTTGTGAATACTTTTATTGTGTGCTTAAAATTTTAAATGTGAAAACAAAGGTAAAGATTTCAAAATAGCTCCACTTTTATACATCATAGGGCATAGCATATATGCAAATTAGTCTTCTTAATGCTGCTCTCACAACTGATAACATTAAGTCCATGGCTAGCAGTGACTCTAACGTGACCATTAAGCTAATAAAGATGCCAGTGATGAGTTTTCCTGCACTGTATCCAGGTAACCAAAAATTTGCATTGGGACAGGCTGGTGTTCAGCAGAGAAAGTTTACATCCTTAGTGAAGGGGGAAAAAAAACTTCAAAAACCTCACCCTGCCTCTCCCCAGATCATCAATGTGCTAACACCACCATTTTTGGTCACAAATCACACACCAGCATAGGGGGTCACTATGAAGAAAGTTAACTCCGCCCCCGCCCAACCCAGCACACTGCAGGACTGCATCCTTTTCTTAGACAAATTTAGGCTCATGCAGGCCACACTGCGCTGAACCTCTGCATAGGTGCTGTAGGCAGGAGGCAAAGAAATTAGATTTTATGGATATGGAAAATATGAAGCCCAAGTCAGAGATGCAGAGAGTACCTAGATCTGGACAGAGGGGCTCAGGCAGCAGCATAAGTCCTATTCATACCTGTAATGTTACAATCTGGTGTTCATATCTGCCCAGTTAATGAGATCAAACCACCCAATAATTTAACAGAAACAATACTGCCACAGGTTTTGGACACAAGCCCCCAGACTGCTTCACAGAGTGCTCCTGTTCAGGATACAAACACTTTAATTACAAACAATTTATATAAGTGATGTCCTGAAGAAAACACTTCAGGACATCATGGAAAAAATCCATCGAATGTCACCCCCAGCAGAGTTAAATCTAGACTCCAGGTAAAGAGAACTGGCATCAGAGGAAAAGAGGATGCAGCTAAAAGAACATGCCAGGCTAAAATAAACAGCTGTGGGATGGTTTATGTGGAAGTTAGACACTATCCAAAGTCTTTGCATCAAATACAGGTAGAATACAGATGATTATATCGGTGGTATGGACTACTGTGTTCAGAGATGCAAGCTAAAACAGCATGAGATAAAGCAGCAGATAAACCTGCTGTCAGATACAATGGAAAGTGTGGTTGGTGGGCAATGGAAGGAACCAGGGAATCAGACTAGCAGTTTACCTGTGTAAACAGAAAGGTATATGATGGACTTATTGGTACAGATGCCTCTCTATTGTAGGATTCATTGAATCATTAGAATCATTACGGCTGGAAAAGACCTCCAAAGTTATCAAGTCCAACCTTTGACCATTATGCCTCCCTCTAAAGCCATTTTCTCCCTAGACTTATTGTCTCTGCTGCTCAATATACTGAGTATTTATACAGTTAAAAAATCTATTATAACTGTCCGACTTTCTTTGGAAGTAAGATCACTACATGTAGCTTTAAATTCAGTGAGCCCAAACTTAATCTCCATCTTCAGCTGGCGTTGTGTCCCCAGATGGGTGTCTGGCATTGGCACTGTACAGAACCCAAGCTGTTCAATCCCTTCCTCATCTACATACTGAGCATCCTGTTTTTCTGTGCAATAGAAAACAAAGTATGCATCTTTTTGATCTGGTTCTGTTGGAGAGAAATCATAGTGGGCAACTTCATTTATATTCACTGACTCCCCAATTCCCACCAATTTCCGGAAGAGATCTGTGCAATAAACATAACCACCAGCTTTTGAGACCTTCTGTTTACAGGCATCATGGATAGCATCGTCGAATATCTGATTTACTTTTAAACCATATGTCTTGGCACTGATTCTTGAGGTAACAAGGTGTGGATTGACTCCAAATAAAACAGCCCCTTTTGCAATGGCCGCTTGGGCCTCCACTGGACAAAGGATATGATACTTCTTGCTAAAGGCCTGACTGATCGCATCTCTCAAGATGATGCTGGACGCAAAGCCCCCCACAAGCAAAATGTACTGGACCTTGGCCATCCCAGGTTTGTCAAGAATTTCCCTCAAAGTACAAATTATATTTTTGATACTGTAGTCAAACAAGCTCTTCATTTTCTCGTATGTAATCATGATCATCCCATCACACCACAAAGCTCCTTCTGCTTTTTTGAAGAATTGAGAGATGTTCTTCTTGCACTCTGCCACTCTGGTCAGGTTGTAGTAGCAATGTATGTAGACTGCCTCTCTGCTAGCAGAGCATTTCTGTAGACTGAAGTTGTACATCATATGTTGTAATTCAGTAGGGTGGCTCTTTACATATTCATCCCATACACCATCACTGAATATTTCCCTGAGGAAATTAGTGAAGTTTTCATCCACTGTGTTGCCTCCCCATCCACCTCCAGTTGCCTTGTGTAATTCCTTCAGGCAATGGTTTTCTTGGATCTCATGTACTGTGATGTCTATTGTGCCACCTACACACACACACAAACAGAAATGAATTTAGCTGTTTTCTTTAAGTACATGAGGTCTTACCTTCCTAACTCCTGGTTTGCAAATGTGATTTTCTGCTGCTTTCTTTTCTCATTCTCACTCATCTGCTATTTCTTATACTTCTCTAAATTTCTTAAATTTATGCACCTTTGTTTACAAGCCTGGTCTCTCAAGGCTCCTACAGTCATTTCCAATAAGAGCTGGATGCTCTGACTTGCTCCCTGAACAAGCCAATCTCTTTCCTGGTCACAGAAGGACACTGGCCTCCTCACACAGATAGTTGACTCCTGCCTTTTAATACGCAAGCTCTGAGTAAAGATGAACAGTGGTGATAAGACTGTCAGGAACTTGTGGTCCTCTTGATGCCTTTTCAGTATTTGTTCATGATCACCAGACAGCTCTTAGCAGAAAAATCACATCACACCAAAAAATCTCACTCAGGAAACTAGAGAAATTACTAAGAAGTGCTTCATCAAATAGTTTAAATTATTTACTCCACGGTGTCTGCTAGCTAATCTCTTTGGTCAGTTCACTGGGCACTAACTACACTTGCTCCTATGGAGGAGGCTGTGAGCTCAGGCTATAGAACAGCACGTGGGTGTGTGCCAGCAGCTGGTGCTGGGATGTGGTGCAGGCTGATCTGGAGTGATGTCAGGAGCTCTTCTTGTAACTGTCTGGCCTGAAGTGCACTATAGTGTGAAACACAATCCTGTCCTTTCCTCCTATTTTTCTGCCTGCCCATGGGATCTCATTAAGTGAGAAATAAAAATAAAAACCCCATGACAAGCACAAGCAGTGGAGCCCAAGCTCTGGGACTGCACTGCAGACCTCTGGGGACACTGTGAAAGAGCCATGCTCCATGTCCAGAAAAGATGGTACCTGTTAATCAGGGAAAATTTTACCTCCACAGTCAACAACAATATACTGGATCCCAGGGGAGTCTTCAAACTTCTTCTTGTCACTGCTGTCTGCCATAAACCCTTCCCGTGGAAGCTGTTTGCACCACAGAGATGCAGCCTCTGGCTCCAAGGCAATGATCAGATTTTTAGAGAGCATGTCAGAGATCATTCCTGCCTAAAATCACAGAAGAGAGGAGTCAGTTCAAGGAAAGGTGCTGAGATTACTGCTGCATGAACACCACCTGCTAGGGAGACTGTTCTCACATAGAGCCCATGCAGGGGTGGTGGTTCTTGCACCGCTGATCTCTGTGGGGCTCATTTCTACATGGCGGTGGGGGGAAAGACCAGAGCTGTTGTTAATGCCAGTTTGGCACATCCTCTCCCCTACCACCCTCAGTGTGGAAGATTTCTCTCCCTGGTGGACTGAAATTTGAAATACAGGTTGTTTATCTGTTGAGGAGTTCCTTTGCCTCAATGGGCAAAGAAACCTCCAAAGATAATTTGAGGCAGCGATATAACCCCTGCTTTTACCTCTTTTGCTGCCAAACGCATGAACTGCTTGGCAGCAGAACTCCATATGGCTGGGACAGTAATGACCCAGGTGATCTCCTCCTGGTCGTAGATGGTTTGGAAAGAGGCCTCTTCAACGGTGTTCAGGGCATGTTGCTTCAGGTAGAGCAGGCTTTCAGAAAAGACTGTCAGGGCAGGAAGCATCTTTCCATTGGTGGCTTTCAGCTCCATGCCAGTTGTGACATTCTACAGAAAAAGTCTCAGGGTCACGCACTGCAATCTCTGTACAAGACCTGTCCCCTTTACACTGAGCACTGCACAGCATTTGGCACAGAAGGAGGTCATACCCAAACCTGAGTAAACTCCAAGCACTGGCTTCAGTACTGTGGCTAACTGCAGCCTAAATGACGCAGGCCAGCTACCAAACACACCCGTGATTCAGTAGGCAAAATATCAATATGATTGATAATTTAGCTGTTTCTTCTAGGCCCACGTTTGTAAAGATACTGTAGATCCCTCTGAAGAGCCAGTGGGGAGTGATTCTGTAATGAAATTTCCCTTAACCACTCGCTCCTTGGATGCAGAGAAATGGTTTTGAACTAAAACCTCTCTTCAGCCCCCCTCTGGAAATGAGTGAGAAACTACCACTCCAGAGGTGACATTGTGACAACCACATCATTCCTAGCTTCCTGGGGAGGAAAGTCTTCAAAGAGTCCTCACACCCACCATGGCATCCAGTTCAGCACTCATTGCTTAGCACTGGTGAATGCCAAAGATAGGACATAAGACTTTATCGGGGACTGGCCCTGTGCTCTGGTTTATTCTACACTTTGAGAGGCCCTGTGGGACTCTGGAGCACAGACAGGGAGGCCTGAGGTAGCCTGATGTTTGGCTGAACAAGCAAACTCAGATAAAGCTGTGAAATATTCTGAACTAGCACAGAGCCTTCAGAGAAAAATGACAGCCACTACATGCTTGAAAGACAGCTGTCCATCCTTAAACTGGCTTCAACATAACATTTCAGGGGAGGGAGAGACAAGCTAGTGGGAGGTATACAACATGGGATGAGCTCTTAAGGCTGCCCACCTCCTTTGAATTACAGGAAACTTCACTTGTTCCATGTTTCTCCCTGAGGACTGAGGCAGGGAGCCCCAGAAGGAGGCTAGTTTCTCTGTCAAGCTCTGGAACAGGGCAGCTTTTTGTTAGGAATATGTTCCCTCTTGGTAGAACCTCCAGGGTTGCAGGTGGATGCCTGAAGGAGGGTGTTACCCTGTGAGATGCCTGTGATGGAGCAGGTTTGCTGGCAGGACTTGTGGCCTCACAGGAGACCCACGCTGGAGCAGTTAATGAAGAACGCAGCCTGTGGGAAGGCCCATGCTGGGTGCCAAAAAGGACTCTTGTGGTTTCACCCCAGGTGGCAACCAAGCCTCACACAGCCGCTTGTTCATTCTCCCACCAGCAGGACTGGGGAGAGAATTGGAAGGGGAAAAGCCAGAAAACCCATGGGTTGAGACAAAGACAGTTTAATAGGGGAAGAAAAAGCCACGTACGCAAGCAAAGAAAAACAAAGAATTAATTCACTTCTTCCCACGGGCAGGCAGATGTTCGGCCATCTCCAGGAAAGCAAGGCCCCATCACACATAACAGTGACTTGGGAAGACAAACACCATCACTCCCAACATCCCCCCTTTCCTCCTTCTTCCCCCCACTTTATATACTGAGCATGATGTCGTATGGTCTGGAATATCCCTTTGGTCAGTTTGGGTCACCTGTCCTGGCTGTATCTCCCCCCAGCCTCCCATGCACCCCCGACTTCCTCACCAATGTGGCAGTACAAAAAGCAGAAAAGGCCTTGGCTCTGTATAAGCCCTGCTCAGCAATAACCAAAACATCTCTATATTATCAACCCTGTGTTCAGCACAAATCCAAAACACAGACCCATGCTAGCCACTGTGAAGAAAGTTAACTCTACTCCAGCCAAAATCAGCACACTTCTATTTGGCTTTGCCCAGATACACGGTCAGGTTTGATTGTCTTTAAACAATTAAAAAACATCATAAAGGAAGGGTCCATGAAGCTTTTGGCTAATTACAAAAATAAATAATTTCTTCTTCAGTTCATAAAAATACTCCTTGATTTATGTTCATTCATTCTCATCAACCAGATTTACTCAGCCGTCTTCATCAGTTCTCTAACCCCCACACCACAAATAAATTAATAGCTCTGACTCCTATAGCAGTAATCATTTCACCTACTGTGTTATACAGCTTCATCTTGAAGTTCTGGAAGAAGTACCAGCTCTCAGCTTTGCTGGAGGGCAGGCTCTTGTACTTCATCACAGCATCATAGCCAAAACTCTTGAACTCCTGCTGCTGGTTGAACAAGATGCATGTGGGTGTCTTTGGGCTCTTGAACCCATGCTCTGTTCCCCAGTACACCTGGCGGATTTGGTCTGTACCTGAAGCAAGAGAAAAACAGTATCCGCTGTAGGATGTGCCAAAATCTATAGCAACAACAAAGACTGACTTGCTGGCCATGGCCAACTGCAGTGCAGAGGTGTGCAGCTCTGGGAGCTAGAGAGGAGTGAACAGGTGGGAGTGGGATCAAACTGAAATGATTGATGCTCCAGGGTGAAGGTCCACCATTATGAAACTGAAATGATTGATGCTCCAGGGTGAAGGTCCACCTCCACTGATGTTATTGGCTGGAGAGAGGTGTGGCACTCGACCTATGCCTTTTCCTGTAAAGAGGGCTTCTGTTTTTTACAGCAGCAAAGACTCTTTGTCAGGTCTCAGTAGCTTCCTGCACTCCTGACAACACGGAGCATCCCTGGTGCTGCCCACTCCTTTCAACAAACATCTGCTGCTGTTATAAAGGCATGGCTACACACGACTCTTCTGTCTACAGCAGAACAGAGGTGTTGGAAGGACAGCGTGAACATGCTGATCCCAGAATGATGACTACACAAGGCAGCAGGTATGTTACACAGGAGATGTCTCTGGATAAACTTACCAAGTTTAACCTTAATAGGCCTGAATATTTCTATAAAATTCCTTGGGGGGTTGCAATGCAAGACTGCAAACATTTCCTGACTGTAAAATATTTCAGTAAAAGCTCTGTTTTCTTCTTCCTAATCTTCCCATCCATCACAGGCACGGTTACTTTCCTCAAGTTCAGTTGAAGTCCAGCTCCAGAAGGCGAGGCAGATCTTAAATCAGTGTAAGAGGCAGACAAATTGGAAAGATCAGTATAAACAGTGTAACAAGATCCAGGACTTTGGGACTCAGACTCTGAGCTCATCGATTTTGCAGGGAAAGGCTGACTAAAATGCAAATTTTATACTGGATTGTTAAGCTTAAAGAACAAAAAAACTGTCTTTACTGAAAGACTGGAAATGAAGTGATTTAACTGGAAAGGAATCCATTCAAGTACACAAACCCAAAATGTGCTTCAATGGCAGAGGGGGAGATGCTGAGAAAGAGAGGCAGGACAGTCCCTTGCATCATCTGTGCAGACTCGTGTTGGCATAAACCAATGGTAGAGCCTTATGCTTAGGCTTTCTCTGACATCTGGTTGCAGGGAGGAGCTTGCTCTCTTCTCCATCTGCCTCCAAGCTGCAGGAGCACTTTAATCTGGGACTGTCTCTGCAATAATAGTTGATATTTGGGATCCTCATTAGGAAACAAGACACAGAGCAGTTGTAGAAAAAAAAATTACCTTGAGAACACAGAGCTTTGTACTCCTCTATTAAAAAAACCCCACACTCGTACATTGCAAATTTGGGTTTAGTCACCTGAGTTTGCTGTTTTGGGTTGAGTTCATTTTTCAGGACCTCTCCCTGTATCTTGCCCACTTCATCCAGACCTAATGATTACTCAAACCCTCCTATTTTGGGCAAACCCTGGTCTGTGGATTCCTCTGAGCTGTATCAGACATTATCTGCAAGAGTGCTAGCTTACTTGTGCCAAATCTGCATCAGTGTGCCCTGGAACCTTTGTCCGGTCTCTGATCCGTTTGCTAGCTTGGATGTAGTCATGAAACCTCTGCTCACAGGACTGTCTACTATAAGGTACTTGTTTCACGTATGTGTCCTTTTCCCCCTTCATTTTAGAATTCCCTTTTCTTTTTTTCCTCAGACATACATTTGACAATTCATGGCAGCCACCAGCCCATGGAGAGCAGACTGCAACCCTGGAGGCCTTCTATTATAGTCTGGAAAAAAGGATAGCAAATGTGGAAAATGTTATAGAGTGAGTCCAGTGACCAGAAATGACTGTGTTTAGCATGGCCTTTGATGATCAACTGTAGCTGGTGCACACTAGGGCAGGTTGGACAGAAGATTACAAATAAGCCGGACACAAGGGTTCTGAGTTAGCAACAAATTTCATCCAGTCTATACTGGAAATGCAGAGCCAATTTACAGAAGCTGTTTGATCTGCACTATATTATATGCAGATCTTACACTTTGGGAATATTTTATTTGTACTATTGCTGTTGACTCACAGAATCACAAACCACCCACCTGTCAAAGAATAGCCTTGAGAAGTTTTCATCTCTGGATTTTTTTTTCCCTATGGGCTGATCAGAAATTGGAAGGAGGAAGTTTAGCTTGTGCATTTTGTAAGACTTTAATACATACTTGCCTACTGACTGTAATGTGGTTTATTATTTCTTTCTTCCTCTGATAGATGGATGGACAAGGAGAACAGAGTTTGGTCTCATTCTGTTAATACTCGACTACAACATCTGGAGAGTTGCAACAGGTAATGCTATTCTTTATATTAAAAATTTATATACGAGGGGAGAATCATAATGATCCTCACAACCACACCTCCATTTCTTCTGATGTAAATAGCTTCCCCCTTGATTTGAGCATAAATCCTGTGTGGAGGCTTTCAGGGGAGGTTGTTAAGCTATCCTGGAGTTTTTCCTGGATGCTCTGTGCTTTCCCACTCCCAGCTTTCTTTCTGGAATTCAGACTATTCAATAGGGGTGAGTCCTCTGTTGTGCCAGTGTCCAAGTACAAATAAAATATTTCACAATAGAAATCTGTTTCAGAGCATTTCCTGGAAGGGCTGTCACAAAAGACCTTCAAGAGAAAGAGGAAAATGAGAAGCTGAAAGGGCAGATCAAAAAGCTAGAGGCAAGGTAAGGTATTTATTCATATTTTGAAAGTACTGTGTGTTTCCACACTGAAAACCCACATACTTTGTGCTTCCTGCAGTCCTTAGGGATTCTGTTTCTGACCGGACAGCCCGGATACCTTCTGCTCAGACTTTCAACCTGCCAGCATCTCTTTGTAACTGACTTCTGGAAGATGGAAGGAAGGAGACGTCCCCAGGTTGAACATATTAATTAAAGAAACCAGTCTACAGTGACATAGTCAAGATGGCATCCTGATCAGATTCCACTGTGATCATGCAAAACTCAGCTGAGGAAGCACTATCTCCCACATGAAAGCTGTTTGCCAGCTACAAAATGTAGTTGAGAACCGCATTGTAGAGAACATGGGATTCATGAAATAGATTCATAACATAAAATAGTTACACCTATTCATTGTTTCATCCTGTCTTAGCTAAGTGTTTTTAATATCCTTTTTGCTCTAGAAATGCAGAGCTCTTGTCTAAAGCAATGGCCATGCACAAGCACTCTGAGGATATGAATGACCCTTCACGATTGTCTGCTGTGCTGCAGAGGTACGAGATGCTCCGGCTACGTGAGTGGGAAAAAATCAGGATCTCCACATCCCACCGTTGGACGTATGAACAAGGCAGTCACATAATTAAGGTTTGTTCTTGTCCATTTTTCAATCTGATTCTAATCAAATCAATATGGTGTGGCCAGTATAGCAGCCTTTGAGTATTAGTATTTCTGTACCAGACAGGGCTGGGGCCCTAGTTTGGATCTCTGATTTTCCAGCCCAGCAGGGCCTATGGAACGCTGTAGAGAGCAAATTCACAGTGATCTGCTTCCTCCTGCTTTTCAGAAGGGCACATTCAAACCATACCCATGTTAAGCCCAAGTGGGAAAACAGTCCAGTTTTCTTATGGTTAATGCTTGCACTACTAGCTGAAAGACTTCACTTTGATGTCTGACTCACTGCTCTGATGCTGGGAGGAATCTGATGGAAAATACCAAAATGATACACCTTAAAGGACAAGACTGAGATTAGGCCATCATTAGCATTGATGCTGATGATAAGGCCTCACAGATGCTGAAGAATGGGCTTCAGTATGCAAGTAGCTCAATGAAATAGTTTGTTTTACAGGTATTGAAGACACATTTCAATCAATTACTGGCCCTACAATTTACTCTAACACAGATGCATTTTCAGCACATGCTTTCCACACTATGCCTCTTGTTTCACTGTGATTGCTGCTGTAATCAGCTGTTGGTTTTGCACTGCAGAGGCTGTTTGATGCTTGTGAGGAAGATTTACAGCAGAGAACAGCTGACATATTTAAAGTTCTTGGCATTCCACCTTCAAATGACACTATGACCAACAGCAAACAGGTATTTCATGTTTCTGTGTAACTGGACCTAGGCAGTGGGGTAGAAGGGCCATCTGCATCTGCCCTTCATTTAGAACTTTGCTTCTGCTAAAGACACTGCTCAAAAGCTATTGGCAATGGCACTGGGGATAACTTAGGACTTGAGAGGGATGGGGATGTAGAAAGCTACGCTCCAGCAACCCTAAGTATGAGGGCAGCACTGAATAAAACAGGTCTTTCTCTCTAAGAGGTGAGCTATTCCTATTAGAAGCAGGGAGTTGGACCTGATGATCCTCTTGGGACCATTCCAACTTGAGATATTATATGATTCTGTGTCCCACGATACACAGCTGGCTGAGGCACTGAGTGCCCTATGTTGCTTGTATGGGACCTTCCTCCAAAGCTTGAAATGAGTGACTTCTCCACTGCTGACTGACACAACCTGAGAAACAAAAATTCCCAGTTTTTGCGATAATGCATGAAAACAGGCTGCTTTGTGCTGTGCTTGTTTTGTAGGGGATCATGCGAGAAATAAGGAATCTCTTTGGGCAATCATGTTACCAAAACCACTCAGAGGTTTACAGTGAAATTGTTAAGGTGAGTAAAGAGACAGCCCAGGAACAGAGGCAGCGGTTCAATTTTCTGGGCAGCTTGTTATTTAAAAAAAAAGGGAGGTCTCCCTTCTGCTTGAGGTTGTTTTCCACTTATGGCGAAGCCCTTCCAGCCCATATACTCCCAAAATATTCTCACAGGTATGGATAAATGTACATGTAACCTTGTAAGGAAGGCACAGCAGGACAGGCAGGGCAGTGCTCTTACCAACAAAGGCACAGTCCTACTGGACCCCAGCAAGGTGCGAAGAGCAGGGCCGGTGGTGGTGATCAGGGTTACAGACCAGTGATCACCAGTGACCAGGCAGGTCAAGACTGAACTCTGGAATTGGTCTGTGGGTCAGGCAGGGTCAGCAAGGCTGGGCACAGACATCCCAACATCACAGCTCAGGCAAGCACCTAGCCACCACTGAGCTCTTGGGCCAAGTGGTGATAGGTCTGTGGGTGAAGATGAGGCTTCTCATAACTCCTTCTCACACCACCCTTTCTGCCACTTTGCCTGTTTGTGCAGGAGTTGAATCCAAGATTATATGGCCATGCTATAGCAGAGCTGACCATGAACACAAGCAGCCAAAGCCCTGGGGAGGCAGGAGAAAGCTTGCAGCCACTGCTGATGTGCACAAAGCCCTGATATTTACTATCCAAATGGACTATTGTCTTAGCAGGTTTTTTTTTATGAAAGATACATGACATATATATCACATATATATGAAACTTCCAAAGATGAGCTTCGTCCTTTTGCAGCTTGCTGGGCCTTTCAAAAAGCTTGGCCTTATCGAGTTCCTTGCAGATCTTTCTATGAGGAAATAGAGACAGTTGCAGGATGCTGGAATAATCCAGAAGCCAGGACGTAGTAAATAAAAGAACCTTTAAAGTACCTTGGGACCCCTGAATGTCCCACTCAAATAGTACCGTCAGCTTTGACAAGTGAAGTTCTTGACTGCTTAGTTCATGTGGAGCAGCTGCACAGAACGAGAGCAGGGAGGCAATGTAATGTAACATCATAACATTACAAAGCTTTGAAAACTCTCCTCATTTCATTTTCAGAAAGCTGGCATTCACGCAGAAACTGTCATCCAAAGCCAGTTCATACTGCAGTGCTGCAGGATTTATTGTTTGCTGCTTCTTCAGGACCCTCCAGTTAAAGCGGAGTGGAACGCAGAGGGAAGACTGACAGAGGATTTAGAGCACGTGGACAAGAAAGATATGGTGTACTGGAAAAAAACAGTATTTCTGTGGCCTATAATGAAATGTGGGGAACAAACCATTGTGAAAGGTGTAGTCTGGGATGAAAAGTAGCATGACTTCAGAGTCAGGCTACTCATGTATATGGCTATAAGAAGATGAAACAGCTGCTGTGCAATATGATACTTTTCTTTCTCCCATACACTACCTGCTTCTCAGAGCTAGTAAGTTAGACAACCCCAGCCTGGGACCCCTGGGATAAATAATTATTAACAAATGTGTTAAAAATTGAAGATATTTCCCTCAATGGCATGCATACATTTTATGTAACATTTGTTCCTTGCTGTTTCCAAACAGTATTTGTGTGGAAAGAGTTTTGTTTTTCCAGCCTACCCTACCTGCTCTTCACTAATGTTTATGACATTATCAGATACCAGTGGCGCTTTCAACCACCCTATGGAGGCACTTGCATGTAGTAGGACCAACACTTTGCATGACCCACAACAGCAGTGCTATCCCTGACCTCCCATGTGCCTACAGCAGGTGCAAAAACTGCAGGCTCACGTTTCGTGCTAGCAAATAAGCAGCGAGGATGAAGATGGCCTGTTGGGAAACAGGCATCCTTCTTGGGTAAAAGTATACTTAGCTGAGAAAGAGATAAGATGCTAAAAGACAAAGGTCACAAAGGCTACAATGGACTTTCAGAAGACAGCAGTGCATTGGCCTGTGTATCCAGACACAGAGGCTCACTCTTATATGCCAAAAGGCCACTTTTCTCCTCACGAATGCCACCTGCCTTGTTAGTTCTCAGCTGCTTTCCCACATCTGTACAATTTACCACTCCCACAGCTGTTCAGCCACAAACCTGCCACAGCTCTTGACCAAAGAGCTCTAAAGATTGTATTTCATGGCATAAGGGTGATGTTATGAGGCAAATGCACATTCATGTGATTTTGTGTGAGAGAATATTCTGTAAGCAACTTGAGAATTACCAAATAAAAAAGACTTAAAATCCTGCTGTGTGCCTGCCGAGTCCTTTTCTCCAGTTCTTCTTTCAAGTCCAGCAGTTTCCTTCACTGCACAAACTCCCTGGGATTTTCTCAATAGGCCCCCAGAAAGAAAGCCAAATTTCTGTGCAGCTCCCAGCAAGCAAATTGCTCTGTTTCTCTCAGGGATTCAATATTAGTAAGCATGTTGCAGTTTACTGACAACATGAGCTGGGATGCAGGTATGTGTAAGAAAACTGGCTTTTAGAAAACCACAGTACGCTGAGAAACTGACTGTAAAAGACCTTTATTGGAAATATTTATTATGGAATCGAGCAGGTGAATTAAAATTAGATATGCACCATACTTCCTACAACTTTCACAAAAAGAAAGAACCACCATAGTTATTTTTTCATACCTTGCAAGGTGTTGCAGACTCAGATGAGCAGTGCATTAGTATTTTATCTTTTCCAGGCTTTAGAAGGTAAATGACAGGAAAATTGCCCAGTACCAGCAAGCAGAAGTTTCAACATGACCCTGAGCCAAATGTCATGTGATTATATAGGTATAATACTACACATATGGCAAGCTGCCATGCTCTATTTGTTATCTGCATAGAAATTTTTTGGTCTAATCTTTAAGACCCTGTGGTTCTCCCAGTCTGGTCCTATGCTCTACATCAGTTTTATCTCATCGCTTCTGCATCTCCTCATGTATGGTCCTTTCCTTTGATTTTTCTCTCCTTAACAACATTTTTGATAGGCTAAAATATTCAAGTTGCAAAGCTTTATATTTCAAAGATTGATTTAAAAGTCTTCAGAAAGCTACAAGCACTGCTGCAGCCTTTCTAACAGGCTTTACATACACTTCCCAGTATCTCCCAACATCAGAAGCAGACTTTTTGTTCTCTCTCTGTCACTGAGAACATTGGGAAAAATAAAACTCTTTAACACTGTAATTTACAAGACAGCAGCCTTACATAATGTAATTCCTATTGCTTTCCTGCTTTCAAAAACTTCAGCAAGTGTAAAAAATTTATAATGAACTGCCATAGCTTAAATGACATGCAGGCAATAAGCACCATGTTACAAAGAACAAATATGGTCTTTTCCCAGCTTCTGAAAAATTATGTAGGTGGTAGGTATCTGTGTGATGGGAGGTGTCTCCATGCAGAAATTACTCTTCTCGGACAAACCAGTACAATGGAGATTCAGAATATAGCCTTTTACAACTGTACTAACTGAGAAGCACTTTAACTTCTCACATGGTTCTTCAATTCGCCAAGCTTGTTTGGGAACCAGTTCCCTAACATGCCTGCAGCCCAACCACAAAGGATTCAAAATCTGGGCTAAAAGGAAAATTGTATTCAGCTCAAGAAGAGCAAAGTCGGAACATTACTAAAGAAATCAAAAGGGTTGCTTGTTACAGAAATGTCAAATGAAACAAAGTAAAATAACAGCACTAAAAAGCAAAACGAACTTTCCTTTGAATAGGTATGTCGAGTAACTCACCACATCATTTTGAACAATATAAGTTTAAGTAGTAAGAAACTTTAAAACACTTACTGAGGGGCTCATGCTGGCAGTGCCAGTGTTTGATGCCAGCACAAAAGCATTACCACAACTGGCTGCCAGACGCGGGCGAGCTTAGGAGGAAGCGAGCACTTGTCTCCTCTGCCTGGGCAGGACAAAGCCCCCGCAGCCAGGCTGTGAGAATCGGCCTTTCCTGCTGCAGCACCCACGTCTAACCTGGACAAAGTAGAAAAAAAGAGGCCAGTCCTGTGTATTTTGCTAATAGTTTAAACTTTTACCATAATAAGAATATCCCATTACATCTGAAAATGTTTTATTCCAATCTAAATCCCAATTGTGGTACTTTTTTGTTTTCTATTCTTTTTTAAAATAATTTATTTCCTATTAAGAAAGATGTTTCAATAAATAATTAGCAGAGTAAGCCAAATCTCACTTTACTAACGTAAACAAGAACTACAACTCAAACAGAACTCACATTAACTGACATTCCTGGTATAACCTTCAAAAATGTTCAGGTCTCTGTGTCTTCCCTATGGAAAAAAAAAAAGTCAAGAAATTGTTATTGTAATTATTAATATTCTACTTCATTGTACAAAACCTGACAGAGAAATTACCCTTACAGCAGCTAATTCCCCCTTGGGTTCAATAACAAAATTGTTTAATAATTTTCATATAAAATATTTCTGTGTCAAGGTAATGATTATGGTGATGGTATTAATGCAGTCCAAGAGGAGTGTACTGCCTACATACTAAAGTTTTGACAGCTTTGTAATAATTAATAGAGAAGAACTAAGTTTTCAGTAACAGCTTAGATGGTTAGGATCTCTTCTAACTGATATCAGCTAGAAAAGTTATTTGGCTTCTGACACACCAGGCACACAGATTTCTGTCCTTTGAAGAGCAAGGACACACATTTAAACCTGTAGTCAGTCGTGACCAAGGGACTTTATCTGGACTGAGTAATGATGTGATCTTGCTCCATGGCAACTTATCTGACATTCTTTCTGGCCACATCATTCTGCTTTTAGCTGCTTCATGTGCCTCTATACAATGCAACAAACGTAATATTTTAAATCAGACGCTGTGTGATATACTATCCCAAGGTTAATATGAAGTCCTTTGCATAATTTCCTAATTAATATTTTTAAAAAGATATTGGTTAGAGATGGGGAAATGGTCTCCTCTGTTCTGAATTCCACGTTGTGGGGTCTCAGCTGACAAGACGTGCTCAAGGAACCCATCTCTGGAAAAGCAAAGGGTAGGCCTGAAAGTTTCTCATCACGTTTGGGCAAGAAGCCCTTTGTAGTGATCCCTGCACTCAGGGAGATCTCTTTGCTGCTGCTTGCACCTTCCCCCCTCTCCCAGCCTCAAGGAGGGAAGCAGAGGCCTAGGCCCATTCCTGAGCAAATATTTGACTTCTCATTCACAGCTCAGAAAAGGAGACTGGAGGAACCTGTGAAACCTGAGCTGCAGCTTGTTGTGTCTCACAGGGAGAGTAAAATAATCAGAAATCTGGGCAGTGGGAGATCCTGAGGTTTAAAGTCTTCCTTCCCACAATGGCAAGGCTCATGCCCCCTAACCAGCCTCCCACAGAGACTTTAGCATGGAAAGGGGGGTGCTGAAGAGGGAAGGGAGCTTCACTGAAGGAATGTCTGAGCAGGCCTAGATTCTTCATCTGGACAGAAGATGACTTCAGGGATCACAGGTGGAAGAGAGAGTGCACTCTTCACCTTCAGTTGAAAGGACCAGGCAGACGGAAGCAAAATGAATAGGAGGATGTGGTTCACCATGCAGCAGAGTGGAGGTATTGCCAAAGGGCATTGTGGCTGCACAAAGAGCACTGAGGTTGAAAGGGTGTCTGGCAGAGACCCCCACTGGTGGTCCTTGCAGGTTGGAAACAGGATATTGGCTAGATGGAGCTCTAGTCTGGAACCTCTTGGGCTGTTCTTAGAGTTATAAAAATTTTCTCAAATGTCGCTTGTTAGTTTTGCAACAGCAAAACAAATGTGACACATCATACACCCCACCACCTCAGTTTGATCAAGTACCTCAACACCTGCAGAAAGGCAGCACAAAAAGGGCTAACAATTTATGTACCTTAATTTGAGAGTAATGCAGTCATGTTCCACCCTGGAACTGGATCAAGCACCAGTGGACAACTAAGCAGAGACTTGGTGTCACCGCTGGTATGACTATAGGCTCACCAAGGCTTGAAACGTTCCTGAAACGGAATCAGTGCTGTGGGATCCTGAGCCTGTGTGACTGTGAACACGCCTCAGCGGTGCCCATCTCCTCTGCATTTGTCCCGGGCTCTCACTGGCAGCTTCTGCTCTACTGAAGTCCAGGAGTTTTCCTCGTGTATCTCGCATGGAGTACACACGGGCCGCCAGCTCTGCAGCAACACGCTGGATGCTGCCGCATCCACGGCAATGCCCTGGAGTTACTACAGCTCAGGATGCTGTGGTGGGGAGATGGCAGGAAGGTAACAGGGAGGCTGTGGAGGGGTCACAAGTGAAACTCGTGACAGGTGCCGGGGATCAGACAGAGCTGCAGGCGGAAGCAAAACTGCATTTTGGAGAAGTGTTTTCCAACGACAGGAAGAAACCCCACACTGCAGGCCCTGGGGGTGCTCTGTGCTTCAAAAGGGCTTTGGGAGGGAGGCTCAGCAGCACCAGGACCTACAGTGAGACTCAGAGCTACAGTCCCGCAGGTCAAGATAGGTAGGGCAGGAGGCATCCCTGGAAGCTCACCTCCGCCCAAGCTGCATAAGACAGTTTTCCCTTTCACTGCCGTTTTTCAATTTTAGTCTGATTTTGAATAGCCTAATTCCTCCGTCAGAAGCATAGAAAAGGAATCACTTCCTGCAGACACATGATATATTAGGAGGGGGTTGATGTATTTCTTAGCTTCGTGAAGGCCCTTAAGGCAGATCAGTGAAGGCGGCAGGAGGGGGGAGACTAGTTAAGCTATTTTTGATCTGTACAGTAATTCGAATTCCCGGTAACCACGCGCTAGAGCACTGAGGAGGCGGTGTCCGGCCGCATCACAGTGGGCGGATGACGCTACGAGCGGGCCGTAAACATCCCCAAGCAGTGCGGCTGAACACAGAGAAGAGCTCTGTCGTTGGCACGCGCGGCACAGAGGGTCGGGCAGATCACGGCACCCGGGCATCCCGCGAAGTAGGCGGGGCACCCGGGGGCGACCTGTACCCGCGCAAAAATTCCTCTCACATAGGCAGTGAGGACCCGGGCGTCACCCCGGGTCGTTATTTTCCTTACTCATAAGTTTAAGGCATAACCCCTTCTCCTCAGCTCCGCCAGAAGACCTCTGCGCGCTAGCTCTATAGGTCAGGGCGAGAGGATCCCCACGTTATCTCATGACGGATAAGTTCAATGACGGTTCCCTTAAGTTTCTGCCCGGTCCCTGTCCCTTCTGCGCCACGGAGCCGCTGCGCGAGCAGAATCGCACCGGGGCGTTCGGAATCGTATGCAAATGAGCGGCCCGGGCGTCGCGGGGGGTTGTGGGCGCTCCCCGCCGCACGGGGAGGGGCCGAGGGCGGGGCCCGTCGATCTTCTGGGGGCGGGGCGATAGCCGGAAGTCCTACGGTGTCACCTCCGGGGCTTCCTTGCTGCGTCTCGTCGTTGGGGCCCGCCACAAGATGGCGGACCTGTCTCTGGATGAGCTCATACGGAAACGCGGCGTGACGGTGAAGGGGAGGTGAGCGGTCGGAGGGCGACGCAGCGCCCCGGGCCCGGCGGCCCCCGGCCGTTCTTCGCGTCTCCTTTCCGGCGGCCCCGGTCCGGGTGCTGCGGGCCGCAGTTGCCTCGGCGCGGCCCGACCGTGCTCCCGCCCTCGAGCTCCCATTGGTCCGGCCGTTGGGCTGCGGGGCCGCGCCGCGATGCGATTGGTGGCGGCGGCCGTCGGTCAGGGCTGGGCGGGGGCGGCCCCCCCACCTCGCCCCCAGCCCGGCGCTGCCCCAGCGGGGCAGGGGCACCCACTGCCGCATCCCTTCTCCTTTCCCTCGGGAGTCTCGGCACCAACCCTGCGCTGTCCCTGCCACCTCCTGCTCCTCCCCGCCGACTAACCCAGCGCTGCTCCCCGTATTGGGTCGGCGCCCCTCGGCCCCCTCGGTATCCGGGCCGCAGGTGGTGTCCGGGCACTGCCTGGAGGTGCCCGGTCCCCCCGCCCTCCCCGGAGCGGCTCGGTGCGTTGTGGGAGAGCCGCGGGAGGGTGGAGGTGCTCAGGGAGCCGTAACCGAGCGGGGCCGACGGGCGAGACTGCCGGGGCTTCGCCTGCATCGCTGCCCGACCCTCGGAGGCTGTAGTCCCTGTAGCGTAGCTAATGGTGCTCCGACAGATTGTTTGAAATGCTTGTGTGGATGTGGAGCATGTTGCAGATCAGCTCCAGGATCAGCTTGATTCTTTGTACAGCAGCTGTCGGCGGTGTAGGCTGGCCCGTTTACTCCAGTGCAGCAGCTGGCAGTTCTTACCTGGCATCTCTTTCGGTAGCTTTTCGTTTTCCCTTTTGCCATACTCTCTTGATGCTTCTGAAGACTTTGTCCATGGATTTTCCCCCACCTGTGTTAGCTCAGCATGCTTTTGCTTTGTTGGGTTTTTTTTGTTGTTGCTCTTTTTATTTACTACTCTTGTTTTTTTAACTCTGAATGTATATACACTTATATGTCTCGAGTAATATTTTGAAATTTATTTGCTAACATACTAGCAAAACATATTCAAACATATTTAAATCCTAGTCTAGACAAGGCCTTGGCTTTGCACTTTCATTCGTGTTATCCTGCATATTTGGAACAGTCCTAGGCTGCTTACTATGCCCCAAGTACCTACTTTATCCTTTTTCAAATCCCTCCTTAACTCTCATTTCTTCCAGGAGTTCTTCCTGCTTTTATTTGCTGAACAATAATCCCACTGTAAGAATTTTTGTGCCTTACACTTTTCTTGTTTGTCATGTTTAGCTCACTGTATAGATTCCTGAGGTAGCAAACTTGACTTTGTGAAGGCTGGATAAACTGAGTAAACTGAAATCCTTATATCCATGCCGTTCAGTGCTCTACATGAAATGGTAGAAAAATCTTAACCAATGAAATGTACTAACCCACAAAATATTCAAGTGAGAACTTGGAATTCTGGAAAGTGAATTAGGTGTTTGAGATCTGTTTTTATTTCAGGTGCTGTGGCACAAAGTACCTAAGTAGTTAATGCTGTTGTAGGGTAAGCAGTTATCTATGGAGGGGAGTTGTTTACTAGGATAAACACAAGTCTTCAGAAATGGTGTAATCCTCAGTACAGAGTTTCCTAACCAATTTCATTGGTGTCATTAACAGTTTTAACTAATGCTGGCTTAAATGCTGATACATATATTTCTTGTTTTATTTTGACCTCTTTCATGCTCAATTAGAAAGAACCACTCATCAAGCCCTTTGTGGCACTCTAAAGAAATGCTTTCAACATAGCTAAATCAGTGCTTTTTAAAATCATGAGGGAAGTCTTGCTTTGTGGCTGTTACTTTATGGGTATTTTTAGTCTTCTGTATTATTCTGTATATATTTTAATAAATGGTCTTAATAATACTCCTATTTCTTCTACCTGTTGTGCTTTGGCTGTATGAGAGAGCAGCTATAGGATTCTTAGCTAGGTAACAAAATGGGACCCCAGTCCCACCTCTCCAGATGTTGGGACACAAGAATGAAAGAGGCAGAGGCAGAGGTTCAGTCTTTCCTCTCCTTGTTTTATTTTACGAATCTCTCCACCGAATACACGACTGTAAATGTGTATATATATATATATATATATATATATTGTGGGGTTGGATCAGGAAGTACTGATATAAAGCTGTATGAAGAGTTGAAATAACATCATCATTTGATTTTGTGATGTTAACCTTTTGAGTATGACAACAAATTCTAGATACCTACTTTTAGACTTTATAGTACTGGACGACACATTTCAGAAAGCAGATGAACACTGTAGCCCTCTAGCTTATTTTGAGTTTTAAAAAGTCAACAAGAATAATATTTTTTTAGTAGCTTAACTTTAAAATTTCTCTTAGTACTTTGGCATCCTTTTTTTAAAAAAAAAAATCCAATGGAGAAGAAGGAAACCTTAAAAATACTTACAAAAGGAAGGGGATTAAAAAATCAGATAAGCTATTTTGGTTTTTAGGGCAGATTTTGAAAAAAGTGTATCAGACCTGTAACAAGAAGCTAGTTTTACCTTTCACTCCATATTGTGCTGCTTCTTAGGAATACTTGTGTACAAGTGCAAATGTGGTCCTTTCTGTGGGCTGTTATCTTTCTGTGCTCAGTATTGTGATAATGATGTGTTTAAAAAGTAAAGGCCATTGAGTGCAGTAGTTCTGTTAGTAGATTAAAGAAGAGGCAGTCACGTTAAAAAGTAATTTGACTGGTAACTATTCTTGCTGGAAGCTAATCAACCTTGAAACTGGTGGCTTTGAACTGAGATTGTTGCTGGTGCTTGTCCATCCTAAAATCCAAGTTGCTATACTCCCCCAAATCTGAACTTGCAACCCAGAATTCTTGAAATCGTGTAGTTCCATGTTTCCTTTGTACTGGGCTATATTATTGTATTATAAAAGATGCTTTAGCAGACCTGTTCAGTCCTAGGGCTAAAAAGTCTATTTCTGTTCCTCTTTGTCTTTAAAGGTTTCTCCAAAGTACCTGAGTTGTTGAATTTTGGTTAAATGTAGTATGTACTTAGCACAGCTGAAGTCAGACCCTGTCGTTTGTAAATGTGATCTTAAGGATGGATTTTGGAAATCAGTTCCTTAGCTGTTTATGTAGAAAGTAAAATCCAGCATAAAACAGCTTAGGAACTCTGCTTTTGTATTTAGACATCCAATCTGAGTGGATTTCTGTGCAGTAATAATAAGCTTTTATTTGCAGCAACACAAATACTTTTATTGACACTGTATCACATAATGTCTGAAACTCTCTTTTCTTTTTTTTTTTTTTTCCCCCTCCCCAGACTTAACACAAGGCCAGTGTTTGGAGGTGTAAGATCTCGCATTGGGATCCAGCAAAATCTTCTAAATAGATCGTCGTCAGCTGTCGGCTTCCAGCGGACATTTGATGCCCGACAGAAGATTGGACTCACTGATGCCCGACACAAACTGGGGGTTAAAGATGCCCGTGAAAAACTGGTTCAAAAGGACGCTCGGTTCAAAATCAAAGGGAAGGTGCAGGATGCTCGAGAGATGTTGAATTCCCGTAAGCAGCAAAGTGTTGCTGCCGAAAAGGTGACCAAAGTGGTGGATGCCAGAGAGAAGATCAGCTTAAAAAGGAGCGTTCCAGCTGCTATGAGCCCAGCTGTGGGGACAGTAAATCTAGCCATGAAAATCACCAAAACAATCCAAGTAGGTGAAGCAAGTCACCTCTGAGCCCCTCAGTTATTCTACAGCAGTGCAGTAGACATGATAATACATTAATATGTTCATATGTTTACAGTAGAAGCGATGATGATACAGTTTGTTCCAGCCTGTGGGGCAGGATTCTGATCTTTTTCTGTGTCCTTGCAGCTGCTTGGGGCTTTTCATAGAATCACACCTTTCATTTACACTTCCATTTTAATTTTGGGCCCAAAAAGACTAAAGCAGTGCTCCTGTCAGCTTTAAAGCAGATGCCTTGAATGGTTAAGTAGACTCTTTCCCACCTACACCTAAATGCAAAGAAAATGATGCGGGTTTTTTTGTCATTCTTATACCTTTTATCTTTGCAATTCTGATGTGGTGGAATGTCCTGTCTAGGTAACTGGTTTATCCTAGTGGTGAGATAACAGTTTAGAATATACAGCTGTGTTTGTATCTAAGAAGATCTAAAATTCAATGAGCTCTTCTACAATTTTCTCTTTTTATGGTTTTCAGGAAAGCCCTGATTTCCAGGGATTTGCCTGATTACATGATGCATTCCTGCTGAGGCTCAAGATTTATTTCATTTCTGCTATACTCAGTTAGTCAGCCTGACCTGCTGATTTCCTTGGCCAGTTTTCTAATTGCACTTTGCTGTGTGTGCAGCAACTTGATTCTTAGCCAGCTTCCTGGAGAAACAATTGGTGTTGAACTCTGTTAGGTACTGTGGGCAGACTCCGAAGTTTCTAGACTGTCAGGGTCGTTGTTTGAGGAGTGGTTTTGCTCCTCACCTCTACAAGCATGGAACTGAAGTTCCTAGCCTCTCTCTTTCATTTTTGTCCTCCCCAAAATCAGCAGCGTGCTTACACATAGTCAGAAAACTTCATCAGTTTGAAAGCCTTGATGAGTCTGCTTTCTTTTCAGCTGTGGGTTTTGCTCAGGAGTATCAAACATGTTTCTTCTGTAAATTAGCCTTGGAAGTTTCCCACTGCTCTGCGTGAGAAAGGGCTCTTGTGGCTGTAAGAAGGGCTAATCGCAGAGCAATAGAGCAGTCTGTTCAGTAGTCATTAATTAGTATGGTAATTAGTACTCTTGCTGTCCTAAGCCAAATCACCACCATCAATCCTTAGGAGCTGAACATTTTCTATAAAGTTCCTAGGAGTTAAAGTAGTTTCCAGAGACTTGGTGCAGTGGCTGCTGCTTCTGACCGTTGGGTTTTTGGTTTTTTTTGTGACTTGGTTTGACCAATGGTGTTTTCTGTTTGTTAGGCAACATAGTGCAAGGAAAAATACTATAGAGTATAATGGTGATTCAGACTGTAGACAGAACCTTGCACACGAGCAATTATCTAATAATTTTTAAAAATACTTACACTAAAATTCCAAATTGCCCATGACGCTCTTATCTTCCCAATATTGAGCAGTCAAACTAGAGTATCTTGGTCCAAGGTGTAGCACACAGCTCTAGATGTCCTGTCCTGGGGTCTTGTTTCTCATAAAGCAAGGAGAAGTCTTTGAAACCCAAAGAATTTCTGTAGGTCTGCTGCTGTTTCTGTAGGGTGGGTATCCTTGTTTCTGAATTGTTTAGCAAATTGAAACATGAGGGTGTTATGGTGTAAGTTACAGTCTAGAGAAAATGCAAATCTGAAGATTTTAGTGCCTGCGTGGAGTATTTTTGTTAGAAAATCCATTTTTTTCTGTAATGGAGAGCTTCCAGCTTTTCCAAAAAACAAAATGGTGTTTTTTGAGGGCACTGTTGCATGATTTTGTTGCCTGTAACAAAAACACAAACCAACTGAGTGCCGGTTTATGCGGTGCTTTATTCGGGGCCCGGGAACCTGAGGACTAGCGTCCCAAGTCAGGATTCCAAAGACCCTCATTCTCAGTTCAGCTTTTATACACAAACAAGTTTACGTGCAGTTTCCACAGCAAAACAGTTACAGTTTCCACAGCAAACCAGGTACAGTTACAAACAAGCTCATACTTCATACTGATAACAATTAATAATCATCTACTCTAATCATAAATCTGCTTAGGTTGTCTTACTCCTAGAAACTGTTTAACAGACCCTTACCACATCCTAGGTAACAAATCATTATGTACATGCTTGACTAAATCCTTTGATTATTGTTTCTACTTCTTCAGCACAACACTCCATGCTCACAAACAAGGTTGCTAACTTACTACTTTGGAGTGTTGCTTTCTAGGCCTACTCTCTTATTAAGCCTTAGCCATTCTACTACCAATTGCTAAACTTCAGTTATTTTGCAACAATTTCAGTTATTGAACAGCTATATTTCCTGACTGCTCTGTTGTGGCGTCCCTGTTTCACATTGTAATGGGTTCAGAAGGAGCAGCTACACTATCCTGTGTATGATTTTATTCCACTACAGCTTATTCCAGCTGTAGTGTTATGGGGCAGTATATGCTTCTCCTTTAAAATGGAACTGAATTATGTTGTGTCCCAGCTTGTTGAGTTTGATAGAGATATTCATGTTTGGTTGCCTATAGCATGAAAGAAGAGATGCTTACTTTCTGATTTAGCCCATTCATGGTTTTGTATTGGCAGAAATGTAGCCTGGCAGGGCTATCCCTTCCCAATTATCTTGGACTAAAACCTCAGTAATTTGAATCAGTTTCTTTGTGTGGCCTTAGGTATTAGTTTCTTCAATTTAAGTGAGTCTCTCTCATACTGAACATATTACAGGAAGCATAGATGTTATCTAAGAGCATATTGTTGTAATATACTTTAAAGCAAGAGAGTATCAACTAACAGCTCTGATCTTCTGAAATGGGGACCTGATGGACTGTAATATTTAATGTTTTGATTATTTTTCTCTTAACTGTAGCAGAAGGCACCAGTTCCTGGACACTCTCATCCAGCAGGAATGAGGATCAATGTGGTGAACAACCATACACACAAACAGGTGTGTACCTGCTCTGTGCTCTGTTACCTTTGGCAGGGAAGGAAATCTGTCCATAAACATTGGCAGGTGCAAAGAAAAGTCGAAGTAGGAAAGGAAGGTGTTTGGAAATTCTCCATCAGCTTGGTTTCCTATTCTTGTGTGATTAATATACTTTCATGGTAGTTGAGGTTTTTGTTTAGTATAACTGATCTTGATTCCTTGTGTGTTGTGTGAATGAGAAGTAGATATGCCTGTATGTGCTGATGTGTTTTGTTCTCTAGAGACCGTGACCTTTAGCTCTGTCTTTCTGTGAGTTTCTCAGCGACACCACATCAGATCAGGTTGTTGGTTGTATCGATTCACCATGCTGCCAGCACTTCAGAGAGTCGATATGATTGTACATGGTCAAATGTGCTTCAGTGAGGTGGGAGAAGTTATAACCTTCCTGTGAAAAAATCCCAGCTCTGGGTACCTGCTGGAAACTTGATAGTGAATGATGTTAACTAGTATTCTGATGTACTTTCAAAGTTGCCTTATCCCTTATCAAGCAGATTTTGAGAAAGACCCTAGAATTTGCGCCATCTCTTCTGGTACTTTGTCACAGCCCCCAGCCATTCAACCACCTTACTACCTTGGGTGTTTTCAGAGAGGAATTACATGTTTCTGTTACTTGTGTTATTTTGTATTTTGTGTGTATACACATAAAGTATTACATGAAGTATTGGAAAACTGACATTCACAATATCGTGTCCTTTTTTGAATGGATTTTTTTTTTGGCCTTGATTATGGTAACTTTAGCTATTTATGTATGTTACCTTTATGCTGGCCTGCTACCCTCACCTATCCCAGATGCTGTCACTTAAGGAAGTGTCTTCATTATTCTGACCTTATCCCTGTACACCTAGAATCCATTTTATTTGTCTCAAACTCAAGTCCATTATCCTGATGGCTAGTGTTTTTCCCAGCTCTTTTATTTTCTGCACAATTGTCCTCTGTTCTCTCATCCCTTTTGTTTTTTTTCCTTCATAGCATTTCTGTGACTGGAACAACTTCCCTGTTTGTAAATCAGAATCTTGCTGACTATGACAACCCACTGATTTTGAAAGCTCTTGTTGCTAATCCCACTGTTTTTCTCTACCCTTCTGCTGAGTTAATGGAAAGCTGCTTGGAATTGTGACTTCTTATGTTCTGAGCAGTGCCATTTGTGTCTAGACTTTTTCTTAACATTATTGAGAGTCTATGAAAAAAAATACTTGTGTAGGAGTTCGCCTCAGTATTTTAAGGCAGGGCTATGAGCATTAAGTTAAATTGGGAAATTAATTATTCGGTAAACCTTCTAGTGCAGTGTTTTGTAGTGCCAGATGGATATGTGCAGTGCTGAGGAAAGCAGCCTATTCCAAAGGAATGTTCAATTTAGGTGTATTTAGCAGGCATCTGCTTAATTAAAAAAAAACAAAACCCAATTTAAAAATCACATGCACAGGCTTCAACTTTAAAGGTAGCAGGGTGCTAAAAATTAAGACGCTGAGGCTTTATTCCAGTAATGTGGTTTCTACAGTCCTAATGAGGTCTAGCGATTAGATGAATCTGTATGTGATTTCAGTACTCTTAGGGAAACAGCTTTACTGTGGAATTTCGGGAGAAGACTGATAGATTTTACACTGATGTTTTGAAATGGACTTGTGTACCTTCTGTGTCCACAAGCTGCAATGACAGGAGTCAAGTCCAGTGCAGTCATGTTCATTACCTGAACATGGTTAAAGACAAGGGAAAACTACTTATTTTAGAAATGTCTAGATTAAATCTATCTGCTTGTAAACTGTAACCTTGCTTCTCTGCAGGGTCTGTATGACATGGAAGATGATGATGAGAGTGTCTCTCCCCTTCCTAGCAAACAGATGAAAATCACCACCACAAACAGTTTCCTGAACAATTCGGTAAGGAATTATCCTAGCAGTCCCCACCATGCCATGCTCACATTACATGGACACGCAGGCTTGGCTTTACAGGGCTTATGTTCTTTTAAAGTATGTAGGTGATGCTTTCTCCTCAAATATTTGCTCTTCACCCCACCCTTCCTTTGTGCCAATGCTTCTGCTGTTATTTTTGGAACAGAGTTCTTTTAGGGTAGCTGATTTTATGGGCTCTTTGCAGCTAGAATGTGTGCTTTCTGCCTTGTTGGCAGGTTGCTACATCTTGGCTCTTCACGTCCTTCTTGTTGAGGAAGTGTATTTAACTTATCTCGTTATTGTTTGAGCAAACCAGCAAGGGAAGCTTTCTGCTACTTCTAGAGACTGGGCATCAAAGCAGGAAATCTCTTGCCAGATGAAATCTTAGTTGGCATCTTGTTGGGGAGGACTCTTGCTCTGGAGAAGGTGGAATTTCAGTACGGACAAATGTGAGGTCCTGCTTTTGGCAGGGGATAACCCTCTGCAACTTAAGCTGAGAACTGACTGGCTAGAAAGCAGCTTTGTAGGAAAGAGCCTGGGGGTCCTACTGTGTGATCTACTAAGAATGAGTTAGTAGTGCATCCTTCCAGCAACAAAGGCCAACTGTAGATGTAGTAAGATCATAGCCAGGAAGTCAAGGAAGGTAATGGTTCCTGTTTGGCATTTTGAGAATGCACCTGGGGGCACTGTGATACAAGGACACCGACTGGAACCATTACAACAGGGTGGTCAGAGAGCTGCAGCATATTATGTGTGAGGAGAGGGTGAGAGAGCAGTGTCTCAAGGCTGAGAAGGCTGTAGTGAAATCTGTCCACTCTCACTGTTTGCTGTGTGGTCATGGAAAAGGCAAAAGGCTCAGGTTATTTTCAGGAGTGACCCTGTAGAAAATGAACCAACGAATGTGCTGCAGCAAAAAAAATTCTAGTTGGCAAAATTCTCACAGGTATTGGTCAGCAGCTGGCGCAGCCATTCTTGGATATTAGCGGTTAACAGATAAGGCCCTGAGCCAATCTGATGTGTCTTTGAAGTTAGCCCTGTTTCGGACATGGGGATTAGACATAGGTTTGCCCTAAGTTATTCTGTGGTCCTGAAGAAGCAAATTCATGTGGTTTTACCATCATACAGGCAGTGTAGTGCAATGATTATCCCCTGGGTTTATTTCCTGGGTATTCAGAATAAAGCTTCTGGCCATTTGTGGTTTTTAAATAATCTTACAAGTTATTTTGGGTTTTTTTCCAGGAGTAAATTTGTTCTCTCTTATGTTCACAGCAGCTACCAAGCACAGTTTTTAGTCTAGCTTTAAACTCGGGTAGTTCCAACTGCAGAGGTTATGCTCCATGCCGTTGTGTGCCCTAGCTTGGTGTTTCTGAAGAATTATTGCTGTTTGTACCAGGGCCGCTCAATCTTATTGTTAATGAGCAATCTTTGTGAACACTTTGTAAAGTACTTGAAAATCTTTGGGTGAAAGGAGCTTTTCAAATTCAGATCACATTGTTAAAGTTCATTTAAGAAGAATATGAAAACAAAAAGGGCTTATGAGGGAAGTACTCTTTCGGGATAAACATATCTTTTTATGTTTATGCCCAGAAGCGTTAGCTGGTTTTTTTTTGTCTTCAGAGCTGAAACTCTCCAGCACTGTAGTGCTTTTGACACTGGGAAGGACATGCAGTTCTTAGTGCATGCTAGTAATACTCTGCTGGTGGTGCTTGAAAAAGAGTGATGACTTTTGTAGGCTGCAGCTCTCAGAGGTACTTTATTTTTTTCTTCCTGTAGACTGGTGTGAGCGGCAATAAATTCTCTCTGTCCAAGACTGTTCCCCTGACTAAAGTGGTCCAAAATGATACATACACAGCTCCACCTGCACCTCCCTCTCCTATGCGGACGAAGGCCTTGACAAACATGTCTCGGACTTTAGTGACAAAGGAAGAGCCTCCAAAAGAGCCGGCACCTGTTGAGGTGAGCTCCGGGAAGGGGAAGATGCTCTTTACAGAAGTCTCTAAAACATCTGAAACTTGCTATTAATTGGTCATGTGAGCAGCTCATTTCTGCCTGCCTTTCACCATTATTTCTGGGACACCATCAAGGTTATTCTGATAACTGCAATCCATGTCCCAAGAATTTGAAACTAGTCTAAACATCCTTTTCCTCAGAGTTTGAGAGACTGAGAGTTCTCAGTGCATCTTGATTCTCTCAACCTTTCTCTCTGACATAAGAGCACGTGGTCCTGGAGGAATCCATATTACAGGGAGGTGGCAGTTATTGTTTTGAAACTCCTTGGTGGCTTTCATGTCCCTAGGAGTAGTGTTTTAACACTCTTTCATATGTTGTCTTCTGTCCACTTCAGTTAGCAAGGAGAAAAAAGGATTCTTCTAAATACAGCTTCTTGCTGTACACATGAGACTTCTCAGGCAATTTGTAGACAACCTGCCTGGAATTGGTTTGCCAAATTGGCCTGGTGTTGGGTACAGGTAACCCACCAAGTATTCCCAGGCATGTTGAGTTCAGCAACCTCTTGAAGGGCTAGAGCTGTATTTTGGGGTTTGCTGGCTGGTGTAGAGTGCAACAGAGAAACGCTATTAGAAGTGTGGGCATGACGAGACTACTGCGTATGTATGCAGATTAAATTACTGTTATACTTGTCAATAGGAGCAAAAAGTTACTTCAAAGGGAAATTAGCATGGAAAAGGAGCTGCTTTTTGCCATCGGATGAGCTGGGCTTTCGTAAGCATGGATACTTCCCATTACGAGCTGTAGCTCTCTCCTGTGTGTGTGTGTGTAGAGACGTTGCCGGACATCCCCTTACCTATTTCTTAATGCTTTCTCTGCTGTGCTGTCTTGTGTGCTGTATTTCTGACCTTTTTTATGTGATGCATTTGTTTGTGTTGGCAGCTGGCGTTCAGTCCTTTGGAAGGCACAAAGATGACCGTAAATAATCTGCATCCTCGAGTCACAGAGGAAGACATTGTTGTGAGTGTTGCTTACTGCCGGACTGTGGATGAATGACGCTTCCTTTCCTTATCCTACCTTTTTTGATAAATCAGTTGATCTATGGTGAATGCAATGAAGAGGGGTATGATGTGGTTTAATTTCCTTGCAAAAAACTTTGAGGGTTCCTGATTGTATTATGTTTTGTTCACGTTTTTTAAAAAAGTGTGTGCTTAAGAAGATAGGAGAAAATCGCCTTTCTAGGGTGTACTGAGATACCTGACATCACTTAAAAGAAGAGTTCGTGCCAAATGATGTTCAGGGTGTTCTCCCTGAATTTGTGCCCCCATCCAGATTATCTACGGGCTTCCATTCTCATGAGGCTGAGAATGAATCTGGTCTTCCTATGTGGAAAACGTTACAGAGTACTGGCCTTGAACTTTTCTGCCTGTGTAAGCTCTATTACTAGTGCCACGTAATCGTACCATAACAAGCACAATAAGACAAGTGTCCAGATTCTGTTAGGTCATTCTAAGTAGGATGGGTGGTGCGATTAAGAAACTAAGCCATTCTCACTTGGTGCCTTTGATGTGACCATGGTCACCACGACTAACTCTCTGCCCTCAGGAGTTATTCTGCGTGTGTGGCGCTCTGAAGCGAGCCCGGCTGGTGCACCCTGGAGTGGCTGAGGTAGTATTTGTGAAGAAAGAAGATGCTATCGCAGCATATAAGAAGTACAACAACAGGTGCTTAGATGGTAAGTTTGATGCCAGAGTTGCAGTTAGGATAAATAAATCAATAATTACTTTTCCACCTCAGTGGAAAGTTTAAAAGCATCTCAGATGCTCCTGTGCTACTAAGACAGAAGGAACGCTAGAAAATCAGTTCAAGAGCTAGATAATATAATACATTCCTGTGTAACTAGCTGAATATATGCACAGTTTATTTAGGTGAAATAAAAAAACCCCACCCACATTTTCGTAGAAAAAGAATGCTCAGAGCTGGAGGCAGGGTCCTGGCGAGTTTGCTGATCTAACTTCCAGATGAAATTTATTTTGTTTCTAATCTGGTACCAAGAACTAGATAGTCCTTAGCTAGGCTTTACTTGCTTACAGAAAAGCTGTTTGCAAAGTACAAGTAAAACTAATTGCAATAGTCTCAGGGTGTCGTCAGAGACATTTTGGAGTTGTAAAACAGTATCAGCTTCTGCATAAACATTTGACAATGTGATTTTTAACCTGGATCTACCTGCAATGTTGTGTTAGATGGAAATTAGCTGTTAATTTTTAACTGGAAATAAATCTTTTTCATTGTCTAGATGAGCGACATGAGTGTCAGATGAGGAGCAGACAGCTAAGAACAGGAAATCCTCTTGTGTCTCTGCTAAGGGCTTTGTACTTCTGTGTAATTTCTTAATTAGTGTGATCCTTCATATTGTACTGAGCATTTTGGTGGCTTTTCTGTTGCTCTGATTTTGCAACAAAAGATTTATCAGCTGTTCTTTCTCATGTTTCCTCTGTATGTGGAACTCTATTGCCTGCACTGTTGTGTGGTATTTCAAGGATCTGGCCTTACCCCAATTCTGATAGAATGACTTTTTTATTTAGGTCAACCAATGAAATGCAATCTTCATATGAATGGGAATGTTATCACCTCAGACCAGTCTATATTGCTGTAAGTGTCCTTCAGGTGGGGAAAAGAACCAAACACTTCTGCAAATTCTGTTTTGAGAATTGTTGTCCCATGAATATTTTCCTTCTCTTCCTTTCTGTGGCACAGTATCTTGAGCTGAGTGCAATATAGGTTGACCACATACTGCTCTCAGCCCTGAGGTTCAAAAATAGTCTGAGATGATGCTTTCTTGTGAGGAAAGCGTATTTAAAACCTTTATCTCCAGTATTGGTAAGGGTCAACACTGATAACAGTAAATGCAGACGTAGTGTTAAATTTTATTCCATAATGAAAGGTTAAATACTGCTTGTTTTTTATCCTCCAGCCGATTGAGCGATACCCCTTCAGTGAAGAAGGAAGGGGAACCACGCCGGTCAAGTGCAAGCACCTCCTCAAATCCCCCAGCTGAAGTGGACCCTGACACTATCTTGAAGGCACTCTTCAAATCCTCAGGGGTCTCTGCCTCTGTGCAGCCCACAGAATTTAAAATTAAACTCTGAGAAGCGGGAGCAAGCAGTGGACTGGAAAACTCATATAAGTTGGGGGGTGGGGAAAGTGCAGGAGTGCAGATGTTATTTGCATTTGCCTGCCTTGAAATTTTTTGTTTTCTATGATCGCTACTTTACTGTATGATAGTGTTTCCTCTTGTGTGTGTACTTTCTGTTTTCATAGTTGGAGTTTTCTTCCATATTTTTTTTTCCCAAAAGAATAACCTCCCCCTTCTGCCAGTAATGTATTACCAAGCATATACCATGTAACTCCATCCTTTACTCCAAAGCCCCCAGTGGCCATTAAAAGTGCACATAGACTTTGAGGGAAGGAGTGGTGATCTCCTCCTCTTTTCTTCTGACTGACTTTTAACTAAAAGGTGCATCCCCTTGATTGTCCACAGGCAAGAACACCACGTTGTTTCTGAAGTTGCTGCGCTGGGTACAAAGTCAGGTTGGGCTCCCTACAGGAAGCACCATCTTGCATCTTTGACTTGTGTGCATTTGGTGGCATACCAGTTCATTCTGGCTGTTGGACATGTTCCTGCTCAGCAGCTGAGACGTTGAGGAGTGTGAAAAACTGAGCTTCCTGTTGTGTATGCCAGCCAACAGAGGCCTCAGGCAGAAAGGACATATGCACAAGTGCACCAGCCATTGTGCTGTGGGAAGGGAGGTTTCAACTCTGGTAATGCTGTGGGGTTGTTCTGGTGTTTTTACAATGAATATATTTGCTCTGTAAGGTCAGGCTATGTTACTCTCCTCTTTCTGGACTGAAAAATTAAGAACCAGTTGTGTTCAGAGCTAGAAGAAATGCAGATATTTCTCTCCCATCAGACTATATTCCATCCTCCTGCTGATGCAGGGACATTAATTTTGTGCTTACCTTCTAACTCACCCACTCTCCTATAAAAAGGGAGGACATGGGACCCTTTACCCCTGAAGCAGTCCTATTTTGTGTCTGAGAACTCACTTCTTTGAGAGATGCCACTTGGGCAGTGTTTGGCTGCTGTGTGGGCATGCTGTTGACATACCTGGATTTGAAGGATGATTGCTGCAGTTACGGCTTCAGAGAGAGATTTTGGAGCAGAGAGCAGTTAGCATTCTAAGGAACACAGGAGAGGAGTCTCAAGTCCTGTGCAGAACCATGAGAATGTGCTATGGGCCAGTAAGTGTCTGTGACAGGCCACCAGGTGGCACTTCCAGTGCTTCTCATTCTTTGTACGGCATTGTTGCCTTGGATGTTGAAAGTACCAATAGCTCCATTCATTTGTGTTTGTTCAGATTGTATTATAAGAGAGGAAAGCTGAGAGCAATTTCCAGAATCAGGTTGGGATTTGAACTTGATCCTGCCAGCTAGGAGACTAACCTGTTCATTCTGTTCAGCTCTGCTGAGTACCTTTCGTAGGTCCAGGTTCCTTTTCTTGGTCAACCCTACGTTTCTTTTGCTTTATTGTTCTGTGTGAACTCTTTGCTCTATCTGGCTCGTGCAAACCATTCCTCTGTCTCACCCTTTTAGCCATGGAAATAACTGAGGACTTGGCAGGACTTGTTTTTATGGAATACTCTCTTTGTTTAGAAAGCCAACGACACCATTACTGGTAGGGTGCTTCATGTGAACAGCAGATGTTTGTAGGGGAGGAGACCTAAGACAGCTATTGTTCTCCTTTTTTAGATTGCCCACCAAATACGTGTTTTAATAAAAAAAAAAAGGGGGGGGGGAAGGGGGAGGAAACACATTAGGGGTTGGGGAAGATAATGTATTACCTGTTTCTGAATAAACGTTTGTTATAAAGAGGGTGAATTCTAAGCCTTTTTAGATGCTGTGAAGCAACTAAAGATAAGTGGAGTTGTTCCAACAGTGAGCTAAGGATGTGTTTCAGATGAACAGAAATTTCAAAACTGATAATGCGATGAAGAGCAAGAGGAGCATATGGGTGAAAGAACTGATACTCATCCACCTTTTAATCTGGATCATAGAAATTAGCAGTTGACTCTTACTACTAAGTGGGGGCTGTTTGTGTCCATCTAATTCCAATTCTCTTGTCACAATAAAAAAGAGCATTTGTTATTGACAACCTACTAATTTAAAAAGTAATTTTATAAAATAACAGCTGTGAAACAGGGTACCTGTTCTAGATAAGGTAGGGTGCTTTCATTATCAACCAGACAGAAAGCTGTGGAAATGTGAAGATGTGTATTGTGAGTGCATCTCGTGTCCCTTCTGAGAGAATGGGGAGATTCAAGCATTTTTTAAAATTAAGAGATTCATGTCCATTTAAAAAGCCAAACAGCAAGATGCACTTTAACTTCCTGTTAAATTGTGCATTGTGTTTAGGTTATCTGTGAGAGTTTATGATGACATTAAGATACTTCTTTGGAAGAACCAATGCTCCGTTCTCCAGCTCTGTGATATATGACAGTATATTTTTATTTTTTTATAAATTGGTGATGTCAGTGATTCTCTAAACACCACTCCATGATTTGTCTTACAGCAATGTCTTGGTATACATTGCTCTTCTGTTCTTGGTCAGTTCTTTAAAGTTAATCTTAGTCTTCTAATACACCACAGTATGGCTTCTTTGGTTGGGCACTGAAAGTAATCAGTTCTCCCTACTCCTTTTCAGGTAGTTCATCTTGCAGCTCTCCAATTTCTCCTGGTTGTCCTGCAATTGTCATGCTAATCTTATTTGCTTACATAGCACTGACCTCACATCCTCCACCTTTGTGCTCATGCAGCATGGTTATATTTTTGGTTGTTTTTTTTTGTTTTGGTTTGATTTTCATTGTTTTTTCTTCCCCTGGGCTGATAGAGATTATAAACTTGCATATGAAATACCGATTGCCTGCACTAAATTAATGTGCATTAATTTAGTAATTAAATTAAACAACTGGCCAGGACAGGTGGTAGGTAATTTGTAATGGTGTTTCTTTTTTTCCTTTTTCAAAAATGTGATGACTTCTGAAGTGATACCATAATGTGCAAGTTTGGTATCTTTTCATGGCTTCTGCATGTACCATTCCTTCTGATAATGTTCATTAACTTGGATATTTGGTTGGGTCAACTCTCCACATCATTTCATGTTTTGTCACTGCGTGCATTAGTCTTGCTTCAGTATCTTATTTTTGGAGTAGTCCTCTCTTCCATTCAGTCATAAATACAAATTCCTCTGTAAACAGTGATTTTTTTTTAAATTTTCCTGAGTAACAAAAGTCTTTAAAAAACAATTGTCTTTGAATGTTTTTACATATCTTTAAGATCTATTTGCCTCTCTAGGCTTAAGTGCCTGCGTTTTACACTGTTTTTATGGAAAGGTGAACCCGACCCTCGGGAATTTGGCGAGTCCCTGCGCTCGGCAGGCGTTGCCCGGCCCGAGGGACACGCAGCCGCCATTAGCAGCGCGGCGCCGCGGCTGAAGACTACATGTCCCGGCGGCCCCCGCGCCCGCCGCTCGCGGAGAGAAGATGGCGGCCGCCACGGAGCGCGTGGCGGGAGCGGCGCCGGCGGGTTACACGGGTGAGGGGCTCGGGGCAGCGGCGGGCCCCGGGAGCGGGGCTGTCAGGGTACATGGGTGAGGGGGCTTGGGGCAGCGGGGGGCACCGGGAGCGGGGCCGGCGGGACACACGCGTGAGGGAGCTCGGGGCAGCGGCGGGCACCGGGAGTGGGGCGTCAGGGTACATGGATGAGGGTGCTTGGGGCAACGGGGGGCACCGGGAGCGGGCCGGCGGGGTACACGGATGAGGGGCCACCGGAGCGGGGCCGCGGCGACAGCGGCGTCTGTAACCGGTGCGTCCCTCGCAGCTCTGGCGGTGAAGTTCGGGGAACGGCAGCGTTCGCCCCATTGCTTGTTGGTGAAGGAGCACCAGGTGCGGGAAGGGGCCGACACGGCGCACCCGCCTCGCCGCACGCTCTTCGTCCTCAACGTGCCCCCGTACTGCGGCCCGGTGAGTGGGGCTGGGGGTCGCACCGAGCGAGGGGGCGGCTGGAGGCCGAGGGCCTCGCCGCAGGAGCCGGCGCGTCTCGAGAGTAGCTGCGGGCACAGGAGGCGGCGTGAGGCGGGGTATCTGCGGGCAGAGCCGCCCGAAGTGTGCTGCAGTCTGTGCGTGAGAGGGCGGGGAGGGGCATCGCTCCTGCTTTGCTGTACCGCGTGTTTTCTCTTACTCTCCGTGTCAAGGATTCTCTGTCTAGGCTGTTCTCCCGCTGCGGGCATGTGCAGTCTGTGGACATCTGTGACAAGCCAGGGCCAGGAGAGAAAAAAGAAAAGCCGACGTCCAAATTCTTCAACCGCAAAACTATAACGGTAAAGCTCGGGGGGCAGAGGAATACTGGTGCTTTAAGGGGAAAAGATGGCAAGCACTGAATGGTTCTCTTTGGAACATGAGATAAAGGCAGCCATTTCAGGGCATCGGGTGACATGATTACATATTTAAGTTTATGTTATTTTTTTTTCCTATCCCACTGCAATTTGTGGTTTGATTTTTATTTTACTGTTTAATGTTATTTATACTGCAACTCCATGCAGTCTCCCCAATGTATCTGACTGATCTGGGTGTCTTTTTCTTTTAGGGATTTCAAGTAGCATATGTGGTGTTCAGGAAACCAGCGGGTGTCCAGGCAGCCAAGGCTCTGTCACAGGAAGGTCCCTTGCTAATATCAACAGAGACCCACCCTGTGAAAACCGGCATTAGCAGTACGTCAGCCCTAGCTATCTTTCTACTAGCTAATATTAGGAAAAAACTATACTCATTACTTGCTGAATCCTACCCTGCATGTCCCATTTTGTACTAAGCTGGGAGATGTTCAGTGTTTTGTTGTCCTGCTTCTGTTATTGTACACAGGGTACAAATCTTATTGTACTGGGTGTTGTAGTCTAGTCCAGTGACCGTATGGGAGAATGGGGTCGCTTGGAAGAGGGGGTTTTCCCGACATCTTTTCAGTATCATATAGATTCAGAGATACTGTCTGCATCTTGCCCTCAAAATGGAATCCAGACTCACTAACAGGCACCAGGTGTTTGTCAAGATGACAGCACTTCAGATACAACCCCTTGACAGGAACCCAGCCCTGAGTGTTGTACTCCTTGGGGTAGGGCTAGTTCACTTCTGCCAGGGAAAGTTGCAAGCTCTGCTCATTGCTTGTTGGCTGTGCCCTCGGCCACAAGTCGGTTGATCTGTGGCAGTGGGGAAGCTGAACAGAAATGGGAACAGAGTCCTTACCCTGTAGCAGTTCACTCTAGAGCTGCCCAAAGGCATCTCACTGGGGCCTGCTTCTAACAGTGGCTACTGCTGACTTGTGCCCTCTCTGTCCCAGAGTGGATTGCCAGCTATGAGGCTTCTGTCGTGGATCCGAAGGAGCTTAAGGCTGAGGTGGATGCCTACATGCAAGACTATGACAAAAAGATGGCAGAGGTGAGGCCAGGCTGGGGAGGGAACCCAGCTAAGTGGTGTGTTTGGGGGAGAGGAAAGGAAGAGAGATTTCTCAGTGCCCCAGTCACAGTGGAAAAGGCAGAGGGTCCCAGTGTTTGGCAGAGGTCTTTTACTCTCAGTACCTGGTGGGCAGTCAGGCCCTGGTTTGGTTTGCAACACCTGACTCTTCCACTCAGGCCTTACAACAGGTATCCACAAATAAAGTCCTGGCTGGCATGCAGTGTTGTGACTGCAAGTTGAATACCTACGCCCCTGGTGCCACACCTTCCTTTAAATCTTGTGTGGAAGCAGGAGCTCTAGCTTTGCATGTGTTTAAGCTAGGGCTGAGGGACCTGTGCATCAGGCTGGCTGGCAGCCCATCTGCATGCACTGAGCTGTCTTACCCTCCTGTCTTTACAGGAAGAAGCCAAAGCGGCCAAGGAGGAGGGTGTTCCAGATGAGGAGGGCTGGGTGAAGGTAACGCGAAAGGGCCGGAAGCCTGGCCTGCCCCGGACAGAGGCTGCCAATCTGCGGGTGCTGGAGAAGGAGAAACAGAAAAGGGCCCGCAAAGAGCTGCTCAACTTCTATGCCTGGCAGCATCGCGAGACCAAGAGAGAGCGTGAGTGTCCAAGTCTCCTACCCCTGCCCATGTCTCTTGTCTCACACTGTGGCTCAAAGAACATCCGTCTTCCTTCCGCTGAAGGGGAGGCTACATCCAGCTGCTGCTGAACAGCTGGCTGGATGGGTGCGATTGGCCTCACTAACTCTTGAGAGGCCTCTTGCCACCACCTGTCCTAGAAAGGGCTGCTGGAATATTTTGTGGGAGAGTGTGCAGGTCGTGGTATTCCAAGATGTTTATTTAGTCTGCACGAAGGCAGTGATTGAAGGGAGAAAATATCCAGTTTCCTCCCCAAGAGGGAGCTGCAACACTGCCAGAGGTGAAGGGCCAGAGCCCCGGTTTGGCACTCAGCCCAAGTGTAAAAGGACCCGCTCTGGGAAGTGTGTGTTTGCAGCTGTTGGGACTGAGCCCCTCCTGGTTTGTGGAAGTGAAGCTCCCAGGAGAGGGAGATCTACTGCTCCCGTGTGACCTGTTCTCTTTTTCCATGTTTTAGACATTGCCCAGTTGAGGAAGAAATTCGAGGAGGACAAGCAGAGGATTGCGTTGATGCGAGCCCAGCGCAAGTTTCGGCCGTACTAAGTTATGCTGAGCTGTTCCTCAGGTGCCTGTGCTGGAGAGGATGGGAGAAGATGCCTACTGACTCCATTTGCCAAAGGATTTCAAGGACTTGAGGCAGCTTTGGGTTGTCTCTGCCCTTGGATCTGAAACGGGAGATCCCAGCAACTGCTGCTGGAGAGGAGTTCTCTTTACTTGCACCAGTATCCTCCTGCTCTCCTGGCTGTTATTTGGCCCTGTGGCACCACTTCCCAGGGTGCTCAGGTCAGGGGGGCTGAGGCACATTCTGTGACAACCTGTATCTCCCTGCCACCTCAGGCTCTCCTAAAGCTTGGTGAGAACTGGGATTGACCTAGCACAGCCTCTGCAGGGGCAGAGAATGGCTGAAGAACTGTAAATAAACTGCTGCTACGTTCTCAAAGCATGGGAATGCTTCTCTCTCACCCTAGTCTGCTGTGGGGAACGACTTCTTGTGTGCTGGGCTGGCAGTAAAACTCATGGCTTGTAAGCTGGTGCTCCTTTGCACATTTTATCTGGGGATAAGGAGAGGAGGGAAGTGACTTTGGGAAAAGCCCAGCTGGAGAGATCCTTGTGACCTGTTGTCACAAGGAAAGATCAGTGGTTTGGTAAGTGCCCTACCAGTTCCCTCTCAGCCAGGTGTTGAGTTGCCCAGTCATCCAGCTGTGCGTGGAGCTCTGCAGCCCTATCTTGGCCATGGGAAATGTCTGTTGTCTGGCACTGTTGCAAGAACAAGTGCCACTTCAAGCAGCCTGGCCTTGGAATGAGAAACCAGACTCTCTAAGGCCTGTATCCACTTAACTTGTCACCAGCCCACAGAAGGCAGGGAAAGGTGGCAGCAGGCACATCTAGGTGTGGATCAGTGCTTTTGTACTGCACATATAACATCTGTGCAGCTTTGGACTTAGTGATAGGTCACCCCAGCACACTCTGTGATCAAAGTAACCTGCCCAGCCCCAGGCTTTAACACATTTATTTTACTGCCTGCAGCCTCAATGCAGGTGTGACCGTGAATGTAAGGTGGAAGTGCTGGTAAATTCCACAGAGCTGATTTAAAATGGATTTACCTTTTCCTGGAAAGCCCACTGCAAATACAGTTTGCATTGCTTGTGTTGCTGCTTTAGTTGGCTTTTTGCATTAATTTAGCTGGGAGGCAGATCCTTAATATGCCTTATCTAAGGTGGACTGTATGTAAAAATTGCTGCCTCCTAAGATATGTTTTAGCTGCTTGGGTGAGCATCCCAAAAGAGAAGGGAGGTTTGCTCTCCTATTGAATCAAGAAGACGGACTTAACATTAGGAGATTAATCTTTATTTAGGACAGAAATCATCTCTGCCAACTTTTCCATTAGTGACAGAAGATTAGTGACATTCATTAAAATGGGCTTCTGTGCCCAGGTGAGCTCTTATTTAAGCTGACTTCTAAAAAAACACCAGCTCTCCGAGTAGAACAAAGACACTGAGGCCCTCTGAGCTCAGGCCCCTATGGAAGTAAGTGGAGAAGCAGGAAACTTCACTTGTTTTTCATCAGGTTTAATCCTGGGAGCAGCCTGGCCACACCATCCTCAGGGAGGAGGCAAGATGAGCCACCTCTCTTGCAGTGTCAAAGCTGGCGCTGCTGCTGTCACAGAGGATGCCTCTGCCTGTATTCCTGCACTCTTTCAGGGTGCAAGTTTGGAACAAGCCAAGGGGAAGGCCACTTTGGGCCGCCATCCCTGTACTCAGAGAGCTGGAAATAGAGTAGGGATTCCTCTTCCCTTTGACAACTGAGATATTTTGCTCAGCTCTCCTTCAGAGAACCCCTGGCAGACATGCTTCCACTCTGCAGTGAGCTAAGCGCGGGAAAGAGTATCATGATGGGAGGAGTTGGATGTGAGGTAGGAATGGTGACAATTCTGCCGGAGCCTGCTTTTTAGCTCCCAGTTCTCCTGGACTGCTGCAGCCACTGGGGTTTCTTAGAGTCTAGCTCTAGTGTTCTGAACTGTCAGGAAGTTGCTGATGATCCCAGACACCACCTCAGGCTCGTTCAGGTGCACAAAATGACTCCCAGGCACCTCGACTAGCTGGATGTGCTGGACAGAAGGGACACAAGAAGATGTAGACTGGGAAAGTGGTCCCTCAGGCAAACACTGCTTGCTGTGACACTCAGGGGAAGGGGCAGGGGCAAGGGAGGCAGGACAGGAATGGGAGGACCAGGGAAGATCTAGGTCCAGAGGGCAGTACTAACTTGGGACTTCGGCAGGAGGGGTAAGAAGCGTGAGGGCTGTGCCCTTCAGGACAAGTCACCTACTGGGGGGTGTCCACCAAGGTGAGCTGCTTCCCAGCTGCTGCTCCCAGGTCAGTGGCACCTAGAGTAGAGATGTAAGGATGGTGTTTGCTCTCACCTCTTTGAGGGTAGACTCAAATGCCTCCCGCATGGCTTTCACAAAGTGATTTCTGCTGTGTAACTTGTGTGGTACCAAAAGTCCATCTTGTGATCTGAAAAGCAACAGCAAGGCTCAGTACAGCAGTGTGCCCCCATTTGACTTTGCTGAGGCCCTGGGCAGAAGCTGTGTCCCCAAGACAGTGGCGGGGGGTGTGTGTGTGACAGACCCAACTGTTCTTTCCAGGCTGCTTGTAAGCAGCCAGGTGACAGTGTCATACGTGGTAGTCAGAGCACAGCTTGGCTAAGCAGTTATTTTCTATCACACTATCTGTGTAAAACCTTGGGTGACTGCCTAGTCGTATCAGAGTGGAGACTAGTTAAATATTGTCCTCCCAGGGCTGTCTCTGTAACTGATCTGAGAACATCATTCCCTGCCCCTGTTCTGTCTTCCTCCCTTAATTCTTTCCTTCCTTACAGTTTCCACCTCTCTCCACTGTCCTTTTTGCCCCTCCATACTGCTGATTTAAACAGGGTGTGCCGTGCTTGGAGGGGGAGGTATGAAGGCAGTTTCCCAGGAGAAGCCAGCATTAGACCTCCTGCAGAGCAAAGATCATGCTGTCTCCTACTGTGCTGCAGGTGATGGGACAAGGTGACATCCCAGGCTCAAAGGCATGTACTCTCCGTGGCTTTGAGGACTTGGCCTTACCATGATGTTACATTTCTGGACAAGAAGGAATATCCTTAAGCTCTTATGATACTATAACAGGTCAGGGAAGCCAAAACTGCACCTCATTTCTCAACTGCTACCACTTCCTCTCGTTTTCTAGACAATCTTTTAATAGCACCACACAGGCCAAGGTAGCCAGAGCCTGCACACCTTGCCCTCCAAGGAGATGGGGAAAATGCAGAGGAGGACTCACAGAACAAGCTCTGCCCAGGGACAGTTTAACAGCTTGTAGGGCTCTGCGCAAGCCACTGGCCATGTCCCCAGGGCTTCTTGCCCTGGGCACCACAGGGGAGAGCTTGAAGGAGCTTGGTCAGTCCAGGGGCTCCAGGACCAGCTGGAGGAGGCTGCTGTAGTTTCACCTGTTTGCTCAGGCAAGAGGTTCTGGGGTCTGGAGAAGGGGGCAGGCTGGGTTGCTGTCCCTGAGGTAGAGTCAGCTCAGGAGGACAGTAAGTTGGAGTGATGCTGTGGAGGGTCACATATTTGCCAGGATGGCCCCCTGCTGTAGGGTCAATGGGATCGTGAAGCCAGGAGCGTGGGGAAGATGGGACAGGACTAGCATTTCCTCCCAGCTTTGCACCAGGGAGACCCAGCCTGAAAGCAGAGTGCCAGGCTGGGAGGATGTTCCAGTTTCTCCTGCCTGTTCCAGGAGCCTGCCTAACACAGGGCAGTGGTGGGAAACTGGAAAATACTTCTCATGTGAGGTTGTACTGTTGTGCTAACTGGCCAAAGATCTGGGTGACTGCGGTAGAGGGACGGGTAGTGGAGGACTCCTTCCTAGCCTTCATTTCTTCCACCAAGGGAGGCAGCAAGAGCTGGTTTGGCTTATGCCTCACTCACACAATGATGAGAACACGGTCCTGGATCTTCTGCAGGAGCTTCACGCACTGATCCACTGTGAGGGACTCTCGACTCTGCTGCAGGTGCAAAGAGAGGGAAAGTGGCAGAGGTCAGGGACAGCAGCTGAGGGCAGAGGGTATCCCCTAAGCCCTCCTGCTCTAGAGGCTCTGAAGGTAGAAGTAACAGTGGCCCCAAAGCTTCCATGCTGGGACATGATAAGTGTCCAGAGCTGTGCACAGGAGTAGTTGGCTCTGCAAAGGCTCCTTCTGTCCAGCTGCATTCCAGGGCTGCCAACAACACTGCCTGCTGGGATGCAGCACATACGGGAATGATCTCATAGCAGAGAAAAGCTTTAAAAATCCTTTTACTAAAAAGGAGACAGTACACTACCCTGGCTTCCATATCTGGCAGTAGCACAGGTAGAGGAGGCCCTGTTTGCTCAAAAGTGGCACAAAACTATCAAAATATCAAATGTAAAGACTTTGCTCAACTCTTTTCCCCTTCTTATATGGGTCACCTGACAAAGAAGCTGACAGAAAGCATCCATCCATCTGCTGCCTGAAGAGTCATAACAGCAGGAAAATGTGGCCAGAGGCCCTGGGGCAGAAGAACTTCTAAAAAAAAAAAATCAGTAACATTTTCCAGTGACTCTGTAAGTTGAGTCAATGATCAAGTGCAGGCTCTTTTAACAGCAGCATTTAAAGGAGACGTGGGAATTAGGGAAGCAGAAAGTAAATGGCTGGGTGAAGGCAGAGCCTGGGCTCACTGAGCAGGCCTCCACTATCTCTGAGTTTTCTGTAAGCTCAGGGCTCAGAAGTAAGAAGAGCAATGCTCACCATACGGGCTCTCATGTCTCTGTTATATACCAGCCCTGGAAAGAAAAACAACAGAAGGTTTTCATGTCTCACAGGAGCAAGAGTTGTTCTGGTTTTCCTTGCTTGTGGGGTCTGTCCAAGACTTTTTGAGATAGGGAAACAGTGTTAATTCAGATTTCTCCTTTTTTTTGATTTATTCTCTTTAGCTGTTCCAGGACTCGAGCACCAATCCCAGTTGCTGGGAATGGAGAGCTCTGCCTCCAGCCTTAATTGATCCCATTCAGGCTGTGTAAAATTGTAGCTAGGGCATCCTGTACTCTGCAGAAGACAATGGCTACTGGCACCAGTCCCTTCCCACACCCAACGCTGGCCCAGCACCACGCAGCCCCTTACCAGCGGGTGTCTCAGTTGCTCCTCGCTGCAGCAGGATTGCTCCACCCTCTGCTGTCAGATGGCTGTTCGCTTCTAAGAGCCTGGGGGAGACACGGCAGAGAGATAGTGCTGCTGGAAAAGGGAGGAAGCAAAACAAAAATGACATGACAAGGTGACAGCAAGCTCTCAGGCTGCTTCAGAAAGGAGCAGGATGATGCAGCAGCTTCTGGCAGCAGAAGCAAAAGGTCTTCCTGAGATTCCACAGGAGGACTTGAAAGAGGAAGTGCAGGGACAGTTTCTCATTCTTTCAGCCATAACTGTCAAGGTGAGGGCAGGCAGCAAATGAAGAGGAAAGATGGGGCCTCACCTCTGCAATGCTGCTTCAGGGCTCCGTGCTTTGGGAGTTTGCTCCTTTGCCTCTAGACTCAGTAACCTGTCAATCACCCTCCGTTTAGATTTCAGCCATGCCTCAGTGTCCTGAAACACAGAGAGGGAGAGGAGTAACCCCTCTCTTCTGAATCATTTTACCCCCTATCAGCTGGTAGAAGAGGGAATTTCACCCTTCAACATCCCCCAGAACTGGTACCAGTTATGGATATCCTATTAAAAAATGCCCATTTCTGGAAAAAAGGGAACATCGATACTGCTGTAATGAACTTACTTACTTTTTACCCTTACAACCTTTTCTAACTCTTCCTACCTCACTTCTGAGTTGAGGACAACTGTCCAAAATTTGGTATCTCTGACCCAGGGCTTCTGTCCCACTTTGCCAACCAAAGCTCCAGCATCTGGTAGCAATGATGGCAAGTTGGGAATGTAGCTTTATGTCCTGCCAGGAACAGAAAAAGAAATCCACCAGTCTTGCACCTAGGTCACCCAACAAGCCACTGGCAAAAAGAAAACCTCAGCTGGCGGCTGCCTGGACAGAGGCTCCACTTCCCTTTGTACACGGGCACGGCACAGACAATTTTGGTGCTAAGGGACTGCATCATATGGAGCACTGCCAAGGGTCCTTCAAGGGCCACCCTAAGTAGGGACCTCAGTCCGTGCAACAAGGAGCAGATCAGTGCCTGCCAAAAGGAAGAGCCTGGGACTTGTGTGACCTGCCAGGAACTGGTCACATCAGTGCTTTCTCTGAACAAATGAAGCAAAGAAAAAAACCATCTATTTTTGTATTTAAAAAAAGCGAAGGGAAGGACACATGAAATCTAACCTCTGGAGCTAGCAGAAAGCCAAGACTTTCCAGCAGGATCAGCTTGTCCACCATCTCAGGATAAAGGAAGCAGAACTGAAGAGAGATGAAACAACAGGAGAAAGAAAAGCTGAGCACTGAGTGATGTCTTTATCCTGCTACATGGAAGAGAGGGTCTGGGAAGGGCCTCTCCTCCCAAGATCCAGGTCCCACACTGTCTGTCTCTTCATTCCTCTCCCATTTGTTGTTGCAGCTGCAGAAATCACAAACCCCATGAAGAAATGATGCTTTACTCACCATTCCTGCCACAGCTCCTCCTGTGAAGGAGAGAAGGGTGCTCAGTTATGCCTAGAACAGCCCCTAGTAACAGAAATTTCCCTTCCCCACAGCAGGAGCAGCCTGAGAAGTAAAAATGCACATTGTACCACAGGACAAAGCCAAAGTACAGGATAGAGCTCTCCCAGCAGGCAGGCTGCAGGCATAGAGCAGGGCTGTTGGCTTGCTGTATTCCCCATCCTGTGCCACCCCCACCTCCCTCTCAGGCAGCAAAGGCCAAGGAGGAGTTACTAGTTAAAAGGGTATGGTGTGCAGGTCCTGTGAGCTGTGGCCAGAGCAGCCTTGGGGAGCAAACCCCATATTGTGGCAAAACCAAATCATGTTCCAAGCACAAAGGGGTGGAGCCTGGAGTCCAGTTCCCCTCAGCAAGCTTTATAGCCCACCGAGATGGGAGCTCTGTTCCCAGGCTTTGTGGGGACCAGGAAGGAAGGCTGTGAATTCTCCTTCATAGACCACCTCTCTTTGCCCATCACTGTTCCTTCCTGGGGGTGGGGAAACGCCCACAGCAAGAGTTACCACTGTTTGTACTACAGGGTCTTGAAAGCAGAGGCATTTCAGACAAGGGCGCAGGTTTTTGAATCTTTTGAATTTTTTCCTTTTCAAGCAGGAACCTGGTACTTGACACAATATAATAAATATTCTAACCCAGCTCCTAGCAGCATGTCTTGTAAGTTAATTATCTACTCCTATTTCCATGAATCTCACAGCTTACAAGGACAAGAGCCACTTACCCATACTGTGACCCATCAGGGTGAACCGTCTCCACTGCAAGGCTAAGTGGCAACAGACAAAAACAGATAGTGCTGCATTAGAAACCAGAGTAGCAGCATCTTGCTGCTTCTCCAGCAACATGGGCCCCTTCTCCCAGGAGGGCTTTTGCACTGCTTAATTGCTTCTTAATCCATAAACTAGGTGGCTAAGTAGGCCGATTTTAAAGAAAAAATGCATTCACCACTTCATTTTGTTGGTAGTTAAGCCGTGCAGCTCTCAAGCTCTCTGTATGTCAAACAAACTCCAGCAAATTCCCGTTCACTGCCAGACATGAGACTGGCAAGAAGCAGAGGAGCCTAACCAGGCAGCATCTGCTGAAAGAGAGAGACCTTGACAGAGCATCCTGCTGCAGGGTGTTCTGCAAGACAACTGAGGACACAGAACCAGGTCTGCTGCTTTGAGGAAAGTACAATTATTCCATGTGAAAATTCTCTACACCATTTAGCACATCAGGCTCTTCAGTCCATTTTTAGGGCACTCTGAGAGGCTTATAGGAAAATACAGCTTTTTCAGTTCTCCCCATCTGAAATATACCTCACTGAAAGATGAGTTTTACCCTCTGGAACATCAGAGAACTTCTAGAGGTTCTTTGTGTACTGAATAAGGGATGCAAAACTGCATGTGCCACAACCTCCTGCAGGATCAGCATACAGACAGTTACATCAGGAGTTATTAGGAGCACAAGACACTTTGGCTTTCAGATTTCTTTGTATGATACTAAAGCAAGCAGCAAGCTGCCATCAGAGAGAACCAGAAGAGTCTCCAGCTTACACCTAGCACTGGTTAGAGGTCACTGGCTGCTTACAAAAAGTCAGTCTGGCAACACTATTTAGTTGCATCCACCACTTCGCCACTACTGCTCTTTTTAGTATAGAAACGCTGCCCAGGGCTTACTGTCTCTTTCTCTAGCAAAACAGTGAGAAAGCAGGACGCTTATTCAGTCACAAAGCACTGGCTAACATCAAACAGGATAAGTAGGGGGAATTGATTCTTTCCTAGCAGTAAATGCTGCCTGCTTGTTGTAAGGAGCAGGAGCAATATAGCTCCCTCTGCACGAGCATCCCCTGAAGGGTCCCTTCAAATACCCACCATCTGCCACACGGCGCACATCAGTCACATAATCCAGGAAATGGTAGGGGCAGCCGGCAGGTCGGTGGGATGAAAAACCATGGCCAGAAAAATCCATTGCCACATAATAGCAGCCTGAAAGGGAGAGAGTATAAGATGTGCAGCCCTGACACACAATAAGAGCCATCCTGATGAGCCAGACTTACCTCTGGGGAGCAATGGAATGAGCTTGTCAAAGGTGTTGGCATTGTCTAGCCAGCCATGCAAACACAGCACAGGATGTCCCTCCAAGGGTCCCCAGGCCTTGGCTGCCACGTGGCCCCAGGGTACAGGGAACTTCAACTCTGAGAACATGCCCAAAATAGGGTCACCGGAGAGCCACGTGCTTGGGAGTAGGTCCCAGGGGTCTTGTTAATGGTCCAAAGCTCTGAGAAGAATAAAACAAGTCTTTAGTAACTCACCAGCCTCCTGTGGTCTTAATTAGCAGCTTGCTGATTTATAGCTCCCCATTCAACATCCCAAGCTGCCATTCCTGACTGCCTGTTTGGGGAATCCTCCTCCCAGCACGTACTAGCAATGTTCCTAGGAAGAAATAAGCTTTCCCTATGCAGGAGGAGAAAGCCTCCTCTCTGTCTCTGCAGCAGCTGCAACCCGACCAGAAGGCACAGGAGATCTGGCAAGAGGGAACAATGCAGAATTCCCCCAGTTAGCTGCAGTCAGCCAGGCACCTGTCCTGGACCAGAAAGACGGTTTGGGGAATGCTGCCTCCAATAGTAGACTGTTACCACCTTGTTCACTTTTACCTTGGTGTTTCTCACTTGCACCACCAGTCGGCACCTTCGAGAGAGCAGATGGCTCCGTGCCCCACAGCTGCTACCTGCCCGTGAACCCCTCAGGGCCAGGGACTGTGCATGGAACACAGGTCCACAACCAGGCAAATCTGCTCAACCTCAAACTTGTCTCATTACTGCCGATCTGCCAGGTAATCATGGAGCTACACCTGACCTTTGCTCAACTCCCAGCTCCTGAGTGAACCCCCCAGCACTACCCAGCCTCTGGAGACCCTCCAATAGTGGTTTGAACACTTCTCCTTTACCCACAAGCCCTGGGCCCCCTTACAGACAACCTGACTATTCCCATCCCCAAGTGTCTCATGCCATATCCCCTATCTTGTGTCTCTACTCCCTTAAATAGCCCCCCGAGACTGCACTGCAATTAAATCACTCTACAGCAAGTCCTTCCTGAGCCCATATCTCTCTAACGCATGAGGACAGAGGGGTTAGGCTGAGAGGGGAGGCTGCTGTCGGGGCCCTGATGGTCCCAATCAGCCAAACCTGGGGCTCTCCATGACCCTGTTTAAGCTCAGCCCAGGACCAGCCTCAGCAGTGCTGCAGGAGTGCCAGCCTCCACCAACAGCACCCTCCCTCAGGAACCGTGACTATGCCTGCTGATCACGGGGCTGTGTCTGACTCCAGCTGCCCTCGCCGGGCCAGATCCTGACAACCAACCGCGGGCTGACTTCCCGGTGTGACCGCGGACCTGCCCCTTCCCGATGATCTGGGCTCCCGGCAGAGCCTGATCGCCCTCCTCGGGCAGCCCTGCCTGGGCCCGCGGGGCTCCGGCCCTGGGGTCCCCACGGGCCCGGGTTGGGGCCTCCCCAGGCGGGCAGGAGGCGTCGCTACACCCGGACCTTCGCCTCAGGGCGCCCTGGAGGGCGCGGTCCCGACCCCGGGGAAGGGCTGCCCCGGGACCGACACCTGCTCGGCGCCCAGACCGACCCCGCAACGCTGCGGCCGCCTCTGCCCCGCTCCCCGCGGCCCCCGGCCCCCTCCTACCGCTCCGTGAGGCTGAGCTGAGGCGGCGGCAAGAGGGCTCGGCCCGGCGGCAGAGCAGGGCGGGCCGGCCCGGCTGCACCGCCCCGCTCCCCTCCCCGCCTCCCCGCGGCAACCCGGCCTCTGCCCCCGCCTGTGTTTGGACCAGGCTCAGTGAGAGTAACCAGAAGTTAACAAGGTCTGTGGGGTCTGAAGCTGAAAACAACCTCCTGGGCACGATAGGGAGGAATCAAAATCAGGGAGGTACGGCTGCGTCTCTGACTACCTTCAGAAGACACATTACTGACAATAGAAACTGCCTGTACTGTGGTGACACAGTGTGAGATGTTTTAACTGTGACCCAGGACTTCATAATGACATCAAACAGGCTCAGTGCTTGACACCGACACTGAACTTCTGTCGCTCTCTGATAGAGAGACTCTTCTGAACTCCTAACACTTGCTGGAATCATGTTGCTCCAGGGACAAGAGTCACCTTCCCATACTGTGACCCATCACAGTGAACTGACTCTACTGCGGGGCCAAGCTGCCACAGATACACAGTGGACAGCACTGCCTTAGCCGCTCTGTTCCTCTTCTGCAAAAACAGACCCCTCTCACATGGAGAGGTTTCTATATAGTTTTCCTCCTTAGTTGCCCAGTTGCCCAGAAAGGTGACAGCTGCATGGACCGAGTTTCAAGACAGTCAACACCCAGGTATGGCTGTTTGCTGGTGCCTTGCACTCCCTCCAACAGTCAGTCTGCTAGGCCTAATGCAGACCACAACCATTTCTCTTCAGTCAAGGTCTCTGAAGTCAAAGGAAGCAAAGTCAAATTGCGTTGTGAGCAGTGGCACACCTTGCTGAAACAGTTGGAGAGAGCATAATGAATGTCTGTTCGTAGGGAGTCATTTTTATATTGATAATTGAAAGCCCTCTGCTCAGTTCAGCACATCAGTCTCCTAAATTACACAATACATTTTCAGAACAGCCTAAAAAGCTTGAAAGAAACCAGTGTAGAAGCTTACAGCCCTGTTTCTCCTGCCTAGCTCAAACTCATCCTGGCAAAACAGGCTCTGCACCACGGCAGTTGAAAGATAACCTTGGGGACCCATTACTGAGAAGAAATAAGAGTGCTATGCAGCTCACAGCCTCCCCTCCAGGTGAGCCATTAGAAAGGAAATCAGAACATGAATTTTTACAGGTTTGGAAAGTCCAGCGTATTGCTTTTTCTTAGGCCTCTATGGTGGAGGAGTGGGAAAGCAGACTACAAGTGCTGGGGAGACTACAAGAGGGAGAGAGGCCACAGTACCTTCTATAGTTTCTTTCCTGCAACTGTCAGAGGTGGGTGGCTGATTACAAAAGGTGAAAAGTGAGAGACAGTTCGGCAGAACAGATTTGTGGAATGAACTCAATAATCAATCACTGCAGCTGTTAGCAGAGGGCATGGCCCTCCTGTGCATTGTAGGAATTTCTTCAAAAGAAGCCATCAGAAGGCAGTGTAATTGTTAGGCAGTGGCTGCTGCTAGGCTCGTGTTTCTTCAGTCTGTGGCATGACTCTTGAGGAACAGGACCCCGTGTCATGAGCAGGAGTTATGCAGACTCTTTGCACAAACCTCAGAGGCTGATGGAAAAACAGGCCATGGCCAGGAAAATCCATTGCCACTCATGAGCCAGATCTGCTCCTGGGGAGCAGTGAAATGAGCCTGTTGAAGGTGGTGGCATTGCCCAGCCAGCCATGCAAGCACAACACAGGTTATCCCCAGGCCTCAGCTGCCACTTGTGTTTGAGGCATTGGGAACTTCACCTCTGAGAACTTGCACCCACAAGCAACATCCTCTGAGTGCTAAATGCTGGAGCTGGTCCCAGGGAGCTTGTTAACAGCCAAGAGTTCTGGACAGAACTTGTAGGTAGGTGGTAGTTATCTGTCAGTCCTGAACTCTACCTAATACCAGTTTTTGGACACAAGCCTTGTTTGGGATAATCCTGGTGTAAATGCTTGGCCTGGTGGTATATGCATCGCCACCCATAGGTCTTGGACTCTCTCCTCCACCACGTTGGGCTCTCTCCCCGACTGCAGCAGCCAGTAGGATCTGGTCTCTCATTGCTTTGAGTCACAGAGATGACTCTGGGGCTCAGGTGGGAATAATTCATTCTCTAGTGAATGCATTCTCTAAGACTCCTGTGACCTGCATCCTAAATCCCTTCTGGTAGGAGGCTCCATCAGCAGTCACCTCAGGGAAAAGAAAAAATTCCTCACAGAAATTATCAGGAATAAGTGATTTCTGATAGAGCTCCAAGTGGAGGAAGTTCCACTGGGATGTTCCCTGGACCTTCCCCTCCGTGGCAGGACTGTCATCCTATTAGCCAAAGCCAGATTGTGGAGTTGTCCTTCAGGTCCCTCATGCCTTCTCTAGCAATGTTACTCACCCCTCTGACAGAGCAGCCCAGCATCTCACAAGAGTGTGCATCTGCCCCTGCACAGCCTGGAAAACCAAGCCCCAAGGGAAGGGCCCTACGTAGGATGCACGGCAGAATTTGGATGGCTCACAGAATTCATTCTGCTGCATCTACTTCTACGAAGTGCTGCAGGCTACTGCAGTGGAACTGTTGCCTGTGGAGGACCACATTAGACTCCATCTGGAAAGGTGCTGAGGTGTTGGCTGGGCTGCACTGGGCTGGTGGTAAGAAAGGCTGGTTTTGCATAAAGAACTGGGAGTTACTTTGAGATATCCCATGTGCTTAGCAAAGGATAATTTAACCTCTATATCCTTGCAAAGGAGCAGGAGACCTGCAAAGATGAGCTCTGGGGCACGCAAAGCTGTTATGCTCCACTGACTTGCAATAGCATTGATCAGTTTGTGCTTGCTGCAGATCTGGTGAGGAAACTTTAAGACAGCAGATTGATTGCTACCAGGGGACAAATTCCCCATAGCTGGTTGGATTCAAGCACTGAAGTACTGACATATTGATCTATTTATGTTGATTTATTAGTAATAGCCCTGTACCCCAAATCCTCTTGTGCAAGTAAAAAAACCCCACACTATTGCTAGCTTAACTGATTTCTTTCAGAGGATATATATAGGACACACCTCTATATAAAGCCCCATGTTGTGAGCATATGCTGCAATCTATAGTGGGCAGGATAATCAAAGTGATCACAGGGCAGCATGTTATCATGCAACCAGCTCCAACATGCTGGCTCACATCCACAAATCTTGCTTGCCTTGGAGATGGTCCCAAGAAATCTTAAGGGTTTAAGTGGGCTGCCCGTGTGGGAAGAGCTGAGTAGGATATGAACATCCTGCCACCGCTGGGCTCTGTTCGACAGCAGCAGATCCATCCAGGTACTTCGTGTGGTGTATTTTTTTCTTTGGTTTTCCTTAATTTCTTGTTGAATTTCATTTATGTGAATTTCTGAATGACTGAAAAAGCCACTGACGTATTAAGAGCAAAAAAAGCTGTGATGGTTTCAGCTGGTTTCTCTTCCCTTGCTCCAGTCCTGTTGCGCTCCTTGTTCCAGAGCTCTCCAGCTGTGCAGAAAGTGGGAGAGACATATAGATGCTGGCTCCCACCCCCCACAGTCTGAGTTTAAATGATGATATGATAGTTTAAATGGAAATCTTTGTTTTAAGCCAAGCTATGAGTGGTTGAAAAAGTGGAGTACCTCTACTCCAGGGATTAACCTGCAGCATAATTTGGATAGTGGGGCTGCTGGAGTGTTAAATCATCCACACATGAACCACCAGCATTCAGCTGGAAGCAGCCCTAGGCACACACCATGCATCAGGTCCAAGTGGTGCACATTTGCGTCACTTCATTTGCAACTAATGAAATAGCTAGAAACATTTATTGCATATAAATTATATATGAGCACCTATCATACAAATAAACTCTTTCCAGTCTCAGCTTTCCATTTCCTCATTAATCACAAAGTCTATTACATTTGGGACAGATTCAGGAGTGTCTGCTGGTTCCCATCCCCTGGGCCTGTTTTGGTTAACTCAAGAGGTGAGCTACTCTCCAGATCTCTACAAAGCCCATACACACCTTTAGAGTATGCACCTATTCTAATGTATGAAGTGGTAGGGGAAGCAGAGAAGTTTCTCTCCAGCTCTTGTCTAGAATTAAACTTCTTTCACTTGGAAAATCTGGCAGATTCCCCATAGGCTGAGATGAAATAATAGCAAAAACCATAAGTAATCTGACACTTGTAATTACAGGCCTACCAGCTCCTTATTGACCTCAGAATAAGGAAATAGCACATACTAGGATCACTTAAAAACAAGGGAAGAGTTCTAGTTAACAGTAAGTCTCATGTGTTTATGGAAAAGAATTCATAAAACTGCTTGGGAACTTTTTGAGATGTAAGTTATAGGTTTGCGTTATGGATTTGACTGACAAATGTAAAAGCTGTTGAAGTAACAGGGCTCTAGCAAGGAAACTGACACAGTCTTACACTGTATTTTGATTTTTAGAAAACAGGAATGATACAAAATCAACACATTTTGTAGTAATAATTTATTAGATAGTGAGTGTCAAAATGTTAAAGTTGATACAAGTATGTAACGGGTGTTTTTTTAAACAGCCCAATCGTGAGTTGCTCCACCCAACCCACACTTTTGGTCTGGCAGCTCTGTTTGTGGAAGTGACTCTGGCGAAGGATTGACTCACGATGTAGGAGCAGCCGAGTGTGAGCTCCCAGTGCCATCAGAAAGGCTAATTCCATTCCAGATGTATAAGCAGGGAATGCAGAACAGGTGTAATGAGATTATATTGCAGGAGATTATATTGTGTCTGCTAATTCCATGGATGTGATTAGTGGTGTGAAAGAATTCCCAGTTTTGACATCTATGATTCAATGAGGAAAGGTAACAAGTTGGAGAGGCTTCCTGCAAGAACTCTAAGCCCTGTTAAGGAGTTGGAAGACATCTTATGGGGGATAAGCATTTAGGACCGTTATGATCAAAGCCTAAGTATACCTATGTAGTGTTACATTTTTGCTCCTCCAGTTGCCACACTGCCTAACAATGGTACAAGAAAAAAAAAGTCTAGAGATGAGGTATGCATTTTATAATGGAGAAAAGAGTTAAATACTTGAGCAGTTTACTTAGGGTGCTGGCAGCTTCCCAAACACTGGCAGTTTTTTAATGAAGATGGGATGTTTAACAAAACAACAATGATTAATGTGACAGAGTCCTTTGTCCTGTGATCATCTGGAAAGCAGAATGGTCTGGAAATTCGTCTAGTGCAACAGACACTGCTATCAGATGGTACTAGCCTGCAGTGCTTCTACTACAACTGCTCCCAAAATTACAGCCCTTGCATTTTATGTCATTTTATTTTATTTAGGGGCTCAATTTCCTCAGCTGAGGAAGCCCCTGCTTCTAGGTCCAGCAATGACTTAGGAACCTTCTGCTGTGGGGTCTGTATCTTGGATTGCTCTCTGTGCTCCTCTGGGGTGGCCTCTCATGGCTGTTTTTGTCTACTTTGGAGAAATGCCTGAAGTGAGTGAACTCAGTGCCTGTGTCCTGTGAGTGGGGTTCAGCATCACCACCCATCTCAGTCTGAGGGGACAAATCTGGGGAAGCATGGGCAGGACTGAGGCTATGTGATCCAAGTGAAAGATTCCGAATGGAAGGATTTGGGCAAGGTCCACCAATTTTGGACAACTCTCCACGAACACATCCTGAAAATGTGGGATAACAAGGAGAGGCAATAGGCCTCAATGACACAGTGAAATCCTTAACTGAACTTCTACCTCCATGTCTGGTGGGCAGCAGTGTTAGGAGGAGTTAACCTTAGTCCGTCATGGATTTATGGGGCCACAAAGCCCCAGGGAGCTCACACCTGAGTCCCTTGGTGCAGCGAGCTGGTTCCTCATTTCCTCTGTCCCGGCTCATCCTGTTACTGCTCTAGTGTATTTGACATACAGGGCAGATTCAGAGATGAGGGAGCAGTTTGCCATGCAGTTATAAAAGACTGTTTTCTCTGCAGCTGCTTAAATCTGACCTAAATACCTTCCAGATTATGCAGCCTGGTGCTTTGTTTCAAAACCTAGAAGGTCACTGTCTGCTGGGTCTTCCGCCCTCAAGTGAACCGGGGGCATGTACTGGCAACGAGTGAGAACTCGTGTTCTGCCGCGACTATGGGGGAAAGCCAGAACAGCAGAGGGTGTTGCGATCTGGAACGAAGGCGCATCGGCAGCGGTGTGCGGGGTGCCCACCCTCCAGCCCTCCGCGACGCGCAGCGTCGCTGGGTAGGGGAGCGCTGCAGCCCCGTGCCGGAGCTGGCAGCCTGCAAGCAGCGGCACAAGGCTCCCCGCAGCCGCGCGGGGTCACTTCGCTCTGGGCAGCCCCTGCACCTTCGCTTTCCTGGAAAGCAGCTTCTCTTCGTTACTGAGAAGAGCCCTGCTCTGGCAGGGGAAGGAGGGGCCTGGCCACCGCTTCACGCAAAGGGGCCACTACTTGTGCTAATTTTTCTCATAACAGTGGAACTAATACAGCATCTGCTTGCTGGAAACCACAGAAAGCTGTTTTTGTTTGTTGGGGGTTTTTGTGTGAGTTTGTTTTTTTTTTTCCCTGGGGGGAGCAGAGGGAGGGGGCTGGGGGATTTTCCTGTGTTGGTTTTGTCCTCCTGGCTTTCTCTTTTTCTGTTGTTGCTTGGTTGGTTCTTTTTTTTCTTCTTAGTGCTTTGCTGTTATCACCTCCTAAAAGGAGGCTTTTAGCGAGTTAAGAGAGGGACCACCTAGAAAGGGAAGGAAGGGTCAAAAGGGAAAGAATGAATGCTTTTACATTTTGTACTGTTTGCAGGATGGACTTGCAGCACATCAGGAGATGATGGCAGTCATTTCCTACCCACTCCCCAAGCATCCTTCCATCCTCCTCTCTATACAAAATCTCATGCATTGCCTGCATCACCTCTCATGCCAGGGTACCTAGGCCTGCACTGTGCTTTCTTCTCTCCCTTTCCTTTCCTACTTGGCAGGAACCCCCCAGGTTATGTCTGAGCCACTTGGTCAGCTCCATCCTCACGGCAGCTTCACTTCCCACTCACATCCCAGCCAGAAAGCCAATGTCCACACCAGCACACAACACCACGTTTGGGTCTGGCTGGAGGCCCAGTAAGGCACCGAGATCCTAAGTAATTGGTCACCTGTCATCTGGAAATGATGCTCCAGCCCCAGCTGAGCTTCCATTCACAGGTTTGCTGGCTGAAGGGCAAGGCAGTACTGACATATGTAACACATTACCCATCTCTCCTCTCCTGTGCCCTCCTTATTCTCCTTTTTTTTTTTCTATATCGCTTTTCCTTCTTCTGCAGATTTTCAGTGCTTCATTATTTCCACCCTAGTTCTTTCACCTCTCCCCTCCTCTGGGCCAATGTTTGACTTTTTCTTTCCTAGAAAACCATCTCTATTCAGTAGTTTGCAGTGACCTGCTCCAAAATACCTTTCTTCTTCCCACACACCCCAAACTGACAGGAGTAAATAGGCAGATTGTAGCTCTTTCTACCTTATGCAGGCTGGAAGGAATCTGCACGCTGAGAAGGAGCAAAGCTGTTAGGGTGTTACTGGCTCTTGGGCTGTTGGATATCAACATCTTATAACTTACCAAAGACTTGGGGTTCACTGAAGAACAAGCAGAGAAATGCTACAAAGTAGAACTATGATCCAAAGGAAGAA